TCAAACAACTTCTTCAGACTCCACTAAAACACCTGTTACAGATCGCACTACCAGCGCTATAATACACCTGACAATATGCAGATTCTGTGAACTAATTTCAATGCTGGGCTAACTATTTCACAGCGGGTATTTCACTGAGGTATGCTCAGATAATTACAATCAGAACCTATGTGAACTACAGTGGTACTGGCTCCTTCATCATTTGGTTATTTTAATAAGGTGTAAATACTGGAAATAGATTTTGACATTTTAGATTTACTGAGGTGAAGATACTTTTTAACGGCGAGATCCTGAATTATTGGACCACCTGTGCGTAACCTAATATACTGCTTTACCAGACAGTCTTTTAATCATCACAAGAAATGGGCGACTTTACAAATGATAGATAAGAATATTATGTAGAACGTGAGTGTACTTACTTTCGCTTCCTTTTTTACATCACCATAACACCTCTAAGACCACGATGCAAAGTTTTGTAACGGAAATTCGATACTAGTTAAATTACATCCTATATCTAGGATCACGCTGAAAATGGTTTCTTTGTGCAGTTCCAGTGTTAATAGTCTTCCAGATTCACGCTGCAAATATTGAACCAGCACATGAACACATCACTATTATCAACAAAATTATCACACAATTATCACACGGTTATCACACAATTATCACACGTCTTCATCTTCTGATTAACCTACAACTCCACCACTGAACCAAATAACAAGGATATTGTGGTTTGTGCCAGTCTAACTGACTGGTGATAAGTTCCCCCTCCCCCCCCCGGCCCCCTTACACACCTTTGTTTTATATCTATTTTCCGGGGATTATAATCTTTTATATGCACGAAAACTCGTGGACACGAAGAGCTGATAATTGCGATTTTTCCTCCCGCAAGGAAGTGAAGGTATTATCAGCACAGATTGCAGTCACCTCAGACGGCTGCGGGAAGTTCAAAACCAAAGAATCTAATAACTGTCTACTACCGGTGATAAGTTCCCCCCCCCCCCCCCCCCCCCCGGGCCCCCATGCCCCCCCCCCCTTATTAACCTTTATAAGGTTATTTCGGTTTATATCAGACATGGTAGAAGTTGGTGAGGGTATACAAATTGCATTTTATCAGTACAGACAATGAGAACAATACCACTGATAATGTGCTTGATAAAAAGCCATTATTTGATCTGAATACAAATGTGAAGTGTGAGCAAACCCACAGATATCCACTTTGTGTTCAATTGTGGGCAGATTTACAGAATCTCCTTCAAATGTAAGAGCTGCGCTGAATGTAGGACGTAGGTTGAAACAGTCAGCTCCTCCGCAAGCAGCTAAACTCTCATTTAATCTATATCAGCTCGCAGCAGTGCTTGTTTAGCGCAACCAATGCAATATTAACCGCGGACCACCCACACATACCACCCACTCCCTCTAGAACCATATCATTACGATAACAGGGCTGCTAATATGCAATAATATTGGTCACCATCACATAATGAAACGGGGTACGGCCAGCACTCAGAGCAAGCACAGCAGGCCCCACCCTTACATTAATAATGTCAGGGGTCAGGGCCCCTCACTACAGTACATACTGCCATTATCTCCCCCACATAGAGCTCCACCCTCTTTAGAAACAGCTTGGAGCCGTGTACAGCTTAATGAGACACTTGTATTGTAATAGACATGCAGCTAGCAGCAGCTAGCAGCAGCTAGCAGCAGCTAGCAGCTCATTTGTGCAGGATGGACAATAAAAAGAGTGGTAAAGAGAGGCGTACAATGTATTTGAGAGAGACAACAAAAGGTTTTGTCGTTATGAAAAGCAGGTGGTCAGGTGGAACCTGGATTATAACGGGGACTAAGGAACGTGACAATCTGAGGGTGGTCACGTGATAGTTGGAGCCGTGTCACGTGACAGGTGGAGCCGTGTCACGTGACAGGTGGAGCCGTGTCACGTGACAGGTGGAGCCGTGTCACGTGACAGGAGGTGGAGACGTGTCACGTACAGTGGAGCCAGTGTCACGTGAACAGGGGAGACGTTGTCACGTGACCAGGCGGAGACGTGTCACGTGACAGGTGGAGACGTGGTTAACTGATGGGTTCGTTAGAAGTAGGTTATAAATCGGTTTGAGGATGTATTATATATAATATGCCCTTCAACCCGTGGCCGTAGAGCTTTGATAGGAAGATCAACCCTGCTATGTAAGGTAGCCAGGTAGAGTAACTCTGTGCAGTTATTTTATAAGCGGTTGGGCTGAGCTGCTGTTATAGTAAATTGTATTATCTAGCTAGGTGATCAGTCGTTCTATCAGCTGATAAACATTATCACTTTATCACAATACCATGTCAGCATCAACGCACGTGCACGTGCACTATATCGCACGTGCACGTGCACTATATCGCACGTGCACGTGCACTATATTACTAATTTATAATATGACTGTACAGTGTACGGTATAATATGTGTACTGACAATAAAAGGCCAAAATGTCGACATTCGAGGGTTCATAAAGTGCGAAATCTGTGATCACAAAGGATGAGGGAGGTTGATATTGTGACCAAAGTACTCGCATTGTATTGTCACTAAGTACGTGCATACATGGTTCACTGTATGTATACAAAGTTATAAATAAGTAAGCTTTCATAAAGTGCAAGCTTTCTACACGGTCTGCAATCAAGTGAATTTTGTTTGTGCTACATCTTTGGCCCCTCTTAAAAAGGAGTCAGTGAAATTGTTCAGCTTTGACCTCTAGCTCTGGATAATTGAAGAGGCGATTAACATCTTATTATGCTGGGCTGGCAGAGCAGTTATAATCTACATACCAACCCACATCGCTTACTAATAACTTAATAACACATTGTTTTCAACATTCCCACACTTGACCCACCTTCTCATGATCTCCAAATAATTTAGAGGTGTTCAACATTTATTTGGAATACGGGGTAAGCATTAATTTTAAACATCATACCAAACTCGACTATTCCACGTCGTTTAATATATAAACTGTAAGACAATCTGCGTAAAATATTGGACCCCAAACAAATTCCACTTTTCAACATTCCACGATCCAACATTATAGTCCACTGTTTGATGTGTAAATTGTAACTGTACCCATAGCGGCATAGCTATTGATTGGGCTCCCAGAGAAAGTGACGACTAATAAAGCGGTGAAGTGTTGTCCTCATCAGGTTGTGTTACTAGTTTAGATGATCCCTTTGTAATAGTGCTCCATCTCACATAACTTGATTACACATTTCCCTGGATATAACTATAAGCTTATATAGAGTAAAGAATAGGAGCAACGAAGCAATGTTTACCGTGGAAACCTTTCAATTTTACTGCAGAAAGTTTTACAATCATCAGGTTAATTTGTTAGTCAGAAGTAGATGGTTGGTTCTCTAGTAACCTAGATCTAGTTAATATCTCCCTGAAGTCCAGGACAAGTGATTAAATCTGAATTTGGAGCTGAGTTAGGGTACACGTTTAGAAAGCACCTGGTCATTTAGGTCAAGAGATGACGACTAACTACTAGTAACAGGAGAGTCTGGTAACAAGGTGTGGTAACTGGTAACGGTAACTGGTAATCTGGTATGGTAACGGGTAACTGGTAACGGGTAACTTGTAACTGGAACCTGATAACTGGTTACAGTCACTGTAACAGGTAACTGGGTAACTTGTAAGTCTTAACTGGAAACTGTTACTGGTAACTTGTAAGTCTTAACTGGAAACTTAACTGGAAACTGGTAACTGGTAACTGGTAACTGGTAACTGGTAACTGGTATTTGGTAACTGGTAACGTGAAAAGGTTAGTTGCTTTTCATGCCACAGGTTTTGCTTAATGCTTAATGTCGATGAACAATAAAATAATACACATTGGCCTTTGAATAAAAAAGTTCACCGTGCTGTCGCAGAACTATCGCAGTACTTTCGCAGTTCTGTCGCAGTACTGTCACAAATTACTGTTACGTTGCTGATGAACGATATACGACCCATATTAATAATATAGTGCTAGCTAGGCTGTGGGAGGGGCTCCATGATTAATAGATCATCTGTTTAGGCCAAAAAAGGAAGTAGAGTTCCGTACCATTACGGTGCTATGACGTACAAGTGAGGGAGATTTAGAGATTTACACGAAGATTAAAGTTTTATAGTTTAATGCTCACAGGCTGGAGGGGGTGGTTTGTCTATTTTATAAGTACAATTTAACTGATAAGTTGTACAATATATATACATCTTACAATATGTTGTTTAATCACCAGGATTCTTTAGGATAATATCTCGAATAAATTCTTTTATAACAGGATTATTTGAATGAAAACTAATTTATTGAACTAAACGATAATAACGAACATGACATAAACTTGATAACTTGGGTCAGGCTGACAGCTCCTCTCAGATTATAATATAAACTGTAGTCTGTACTGGAGGGGTTGGTCCTCACAATATTAACTTACTGGAGGGGTGGTGCCACAACAATATAAACTGTAAGGTAAAAAAAAAACAAAAAAAGGGGGTGTCCACACAAATTAACTGTACTGGAGGGGTGGTCCACACAATAATAAACTGTACTGGAGGGGGTGGTCCACACAATATAAACTGTGCTGGAGGGGGTGGTCCACACAATATAAACTGTGCTGGAGGGGGTGGTCCACACAATATAAACTGTTATACTGGAGGGGGTGGTCCACACAATATAAACTGTAGTCTGTACTGGAGGGGTTGGTCCACACAATATAAACTGTACTGGAGGGGTGGTCCACACAATATAAACTGTACTGGAGGGGGTGGTCCACACAATATAAACTGTACTGGAGGGGGTGGTCCACCAATATAAACCTTGCAGGAGGGGGTGGTTCCGCCCCACACAATATAAACTGTTTATACGGAAGGTCCACACAATATAAACTGGGGGCTGGAGGGGGTGTCCACACAATTATAAACGTACTGGAGGGGGTGGTCAACACAATATAAACTGTACTGGAGGGGGTGGTCCACACTCCACAGTACTTGTACTCACATTGATGATATCGTCTTTAGAGACGTCCCTCTCCTCTGGTGCAATGTCGCACTTGTTAGCTAAAACCAGCGTGTGTACTCCGTCCTGAGCGTTCTGAAGAGTTTAGATCAAAATATTTATTACAATAGGTTAGAAGTAAAAACCTGGCGGGGGGGGGGGGGGGGGGGGGGGGGGGGGCCGGGGGGTGGGATACATGCAGATTCTTGTATAAACGGCCGTAAGAAATGTAAAAAGTCGGAACGACAACTTTTTATATTTCTACTTTCTCAATATAATATAATATGTATTTGATAAACTGAATTGGTACTCGATAACGTCCCCAATATGACAGAATAAATAATATATGTTAATCTTTATAGGAACTTACATCTTCGATGTTTTGGAGCCACGTTCTTATATTGAGAAATGATTGCTGATCATCCACTGCAAATACCATGACAATACCCTGAAATTTAACATTCCACTTTAATAATGTTAGACTCAAATACCCTGATTTGAAACCTCTGAGCAGGGATAGTCCACATAATCATGATATTGTGCAATGTATATTATATAGTAACAGTGTTTATATGAGACACACCATGTAAATTAGTGGGTTGTTGCACCACTCATTTAGTAGAGGTTAGAGTTAGAATTAGAGGTTAGAGGTAAGAGGGGCTGACTAATAAGTTTTACAGCTGATTGGTCCACTTACCATGGCTCCCCTGTAGTAAGGTTTCGTTATTGTGTGAAATCGCTCCTGTCCCGCTGTATCCCTGAATATAACACTGTGAACTCCAGGAACCCTATGTAGTAACACCACGAAGGAACCCTATGTTGTAACAACACGAAGGAACCCTATGTAGTAACAACACGAAGGAACCCTATTAGTAACAACACGAAGAACCCTAGTAGTAACAACACGAAGAACCCTATGGTAGTATCAACACGAAGGAACCCTAATGTAGTTTCAACACGAAGGAACCCTATGTAGTAACACCACGAAGGAACCCTATGTAGTAACAACACGAAGGAACCCTATGTAGTAACAACACTAAGGAGTAAGGAACCCTATGTAATAACAACACGAGGGAACCCTATGTAGTAACAACACGAGGAACCCAGTATATACAACACAAGGATCCCTATGTAATAACAACACGAAGGGAACCCAATGTAGTAACAACACTAAGGAACCCTATGTAGTAAACAACACAATGGAACCCTTGTAGTTACAACACAAGGAACCCTAGTAGTTAACAACCACGAGGAACCCTAGGTGTAACAACACGAAGGAACCCTATTATAACAACACAAAGGAAACCCATGTAGTAACACACGAAGGAACCTATGTATAACAACGACTAAGGAACCCTTATGTATAACAATCACGAAGAACCCTATGTAGAACACACGAAGGAACCCGATGTAGTAACACCACGTAGGAACCCTATGTTTAACAACACGAAGGAACCCTATGTAGTAACAACACAATGGAAACCTATGTAGTAACAACACGAAGGAACCCTATGTAGTAACACCACGAAGGAACCCTATGTTGTAACAACACGAAGGAACCCTATGTAGTAACAACACAAAGGAACCCCTATGTAGTACATCAGAAGTGAACCCTAGTAGTAACAACAACTACAGGAACCTAAGTAGTAAACAACACGAATGAACCCTATGTATATCAACACTCTAAGGAACCCTATGTAGTAACAACACTAGGAACCCTATGTAGTAACAACACGAAGGAAACCCTATGAGTAACAACCCAAGGAAACCCTATGTAGTAACAAAACGAAGGAACCCTACTGTTAGTAACACCGACGAAGGAACCCTATGTAGTAACAACACGGAAGGAACCCTATGTAGTAACAACACGAAGACCCTAAATGGTAGTAACAACACGAAGAACCCTATGTAGTAACAACACGAAGAACCCTATGTAGTAACACACAAAGAGAACCCTATGTAGTAACAACACGAAGGAACCCTATGTATAAACAACACAATGGGGACCCTATGTAGTAAACAACACTAAGAGTAAGGAACCCTATTGTATAACAACACGAGGGAACCTATGTAAGTAACAACAAACCCGAAGGAACCCTATGTGTAACAACACGAAGTAACCCTATGTAGTAACAACACGAAGAACCCTATGAGTAACAACACTAAGGAACCCTATGTAGTAACAACACGAAGGAAACCCTATGTATAACAACACGAAGGACCCTATGTAGTAAACCACGATGAACCCCTATGTAGTATCAACACGAAAGGTTCCTATGTAGTAACAACACAAAGGTAACCCTATGTAGTAACAACACGAAGGAACCCTATGTAGTAACAACACGAAGGAACCCTATGTAGTAACAACACTAAGGAACCCTATGTAGTAAAGGGGGGGGGGGGGGGGGGGGGGGGGGGGTGGGGGGGGGGGCAACACGAAGGAACCCTATGAGTAACAACCGAAGGAACCCTATGTAGTAACACCACGAAGGAACCCTATGTAGTAACAACACGAAGGAACCCTATGTAGTAACAACACGAAGGAACCCTATGTAGTAACAACACAAATGGAACCTATTATAACAACACGAAGGAACCCTATGTAGTAACACCACGAAGAACCCATGTTGTCAACAACACGAAGGAACCCTTGTAGCAACAACACAAGGAACCCTATGTAGTAACAACACGAAGGAACCCTATGTAGTAACAACACTAAGGAACCCTATGTATAACAACACGAAGGAACCCTAATGTAGTAAACAACACAAGGAACCCTAAGTATACCACCACGAAAGGAACCCCTATGTAGTAACAACACAAGGAACCCATGTAGTAACAACAACACGAAGGAACCCTCATGTCTAACCCCACGAAGGAACCCTATGTAGTAACAACAACAAAGGAACCCTAGTTAGAGTAACAACACGATGGACCCCTATGTAGTAACACAACACGAAGAACGCCTATGTAGTAACACTCGAAGGAAACCCTATGTAGTAACAACACGAAGGAACCCTATGTAGTAACAACACAAAGGAACCCTATGTAGTAACAACACGAAGGAACCCTATGTAGTAACAACACAAGGAACCCTATGTAGTAACAACACTAAGGACCCTAATGTATAAGCAACACGAAGCGAACCTATGTAGTAACAACACAAGAAACCCCGAATGTAGTAACAAACGAAGGAACCCTATGTAGTAACAACACGAAGGAACCCTATGTAGTAACAACACTAAGGAACCCTATGTAGTAACAACACGAAGGAACCCTATGTAGTAACAACACGAAGGAACCCTATGTAGTAACAACACGAAGGAACCCTATGTAGTAACAACACGAAGGAACCCTATGTAGTAACACCACGAAGGAACCCTATGTAGTAACAACAGAACACCCTATGGAGTTAACGAACACGAAGGACCTATGTAGTAACAACACAATGGAAACCTATGTAGTTAACGAACACGAAGGAACCCTATGTAGTAAACAACCACGAAGGAACCCTATGTTGTAACACACGAAGAACCCTATGTAGTAACAACACAAAGGAACCCTATGTGAGTAACCAAAACACTAAGGAACCCTATGTATAACAACTCGAAGGAACCCTATGTAGTACACAACACGAAGGAACCCTATGTAGTAGCAACACAAAGGAACCCTATGTAGTTAACAAACCCACGAAGGATCCCTATGTAAACAACACGAAGGAACCCTATGTAGCAACAACATGAAATAAACCTATGTAGTAACAACACAAGGAACCCTATGTAGTAACAACACGAAGAACCCTATGTAGTAACAACACGAAGGAACCACTAGTAGTAACAACTCGAAGAACCCTATGTAGTAGACAACACTAAGGCAAACCCTATGTAGTAACACCACGAAGGAACCTATGTTTGTAAACAACACGAAGGAACCCTAGAAGTAACAACACGAAGGAACCCTATGTAGTAACCCGACGAAAGGAACACAAGTAGTAACAACACACGGACCCTATGTAGTAACAACACGAGGAACCCTATGTAGTAACAACCCGAAGGAACCCTATGTAGTAACAACATGAAGGAACCCATGTACAACAACACGAAGGCACCCTATGTAGTAACAACACGAAGGAACCTAAAGGTATTAACAACACGAAGAACCCCGATGTATAACAACACGAAGGAACCCTAGGTAGTAACAACACTAAGAACCCTATGTAGTAAAAAAAAACAACACAAAAGGCAATCAGTCGGCATTTAGGAATTTAAAAGAAGTTAAGAGAAATATTTAATGTGTTGAAATTCAAATTATAACAAGAAATGCAGCCACAAATCTTGATTTGTGAAGGCTGCTATGATATCCGGTCGATTGCTAAGTTTTAAAACTTAATCAGAGTGAAATTGATAGAAATATGAGATTACATAATTGTCGAATTGGTATTATTCTAGAGGGTAGAATGAAATTTTTGTTTAGGTAATTAACGGTCAACCCCTTTCTCACAGTTGCGTGCAGAATTGTCAAAAAATATACATACCATACATATATATAAAATATCTACATAACATACATTTTATGTATGTTCCTTCCTCTTTTCCTTGTCATCCCCTTTAGTTTTAAGATTCTTGCTATAAATGGCTACAGCTAACACTATTAATGCTAAGTACCAAACAACAAGTGGGAGGTGGATCGTTGGTATACCATTAAATCGATTTAACACTGCAATTCCAGTCGCAAGCCTGGGACCACTACTAGCATAGTCACAACATCTACAAAGCTGCCATATAGCCTGACTGACAATTTTCTCGACTGACTGACAATGTTTCTTCTTTTTCCCCATTTAGAATACAAAGATTAGTACATTTTAGCTTATGATTAATATTATATTTTTACCTATAGTTTACCTAGATACATATAAATATACATACCATATCTGCATTTTCACTTTCTTGTTGTTCACATTAATAGTCTTTATCTTGAAGTCAATACCTGACATTGCATTTGAGTGTTATATTGATTCAAGATTTCACATCAAATGCCTGCTTAAACACAAAATCATTCCACTCAAGTTGTTGAAACAAAATTGAGACGAATCTGTTAAAATATTTCATAGTAATATTGAATACTTCAGAATTGTAGAATATAAATCTTTAAAAGTCATCCACTATATAAAAAAACAGTTTTGTCTCACCTATAGTCGTCATGAATGACGGAGTGAACTCATTGTCCACAAAACGTACTAAAATGGCGGTTTTTCCGACTCCGCTGTCACCAATTAGCATTAATTTCACCAAATGATCATATTTCTTTGCCATTCAGTGCGCTGGCTTTCAGGACATATTAAGACGGATTGGAGTAAACGTCACATCACATGGTTTCATCAGATGAGCTTTACAACATGCCGTGAGCTAAGCAAGGATAGTTTATAAAAAATGTTTATAAGTATAACATAATAATGTTATAATCAATGAAAGAATAAGTTTTCTATTCAAAAAAACATTCCTGAGTCTTAGTGTTTTCGTAAGAGTGTTTATTCATAAGTTTATTTGTAAGGTGTAAGTGGAACAAATTGCCAATATTATAGTAAAAACAAATATAATATCAAAAATCCACACTGTTGCAGTTGAAGGTAACATAATCTTAATTTGTAGACAAATGTAGTATTTTGATGACAAAAGGCTTTCAAGGTTTCTTTTTTATTGTCATTATTATGAGGATAAATTATAGGTCATAACTCATAAGCCGTAAGGTCAACTCCTCTTCTGTTATCAAGGATGCAGGAGTTAATCTTTTCATATTGTCTTCACAGTCCACAAACATGAAACCTCTTAAAGGAAAGACCTTCTTCTCGCCTCGTTAAATATATTGGGGTAAATATTACATCTGCTTGCAAATGGACCACTAACATCAACATTATCGCTAAAGATGTCGAGAAATGGTGTCTTGAGTCCTGGGAACCATAGAAGAAATTTTGTTATGACCCTATCGTCAATTCGATGGTGAGGATGCATTTTCCGCGAATCCTATAACACACAACAGCCGCTATGTTAGTTACTGGGCGGTGCTTGCAGCCAGTCATTCAGCGGCAGTTTCAATTTAAATGAACAAAAAAGCCTAAGGTCTTTAGGTAACTATACTAAAGTCCACAAAAGTGGAAAATTTAAACTGTATTTATATCAATTCTTTTTGAATGGTTTTGATGTACAGATTTAATATTTGAAACAAATATTTTACGAGTATCACCCGTTAAACTATAAAATCGCAAACTGAATAATTTGCAATCTTTGCTTTGCTTGGTGCCTTGCCGAGCAATTATTTCGAAGAGGTGACATTTGTAGCGCAATGCACTACTGGAGCTGGACCGCGTCGCGCGTCCAATAATGCTTCTCGCAACCAACTTCTCACCGATCTTCTTCTATTCGCTAAGTAAGTAAGTAAGTAAAGATTATGACATAACATCATCACAAGTGTCTACAAAATATCATTGCACTAAATAGAAAAATAGTTTAAATAAATATCAGCTAGATCAGCAAATTAAATGCACCATGCTGAGCCTCGCTGAGCTGCAAAGAATTGACAACTTGAATTAAGGGCCGTGACATCGTAAATAAACAAAAGGTCAAGGAGCTGATTCAAACTAAAAATTACTTCAATTTATAAAAAACAACGATTACGTCAATTTTGACTTTTTTAAATGCCACGGCGCGCACGGATAAGTAACATGCACCAAGCTCGAAATGAGCGACGCGCATATATGTTTGTTTTATTTAAATTTTGTTTTACTTATGGATAAGCGCGCTTAATAATTGTTAGGATTAAGTTGCAGAAGTAAAATAAGTAAGTAAAAATACGTCAACAGGTAACAAGAGCATTTAAAAATTAAATCAAATGTAATGTCAAATAAATGTCGGTGCAATGCATGAAATCTGTTCGTAAAAATTTTTGTCATACGTTGTATGACCCGCAGCGCACGCATGCGCAGCTTCCCCTGTATCGTCCACAGGGGGAGCTGAAACCAAGTTTTCGATCAAACGCTGCCATGTGTAGTCAAACGTCGCCAAAAGTTGCTCTCGTCCAATAAAATCGCTGCATAATTTGTACATAATTTGAAATTTGTAGGACAGCAATAAACTGGGATTGAAAAGAATCAAGTACTCACGTAAATTTGGTAACTTCACAACAGCAATCTGCATTCTCCAATCAGAATTTACGACTTACTCCGGCCTCATCGTCTCAAGATTTTTACATTTCCTACGGTCTAGGGGACACTATTGACTATAATTATAGAAGTCTTCTAGAATGTTTGCTTTATGTAAGCCAAGCTCCGCATATGAATATATGTAATTCAATTATGCATACTGACTTGCAAAATGCAGCGATTTCATTGGACGACAGCAACTGTTGGCGACGTTTGACTACAAATGGCAGCATTTGATCGAAAACCTGGTTTCAGCCCCCCTGTGCGTCACTTAGTAAAACGACTGTGGGTGTCACGACGTGATACAAAAAATTTTATAATACATACATATACATTGAGTTAAATTAATATCATCACATGTTAATTGACGATGTCAATTCATCTCAGCTCGGCGCGGCACAGTAGCGCATTTCGCCGATCTAGACAGGTCGCTGTGAGAAGCCTCATTGAGTGCGCGGCACGGCACAGTAACGCATCGCGCTACAACATCACATGTATCATTTTGACATACGTTGCATGCCACTTTTCGCGCGCGAAGCGCGCGCCGCCGAAGGGGGAATATATCTGATATTTGGATACGAAACATTTATCAAGTATCATTGATCATTGATCATCACACATTTCTAAAAATATCTTCAATGAAACAATAAGTTTTTAATGAAACTAAACGCTGTATGAAAAATCAAATCAAATTGAAACATAATAATACATGATATGATTTTAATAAAAAATGAATAATATATTAATATTTCCCATAAACATAATCGATAATTTATCAACTTATTTTATTTTATTTTAAATGTTATCAAATACATTATTATATTTTAAAACCTAATTCATACTTCATACCTAATAATATCATAATTTAGTAAGACCTGCTCCAAAACTGGCATTTCCTGCTAGGGACGTACTTAAGCAGTTTTGACGCCATCTCGCCAAGTGCTTTACAACATATGAAGAGCTTTTGACATTATCATGGGTAATACAAATATCAGATAATTATATACAATTATTATTCTTACTATAACTATCAAGTAAGTGTCCAAGCATCTCAGGGTCTGTGTGCAGTCCTTATGGCACAGATTTTGTATTCAAAAGCTGTGGCTTAATTTAAGTTTAAAAGGATGTCGATACTATGATTGAAAGCACCTCTGAAGGGGATTGTCTCTAATGGACTAATTTATTGTTTACACCATAATCAGTTAAAAATACAAAAAAACCCCAATGGGCACTCCTGAAAACATAACTACTAGAAAATATATCAAAGCTAAATAGAAAAGTGAGGTCAAATGTAATAAATCGTAATAAACTGCAATTAATGGAATATAAATTTTGAATTCGTTATTTAATGGCACACAGCAAATTATAAATAATATTTTACAAGTTACACTTCTAGGTATTAAACATGTATTAAATATGTTGGGCATTGTCATGGTACACTGACATCTGCATCGTATGGATTCCGACTCTGATTCAATTGAGGATTCTCGTCCGCCTCCTGAATGCAGAAAGAGCACTGGAAAATCTTCTTTTGACGAGGTTATTTTTAGTGACCATGTAAAAAATAAGACAACCATCAAATCTTGTTACCTTTCAATACAATCGAATAAATAGTTAGATTTATTCAATCGAATAAATAGTTAGATAATTTGATATTGAAATGCCATATCAATTTTTCAAGTTTTCTTCACCTATATATTATCAGGATTGGTTCATCAGACGTAGACAATCTTATAATTCATTTAAAACGACAGTATCCAGGGAGACGTATGTGGCGTCATCTAGGTTAGTTAGTCAGTATTGTATTGGTTCACTTTCACAAACATAGAACTGTTGTATATATGTGATAAATAGAAGGTTCATTACATGCTAAGTAATTTTGGTCATCATTCGGCTTTCAAATAAAATTCATTCGGCTTTCAAATAAAATTCCTCCAAAAGACAGACTTTTTAATTTCAGTCCTCTGCCGCGTGACGAGGAAAATTATGCACCTGGACCAAGTAGCAGATCTTATGAGAAAATGAAAGCGGAGAAGCTCTCATCTACTGAAGATTGTTCGAAAGACAAAAGTCTCATGGTATGTATTTTGAAATTGCTTATTTAAGACCTGAAGGAACGCAATAATTTTCTTGGATAGATGAGACAAATTCTAATTAACTGTCATATTGACCTTGTTATCAATAATATTCCATAAGTGCATATGAGCATTACGAATGTAAAATATAGATGAAGATATTCGCTGATACAATGGTAAGACTTCTAACTTACTTTTCATATAGGTCAGTTCATTGTCATATTCATCCTTTTCTACATCTTCAAAACTGTCAGACAACAGTTTCTCCAGTGGATCATCAAATACTGTAAGCATCATTATGTTCAAGCTACTAAATGATATCATGTTGTTACAGAGAGATTCCAATTATGAGCCTGATATGTGTGATATCTTTTGTGAATTGCAATTTTAGTATCAATATTTGAGTATTATATGTATGTTAATGTCCCATCATCATCCCATCAAACAACAAATTTTAGAGAAAACAACAAATTTTTATTTAAATCAATTATAGCAAAAATTTTAAAAACTTTAAAGTTATTCTATTACCAAGGAATATACTACGGGTATGGTGACTTAGGCTATTGAGTTGTTAAGTAGATTAAGATTAGTAAACATGCACTTGCTAATGGGTTATTGAGTTGGCTCACAGATAATTGACAGTGATTTTAATTCTCAGGTGTTCACTTGTCGCGCCAGATCAAATAACAACCAGAATGGATGGTGCTCTGGAGTAGTGAAGGGTCAGCCTTTGGACGATGCTATATATGTCAAGCCGGCTATAAAACTTTCACAAAAATTCATTGCCAACAAAGACGTTTATGTAAGAAAAGACCGGATTTCAGGTTGTAGCAGTCTTCTGTCAGTGAAGGATGGAGACAAGATTGAGTTTTTGCTCTCTATAAAACCAATGAGTTGTGAAAAACCCCAAAAAGGGATCAAACCTTCTGCATATAAAGCAAATATGCTGTCTTTTTGTGCCAAAAGAAGTTTTGATGAGTTAAAGTTATTTTTCACCCTAGCAAAAGATAAAGTCACTGAAACATCCACCAGAACTGAAGCGGTGAATTCAATCATGATGTGTGATGCCATTTGGTTTTATATCTTCAATGCTAAATGTGATGACGCAGTAATTTATGAAATGTTTGTGTCTGAAGTTTTGGATTTATTTTTCCTTCTAGCAAATTACATGGAGAGTTTTCCATCAAGGAGAAGAGAGATAATTGGACACATTGTTGAGAAAGACTTCATTGTGAACCTGAAGAATGGCCAAGAAAAGGTATCAAAGGGACTCAGATTTGCCAAGCTTGCAGTTACTTTAGAACCAGCTGTCCTGAAGAATGTTATGCCCTTATTGAGCAGTTTGGTCAAGATTGGTGATCCTGATCTTGCTAGTGGGCTTTATGAGATGCTGTTGAAGGTTGGCAATGTTAGTGACCTTAGTAATTGGCATGATCTTACTCAGATTCCAACTATTGAAGAACTATTTGGAGACCCTCTTGAAAAAGTATCATATTTGAGACCTGTGTTATTGTCCTCCGGATATGAAAACAGTGATGATTACTTGAATGTATACTACAGACTGTTAAGAGCAGAGTGCTTTTCTGCTATACAAAAAGGTATAGCAGATTTTAAAAGTGGTAAGCTTGATGCAAGAGACATGAACATCTATGATAAAGTGTCTGTGAGAGACATTGATATGGAGTACTCTTCTGTCCTGATATCACTCCAGTTTTCTCTTGAAAAACCAGTACATAATTGGAAAAAGTCAAGGAAGCTAATGTTTGGTAATCTTTTATGCATCACCATCAAGGGAGACTTCTCAGATCCTATTTGGCTTACAGTAGCAGACAGAGATGAAACTATACTTCAAAAATACAATGTGATAGGAGCACAACTTATTTCATTTGATGGTTCTGATACTGATGCAGCCAATAAAATAAGAAACCTGATGTTGCATTCTGGTAAAATGATAATGGCAGAAAGTCCTACTTATTTCCAATCATTTAAGCATGTTTTGACAAGTCTTAAAAACTCTGAAATAAGTAAATTTTGTATTGTTGACGAGATAGTTCATGGCAGTTATTACAAATCTTTAAATTTCCACTCTCTGATTAATCCGTACTTGAGCAATGTAGGTTACGAAGAGCTGGAAGAAAACCAAAAGAAGGCTTTTTTACATGCATTACAGAGCACATTAGGGATAATACAAGGCCCTCCAGGAACTGGAAAAACACTTGTTGGTGCAAAACTTGCACAAATGTTCCTTTGTTTACGAGATGGTGGAAAATTAAATAATCTCTTAGAAGTTAATAGTCGTTATGCTGGCTCTTCTGTTGATTCTTCTATTGATTATTCTACTGATTCTTCTACTGATTCTTCTACTGAATATGATGAGCTTAAAAGATCAGAATTGTTAGAAGAGAACCCACCCATTTTGATACTGACATACAAAAATCATGCTCTGGATGAATTCTTGAAACACTGCACTGAATTCTGTAACAAAGAATATATTACCCGGATTGGAAGTCAATCAAAAGAAGACATACTTAAAGATTGCTTACTCCACAATAAGATGAAAAGCTGGAAAATGAGAAGAGTGCCAACAGGTTCTGTGATTTCAGAGATCAAGGATTTATTTTTTGAACTTTCTTCTTTATTGTCTGAGCTAGAAATAACGAAAGTCTTCACAATTGAAAGTTTTATTAGCCGTTTGAATCTCGAACAACTCAAAGATTTTATAGACAATGCTATAAAGACTCCCTGGGAATATCCCCCTCAATCAGTGAATGTGAATGCAAAAGCAACACAGGCAATGCTGTCATATTTTACCGATTGGAAGGAAGAAGATGACTTCAAAGAGATTATTTTGCAATTAGTTTCTCAACCATTTTTATACTCCAATCAAACTCTGGACATGGAGGAAAGGACAGAAATAATTATTGCTCAAAAAGTTAAGGATGCTTACGAAAATCACTGGCTACCCAATAAGCAACTGTTAAAATCTTTGACTCAACTCCAGCAAAGTGGTGCTGCATTTTTTAATACATGCCAGATCGATAGCAGCGAAGATGAGGACGACTTTGATGACCTTGAAGATGATACTTTTGGGGAAGATGATCTTGACGAAGATTACATTAATGAGCAGTTAATTATGAGATTTTCTGGTTTTGATGAAGATGAAACTAGATATTTTAGATCTACTAAGGATATCAAGTCAGCCAAGATGACTAAATTAGAAGCACGAATTAGGAGCAAGAGAAATATGGCTCAAGATATAAACAACACAAGCATATTTTGCTTATCAGACTTTCCACCAAGTTGTGCTGTAAGCCAAGCCATTCTTAAAAAGAATAATCTATGGACTCTTTCAGCCATTGACAAATATAAATTTATGTATAGTTTTTTGCAGTCTGGCTGCAATGAGCTGATGGATAAGATGAATGATTTGTTAGAAGAGATCAATATATTGCAAAAACAAAAAGAAATGATTGACCACAAAAATAAATTGCAAGTTCTGAAGACTCAAAAAATTGTTGGAGCAACAATCATTGGAGCTTCTATCCAATTATCAATGATTAAAAAGTTGGCACCGAAAGTTATCCTCGTAGAAGAAGCTGCAGAGGTTTTAGAGTCATGTTTAGTTGCTGTTTTGAGCAAAAGCGTCCAAAAGCTAGTTCTCATTGGTGACCATAAGCAATTGAAGCCAAAGGTTGATACATACCATCTTAGGAGGGAATATAACTTTCACATTTCTATGATGGAGAGGCTGATAAAAATAGGATATCCGTACGAAAAGTTACTGAGACAGGGACGTATGAGACCAGAGTTCTCTTGTATGCTGAAAGACATTTACCCAGAATACCAGGATTTCCCAGGGCTAGAGGCAGAAAGAAAGATTATAACGTGCTTACCTCATTCCATGTTTTTCTGGTCGCATCAGTTTCCTGAAAACAAAGATCGTTCAGTTAAAAACTTGGGCGAAGCCAACATGGTTGTAGCACTGGCTTTATTCTTCGTTGCCAGTGGCGTGAAGGAGGCTGATTTGACCATACTTTGTGCTTACATGGGACAAGTTCAACTTGTAAGGAAGCTTTATCGTGAGATGACCCTTTTGGAGCCACCCCGAGATATAACAAAGCAAACCACGGAAAAACAACTCATCGACATACGAACAATTGATGAGTATCAAGGTGATGAAAATAATTTTGTGATTGTTTCATTGACTAGATCGAACCTCCATGGGAAGATCGGGTTCCTCGAAGAAATCGAGCGGCGTTGTGTAGCACAATCTAGAGCAAAGTGTGGATTGTATTTCGTAGGAAATGGTAAGATGTTCACAAAAAGCAAAACATGGAAACCAATCATGGATACTATGGATGGGCAGAACCTCATCAGTAATAGGCTTCCTGTTACATGTTATAGGCATCCTGATAAAATTTATAATGTTTATCAGAAAGACGATATAGCTAAGAAGGAAACTGTGGATAATTCCCAGTTGATGTACTTTGTTCACAATAAAAACAACTGGTGTAAGGTTATCTGCAATTCCTCCTTTCCCTGTGAAATTGAAGCTCATCGTTGCAAGAAACTGTGCACTCCACGACATGATGATACAAAGTGTAAAACCCCGGTTAAATTCACCTTTCTAGTTTGTCAACACACAACTTCAAAGCTTTGTTATGTAAGTGAAGAAGATATGAAGTGTGAAACCAAGATGTTGGTCAAGTTACCTGATTGCGGACACGAAAGAGATGTTGAGTGTCATACTTGGTCCTTTAAAAAGAATCTAATCATCTGTACTGAGATTTGTTCTAAGTCCTACGACTGTCCATTTCAGCATAAATGCTCGAAGGTTTGTGGAAGATATCATCAGCATTTTGAAGGGGATTGCCCCGAACAAATCGAGTTTAAATTTCCCAAATGCAACCACACTGCTCATATTAAAAAGGTGTGTGGCAAACCTGTGCCAGATATAAAATGCAAGTTCCAGCTCAAATACAAGAGCATCCAGTGTGGTCATGAACAGATCCGAAAATGCTCAGAAGAAGAGGAATGTAAACTTACATGCAACAAACTAAGACCTGATTGTGGTCATCCATGTACAAACATATGCAGTAAACCTTGCCTTGAAGTAGACTGCAAAATTTGCACAGAGCAGTATCAAAAGTCTATTGATGCTGCCAAAAAACTTGCTGAGGAGCAGTTGAAAATATGCAAACTGAATGAAGCTGATCCAGACTTCTTTGAACTGTTGCCTCTTTCCTCTGATGCAATGGTAAGTTTAGCTGGTGTAAAAGAAAAATGTGATTTGTTCTTAAGTCTGTATTCTACTTCGAAAGTTAAGGACATAATTGGTGTGTGGAAAATGAAATGTCCTCACAACACATCCTCCTTTTGGGAATATGCTTCTAAATCTAATGGTATAGTGAAAGAGGACTTGTACAAATTGACTTCAGGTTTTCTCGACACTACCACCATTCAAAGTAAGGAGGATATGTTTGCCCACCTGATTGTACAGTCGTCAATTAACTGTTTTGAGTTTGTGAAATATGCAGGGAGTAGAATGGCATCACTTCGGGGAAACGAATATACTTTGGTTGTTACAGAAGTGTTGCTAGGCGATAGTGTAGATAATGAAAAGTTGACAAAAGATAAGGTGAAAAGATCTAGAGATGCAGTGACTCGATTCCTAAAAAAGGAGAAAAAAGATTCAGTGATAACAAAAAGCACAAATGCACCATCAATTTACTCAGTGTACGAGAACAGTCAGATACACTTGAAGTACATTGTACATTTTGTAACAGAAAAACTGGTTGCAAACAAAGAACTGATTTTGCAGGATGCTTTGAAAAATCTACCAGAAGGTGAAACAGTAATGAGCCTATCTGGCATTGACCTACGTGATGTAAGTAATCCATTGATAGAAATGGTCCAAAAAGCAATTTCATTGTATAGAGGGCATTATTCACTACGAGATTCCTATGCAAAATCAAGGCAACCTCTCAAAGAAATCAAAGAAGTTGGTTTAGTTGTAAATCACCAGGCCAATCAAGCATACGAGAAAAAGCTTAAAGAATTGAAAGAAAAGCGAAAAGGAGGACACAAACTCGTGGAAGTATTTGCATATCATGCCACTAAGCCTGAGAATATTGATAGCATCATCAGAGCCAATCTTGATCCTGGGAGAGCTGGAAGTGCACATGGAACAGCACACGGTAATGGCTGCTACTTTTCAGAACATCCCGAGTTTAGTTTCAATTATGGGCAAGCAACTATGCTTATCTTTAAACTCATTCTCATCGAAGGTCAGTATAAGAAAGTACAGCCAGATGGAAAGGGATTTTGTCAGCAACTTGTGTTAAATGATGCATCATTGTTCAAACCCCAGTTTGTATTGCGTTTTTAGTGATTAGTGATTTGAACAACAGTTTACACTTTACAACATTGTTTCATGTTTGGTACGTCCAGAATTTCTGGAAATTGAGGAAATGATTAAATTAAAATTGGTATTATTCCCATCAAAACTGGTTGAGGCATGGATTTTTTCGTTTGCTTAATTTCGTTTTTAATCGGCCCATTGGCATTCATTTAGATAAATTATCTTGTTTAAATAATTTTTCAGTTTTTTTGAAAAGCTGTACAAAATTTTATTATATGTTGGTATGACGAATTATTATTATATGTTGGAAATTTGTATCATGTATTTAATATATTCTGATAACAATCTAAATCCTGATTTTCTTAAAGATCATATTAAATAATTAAATTCAAGATGAATTCCATTTAAATTATTATATTAGTAATTAATCATCTTCATGCTGTCAGCTGTATTCAGAGATAACTGTTTAATAGTCTTGACTACTGATAAGGAGATGGCATACCTAGTAAATATTCCCTCATGAAATTCTAGCTCTTTTTTTGGTTTGCTTGGTTTCCTTTTGAAGAAAACATAAAAAACGACATATATTCTTATCGCCACTCACAGCAGTAGTCTTGATCCAAAATTTCAACTCTTTTGTAACCAAAAATTAGCAGTAAATATGTGGTTTACTGTACCAATGTCCAATATGAACAACTGCTGATCAATTTTATCTACAAATCGTGTTACCGTAACAATTTTTACTTGATTAGCATGCATTTTTTTAGATATTTGGGGGGGGGGGGGGGGGGGGGGGGGGGGGGGGGGGGGGGGGGGGGGGGTCAACCTCATTTTACCTCATGAGGCCAGCCAAAAAAGGCAAAATTGGGATGAGGTAAAATGAGGTAAAATGAGGTAAATAAATCTAGTTTTCTAAGCCTTTTTTTAGAGACAAAAAAGGTTTATTCGAAGTCATTATACTATAATTCGAGGCTGTGCATGGTCTCCCATGATATTTAATGGTTTATTAGGGGTGATGTGGTCCCTGGGAAGGGGCATTCCCAGTTTAACCTACTTACTCTCAAAACTTGGGGTAAATAAAACTTCGCATTATAATTATTATTTATGAAAAGAAAATTGAACATTTCAATTTCCATGATCCATTAGGAAATTGTTAATAGCACTTGCTAAGTTTTGTAAAGGAATTAGCAATAACTTTAGTGTCACTTTGGCAGTTGCCAATTTATGGGGATATTTCCGCATTGCATGACATGGACCATTTAAATAATATCTTAGTTTGATATTGCGATTATCGAGTCACTCTGAAACAAATTGTGTCTAACTAGACCAAATGTAAACAACAGTTGTGCATGGAACTGGATTGGATATCTACATGAATTTAGTCGAAATTGCATAGTGAAAGGTCATTTCATAATAAATTACTCATATAAACTCATACTTCATACTATTCTAAGTTCTTATGTACATGTTCAATGTTTCGCTGTAGAATAAAGGGCGGTTCAGAAAACCACCTTTCGTTGAAATAATTAGATATCACCTCTAATTATATTAGTTGCTCTATAGGGTCGGGAACAACCAAAAAAATTTTTGTGTCTCTAAGGTTTCGTATAATACTGACTTGGGCCACGCCCATATTTTTCACCAATTTTTAACAGGTAAAATTCTCTAAATCGTCAATTTAGTCACGAAGGAGTATGGAAGGAGTTCTAAATGTGTGCTCCTCTAATAGAAACAGTAGGAAATGGTTAACTTTAGTCGAGGTTTCAGGTCTCTACAATGTCGGGAAGTTCCTGCAGGAATTTGCGCATTGCGCTGAAGCGCAAGATTCACAGCACCAAAAGCGAAGGTCGTAGAGACATGAGACCTTGACTAAAGTTAACCATTTCATACCATTTCTATAAGAGTATGCCACTTTCAGAGTCCTGAACACACTCCTACAGCTCTTAATCGTCAATTATATGAATTTTACCTGTTAAAATATATCATCTTTAACTGATATCAATTTAGTTTAACACTGTTAATTTTTTTTAAAAACATAATACTTCACACCAAACTAACGCACAATATGATAGTATAAAAAAGGAAGGTTTTCCTTGGATTCCAAATTCAACTTTGATTATATCCTGGCACTGATTATCATTTCTCGATTGTTCTCCATTTTCCAATGCAGTCAGCAAGTTCCAATTAAGGTAGACTAGGTTTTCGAATCTTCATATTATGTTCAGAAGCAGGCCAGAAGGGGTTGTTACCAGAGGAATATCTTCTTGGAACAAGGGAATTAATGAGGTCTTCATTTATAACTCGTCAGTGACAGTCCGGACAGGATGAGCATTGACGAGATCCACTGATTACTTCATAGCTCGTCATTGATAGGATCAGTATTAAATGAGGTCGAATGATTACTTCATAGCTCGTCACTAACTGTATCAGCATAACATGACTAACAACTAACGAGGTCCAGTGATCTCTTGCTGATACGTCAAGACAAGACCAGTAAATAGCTAAAAATATCGAAAAAAATGAGCTTAGAAATTACAGAGTACAAATGCCTTCTTCACAACTAACTCTTCGGCCTCATCTTTTTAAATCACTCATTCCCTCTGAAACAAGATAATGCTTAGGACTAGGAGGAACTTAGTTAAATTCTTTTATGATTCAGTAAGAGGAAAATTCCTTAGTAAGCTAACATTCTTTTGTAGGATGTTACCACTTATCATATCTGTTATCCAGCATAATCCCACAACTAGACCCTCTTATTCTTGAGTCTTGACAATGACAGTAGCAATGTACACTATTTTGATGCTCGGTCCAGGTCTCCAAGAAAACCTTCCTTTTTATATTCTCATATTGTGTGTTAATTTGGTGTGAAGTATTATTTTCTTTTTTAAAAGTAACAGTGTTAAACTAAAATGATATCAGTAAAAGATGATATATTTTAACAGGTAAAAATCATATAATTGACGATTAAGAGATATGGGAGTGTGTTCAGGACTCTGAAAGTGGCATACTCTTATAGTAATGGTATGAAATGGTTAACTTTAGTCAAGGTCTCATGTCTCTACGACCTTCGCTTTTGGCGCTGTGAATCTTGCGCTTCAGCGCAATGCGCAAATTCCTGCAGGAACTTCCCGACATTGTAAAGACCTGAAACCTCGACTAAAGTTAACCATTTCTTACTGTTTATATTAGAGGAACACACATTTAGAACTCCTTCCATACTCCTTCGTGACTAAATTGACGATTTAGAGAATTTTACCTGTTAAAATTTTTGCCGAGATTTACCTCATTTTACCTCATGAGGCCAGCCAAAAAAGGCAAAATTGGGATGAGGTAAAATGAGGTAAAATGAGGTTGACCCCCCCCCCCATATTTAGATATTCCAATTTTACAACATTTAATGATACATGTTTTTTTAATAACAACGTTTTATATAATTTTGTTTAAATTGCTTCGTTTGTCATAAATTCACACCTAAATTCAAAACACGTTACAGAAATAGGTGAACTGTGAAGCACTTTAGGAAATATTATATTATTGTACCATAACTCAATAACAGTATTGATACATAGATAATTTAAGGGATCATTAAGGGGGCAGGGGGGGGTCTTCATGGAAATTTTCTCAAAATCGACTTTTTCGTTGTTTCTGATAGATGGGAGTTATATCTATCAGATGCTTTTAATTCGATAGAAAAATATTGTTCCTAGCCGAAATTATCGCCGGTAAAAGGTCAGTGCTTGTGTGTAATTGTATTGCGCGAGCGATTTTTGATCGCGTGTCCTGAAAATCGAGTCTAAAAATCTATCTTCTCCTACATTTTTTGAGCAATCACCCTCAAACTTTCAGGATATGTTCTAGTGATCATTTAGAAGAGATTATCCGGGCAAAATTTTGAGATAGGCTTTTAAACATTTTTTATTCGATTTTAAAAATCTTGGACCTCGAAAAATCGTCAAAAAACCAGGTCCAAGATTTTCAAAATCGAATAAAAAATGTTTAAAAGCCTATCTCAAAATTTTGCCCGGACAATCTCTTCTAAATGATCACTAGAACATATCCTGAAAGTTTGAGGGTGATTGCTCAAAAAATGTAGGAGGAGATAGATTTTTAGACTCGATTTTCAGGGCACGCGATCAAAAATCGCTCGCGCAATACAATTACACACAAGCGCTGACCTTCTACCGGCGATAATTTCTGATAGGAGCAATATTTTTCTATCGGATTAAAAGCATCTGATAGATATCACTCCCATCTATCAGAAACAACTAAAAAGTCGATTTTGAGAAAATTTCCATGAAGACCCCCCCTGCCCCCTTAACATGTTATTACGTAAGGTCATCTAGGGAGCAGGAGATTTGGAAAAGCTGTAATTTCCAAAAAATAGTCGTGATTTAACTGAAGTTATAATATATAATCGTGAAAAATCTCTAACAAACTAACACAAAATATTATCTATGTCAGTATGTTATATAGCTCAAATGGATGGCTGATTCACTTGTTAACGATGATTCTATCTCGGACGACCGACCATCAAGACCTCGAAGACGACCAAGATTAAAACCCCATGATATCCCACATTCCAATCCACAGGTGAATAATCAATCTTCACCAAATATGTCTTTAAGTCCACTCTTCAAAGGACCTAATATCTCTCTATTTGGAGACGGATGATATCATATTACTTTCAGATATTATTATACATTTGAATAATGATGATACCTCTAAAGTTGTCTGATTAGAAAGGCACTGTGAATCATAATTTAATAGCATTCTCAAACTAAAACCACAATTTTATCTCAGAGAAATTCTGCCGTCCGTGGCAAGTGGAATAAAACATCCCAACCACAGCCATCAAGCAGCTCCAGTTCTCAATCTAAACCAAATTATAGGGTACGTTCTTTATAAATCAAGCTTGCTTCTGAAAAATATAAATTAAAAATGATTGAATGATTATGATTAATATATAAAATATTTTCATCTCGTGATTATATTGCTGTTAGAATACCCTCGTTGTCCCGAAATTCTTATTAAATAATGTACGATTTCTGAAATGTTTTATTTTCAGCAGAGAAATGTTCGACCATCTCATAGCAGACCACATGTTGCAGAAACAGATAGTAATCTATCGTCATTAAATAAAGCAATAGAAGAACGAAACAGAACCAATGCATTAAACCGGAGATCAGCAGGCAGCAGCTCCAATAAGGTAACTGGATTATCTGTATTAAAAGACCTAACAAATCTCAATCAATTTTATAGACATTGGTAGATCATAAATTTTTAATAGGTTTTAGCACATGCCATGCTGGAGTCTAATAGCTCATGACTTCCGAATTTGAAGTCGTTAGGTTAAAGCTGAGATGAGTAATTATTAACAGAAGTCAATTGGTCGCCTTTTTGGGACATCCTGTGCTTTAAGAGCTTGAAATTGTAAGAGCTTATCTTTTAATATTTTCTAGGGAAAGTCTCCAGCTGTTAAAACGAAAACTGATACAAGGCAAAGCTGTCCTTACTGTGCATTGAACCCCGAGGAAATGTCATGCTATTACTGTCAAAAGGTCAGTATTAAATTTATCTAGTATCATTATAACACCAAGCATTTTCATATCACCCTGGAAAAAAACATTCCTAACCTCAGCCATCAAGCAGCTCCAGTTCTCAATCTAAACCACATAGGGTACGTGCTTTATAAATTACTATCAAGCTTGCTTCTGAATAATATAAATTTTTTTAAATTATTGAATGATTATGATTAATTTATAAAATATTTTCATCTCGTGATTATATTGCTGTTAAAATACCCTCCTTGTGCCGAAATTCTTATTAAATAATGTACGATTTCTGAAATGTTTTATTTTCAGCAGAGAAATGTTCAACCATCTCATAGCAGACCGCATATTGCGGAAACAGAAAGCAATCTATCATTAATCTATCATTATAATAATGATTATGATGATTCATTATTAGATAAAGCAATAGAAGAACATAACAGAACCAATACATTAAACCGAAGATTAGCAGGCAGAACCTCCAATAAGGTAACTGGATTATCTGTATTAAAAAACATATTTCCCAATCTCAATAAAATTTATATACATTGGTACTTTGGTAGATCATAGATTTCTGATAAGTTTTTAGCACATTGTGGAGTCTAATAGCTCATGACTTCCGAATTTGAAGTCGTTAGGTTAAAGCTGAGATGAGTCATTAATAATGACTTCTGTTAATAATGACTCATTATTAACAGAAGTCAATTGGTCGCCTTTTTGGGGACATTCCGCGATTAAACTTAAGTATAAAATTTTAAAAGCTCATCTTTCAATATTTTCAGGGAAAGTCTCCAGCTGTTAAAACGAATATTAATACAAGGCAGAGCTGTCCTTACTGTTACTTTCCATTGAATCCTGAGGAAATGTCATGCTATTACTGTATTCAAAAGGTCAGTATCATATGTCATTTTATCTTATCATTATACATAACCATAACACCTACAATTTTCTTGTCACCCTACCTCGTGCACCCTCACTGGTGCACGAGTTTCTGGGCCACCATGTTTTGAGGCGTGATGTAATTTAGGCAAAAATTTCCTAGATACTACATCGTAGAGCTTGTAGGGCCTGTCGTGATATCATGGATCGCTTAGGTTCCACCAGGATCTGGTAGTCCTCATAATTCTGCGGCCTTTATGTATCGTCATCTCGTACAACTCTTTAAGAATCTTAGGGATTTGGCATGTGAAAATTTGCAGCCTTCCAGACATTGATTGGGTTAACGAGGTGTCGTACGTCACCTCAAGATCGGGTGACAGGGGGCTGACCAGGCCAGAACCCAATTGATTGGGTCTGAGGTCACGTGATTATGAGCCTGAGGTCACGTGACTATGACGTCACCAGACCTTGTTCTCCGTTTCCCGCTCATTGGACCAGGTGAGCTTGCATGCTTGTGAATGTGGGTGTAAGTACAGCTGTACTGTAGTTTATACCTAATTAACCCCTATAGAAACCGAAAATTTACAGATTCATCATAACAATATTACGACGCATAAATAAATTTACTGTCCGGAAATTACTTTAATATAGAATGGGAGTGAGTATTACAAACCTCGGGTCAGTTAACGAGTAATAAAAGTTTCCGAGGACCGTGAATCAGTAGAATAAGCATCAGTGCTTGACGACTGTTACTTAGAACCGTGATAGCCCAATTACCGGACACTACGGAGAACACTACGACGGAGGTGGAATTTTCATAAAAGGGTGGACAGCACAGTCATGAGTCATGTGTCCTATACCCAGTTCAATGGCCAAAACAGCTACTGAAGTTATAAGAACTGTACGATTCCCTAAATCCTGAAATTCTATAGTATAATTTGTCCAGTGGTAGATTTTACAGTGTAGAGGGTGTACAAGATGGGGCACCTGATGAGGACCGACCTGACCGCTCCCGATTATCCGATAAGGGAGTGCAGACTACGAAGACGACGAGTAATGATAATATTGCATGGGTTCACGTACAATTAAGAAGGCAGATTTACATTTGCATTGGCCTTTAAGTTTACATCATTTGAGAACTTAATCCAAGATGTTACAGTGGTAATCAATGATCAATCCTGCCGTGACATTTTCTCGTAATTATAGAATAGTTTTTGCTAAGATAAATGGGATGATTGGCTACATCTGTCCTTCAGTCTGAGATATTAGTTATATAATGATCCGATGTGCCTACAGCCTGCAGCTGTACACTGTACAGGTACAATCGTTCAATACACACAGCATCACTATGCTCTCTTAGACAGTTTTGTCGGCCATTTGCTCTATCTGCAAAGCTAAGAACTAAGTTGACAATAATCTATCTTCACTCTTAAATTTATTTATGTTCAAAACACTTGACAATAAATTTGCTCGCCGTTTCTGCACGAAAATACTACCGTAATCTGTACTTTTGCACAGCGTTTTTTGCACGAAAATGCTCATCCATACTTTGGCAGAGCATTTTTGCGCGAAAATGCTCATCCGTGTTTTGGCAGAGCGTTTTTGCTCGAACATGCTCATCCCTACTTTGGCAGAGCGTTTTTGGACGGATTAGCATTCTTAGTGCCCTGTTCTTTGCACGAAACATGCTAATGTCCAACTCTGGGGGAGGCCTTTTTAGGGTAATAGAGAATAGCACTTATAGCAATGAGTGCCAGTATATATCTACTGCAGTAAACCCCTAAACCCTAAAGCTCTAAAGCTGCAGTAATTTGTCAGGTTTTGCGTTAAATCGGAATTTTTTTAAATTTATTGTTCACAATTTACATGTTTACCACAATTCTGGGGAAGGAAATGGCTTTGGTAAATCGGGTTTTCGGTAAATTTAGGCGTGGTAAATCAGGATTTTACTGTATCTAGGATAAGTTGGACTAGGCTTGAGTTTCGTGCATTTATTTTTAAATTAAAGGTCATGGTTGCTATGATACAAACTCCGATTTTGATCAGTTGTTTTGCGTCTGAATCCTTGAAAGATTAACCACAATTCTTGTTAGATTGTTAATATTTCGAACAGGTTTTGAAAAGACTCGATTTAAAAAAAAGTTTATTAATCATTTTTATTTCAGCAGTTTACTTGTCCTGTGAGACAAAGTAAAATTCAAGATGGATGGAGGCTAGGCACAGTGAAAGGTCAATCGCAAGATGCAGTATACATCAAACCAGTGATGGAACTTCCACAAGGGTTAATAGCTGATAAGGATGTGCATGTTTGGAAAGATCAGATTTCTGGAATTAGTAATATTTTTCCTGTAATGAAAGGTGACAAGATAGAGTTTTTGCTCTCCGACAAACCGCAAAAGAAAGGCAACAAGCTATCAGCATATAGAGCAAACATAGTGTCCTTTTGTGGACGAAGAAGTCTCATTGAGTTAAGCCAATTTTTCGTCCTTGCAAAAAATAATGTTGGCGAAACTTCTACTAGAACTGAAACCATGAATTCAATTATGACCTGTGATGCTCTGTGGTTTTACATTTTCAATGCAAAATGTCGTGATAATGAAGAATATCAGGCATTCGTATCAAAAGTTTTGGATTTCGCCTTCTTTTTGATCGAGCACATGGACAGTTTTCCTTCCAGAAAAAAGGAAATATTTAATCTTATTTTAGACAGAGATTTCATTGGTCAGCTTAAAGACGAACAAGATAAGCATTCAAACAAACTAAGATTGGCCATGTTTGCAGTAAATACAGACATAGGCTTGTTCAAGAAAGTGATGCCGATTCTAAGCAGTGTGGTCCAAGAAAGCGAATCAGATGTTGCCAATGCACTTTACAAGATGCTTATGAAATTTGGAAACATCTGTGATCTTAACAACTGGCACGACCTTCCTCAGATTCCCACAATCGAAGAATTGTTTGGAGACCCTTTGGAAAGAGTAAAAGTTTTGAAACCCGTCTTGTTAACGTCTGGGTATCAAAATGCTGATGATTACTTGACTGTATACTACAGATTACTACGAACGGAATGTTTTTCTGCTATACAGGAGGAATAACTGCCTATAAGCAAGAAATTTGAATCGTAGGGATATGAGCATATTCAAGAATGTTTCTGTGGCACATCTTGAGCTGGAGCATGCGAAAATCTTAATATTTCTTAAATTTTCCTTGGACCAACGAGTTGCAAATTGGAAGAAGTCGAAAAAGCTCATGTCTGGTAACCTTTTGTGTGTTACTGTTGAGGGCGATTTTTCAGATCCTATATGGCTCACCGTTGCTGATCGAGATGAGGTTCTTCTAGAAAAGCATAGCGTTATTGGAGTAGAATTGATATCATTCCACAGCTCAGATGCTGATACTGCTGATAATGTTAAGAAGTTGCTGTTTAATTCTGGCAAAATGATCATGGCAGAAAGCCCTACATATTTTCAATCTTTTAAACATGTGTTGAATAGTCTTCAGTACTCAGAAATTGGCAACTTTCCTCTTGCCGATGAGATTATTCATGGTAGTTTCAAACAGTATGAAGGTTGTCGTAATTTGATTTCACCATACTTGAAAGATGTGGAATATGAAAAATTGGAAGAAAACCAACGAAATGCTTTTGTCCATGCTTTAGCTAGTACTTTGGGTATCATTCAAGGACCTCCTGGTACAGGAAAGACCTTAGTTGGTGCAAAACTTGCCAAAATATTACTTTGTTTGCAGAAAGATAACAAACTCAACAACTTACTTAACCAGGGACAGACTCCTTTGAACTATGCTGATGAAAATCATGAGGGAAATAGTGCCTCAAAAAATGAGGATAACCCACGGGCATACTCATACTTACGTACAAAAATCATGCACTTGATGAGTTCCTACTGCACTGCATAAAATTTTGCGATAAAGGAGATGTTACTAGAATAGGAGGGTCAATCAAAAGAAGAAGATCTGAAAGACTGCTTGCTGCATAACAAGATGAAAAATTCGGGAGGAATTTCAAGTAGACAAATCATGAATGAAATTGACGTCTTATTCGCCAAACTTTCAAATCTGTATTCTAAACTTGGAGACTTGCAAATGTTTACTTTTGAAAGTTTTGTCAGAAGTATGACAGATCAACAGTTTACCGATTTTGTGGACAAAGCAATTAAGAAAACATGGAAGTTTCCCCCCAAGTCATTGAAAGTCGATACCGTACTCGTCAAGAAGCTACATCGTTTCTTCACTATATTGAAAGAAGACCCTAACTGGAAACAGCAATTTTTACAAATAATGTACCGCTCATGTAGCCAACACCAGGAAAGTGAAGCCGACAAAATGATAGGTATGATATCTCTTAAGGTCCGGGATGCTTATGAAAATCACTGGTTGCCAAACAAACACAACTTAAGTCAATTGCAACAAAAAGGAAGTTTCCTTTTAAATGCACATATAAAAGATAATAATATTAATGATGATGTTATTGTTGATGAAATAGAGGATGGTGTGCTTGGAGAGGATGACGAATTGGATAGAGATTACATAAACGAGCAACATGCTACTAGGGCGTCAGCTTTTGATGAAGATTTTAAAAGTAAGTTTAAACCCAAAGACTTAAAATCGGAACGATTGGTAAAACTCGAAGCATCTATATCAAAGACAAATGCTAAAAATGCTAAAAATAAGAAGAACAAAAACGTCTTTTGCTTATCAGATTTCCCATCACATTGTGCTTTAAGCAAAAGTATTTCAACGAAAGATATCTTGTGGAGTCTCTCAGAAGTCGAGAAGTATACTTTCATATACAGTTCTTTGCATTCGGGAAATGACAATTTGATAGATGATATGAATGAACTGTTTGAACAAATCAACATGAAGCAGAAGCAGAAAGAGATGATTACTCTTACTAATAAGGTAGAAGTTTTAAGAACCCAAAAAATCGTTGGTGCAACTATAGTAGGAGCATCTTGTCAGTTGTCATTGATTAACAAATTGGCACCAAAAGTTGTCCTCGTAGAAGAAGCTGCAGAAGTTTTAGAGTCATGTTTGGTTGCTGTTTTGAGCAAGAGTGTCCAAAAGTTAATCCTTATCGGAGATCATAGGCAACTAAAGCCACAAGTTGATACATATCACCTTAGGAGGGAACATAACTTTCACATTTCTATGATGGAGAGGCTGATAAAGATAGGATTTCCGTACGAAAAGTTACTGAGTCAAGGCCGCATGAGACCAGAATTCTCGTGCATGTTGAAAGATATATACCCAAAATACCGAGACTTCCCTGATCTAGATAAGAAGAATGAGAAGATTGAATGTCTGCCTAACTCCATGTATTTCTGGTCACATAAGTTCCCTGAAAACAAAGACTGTTCAGTGAAAAACTTGAGAGAAGCCAACATGGTTGTAGCACTTGCTATGTTCTTTATTACAAGTGGTGTAGATGAGGCTGATGTGACCATACTTTGTGCTTACCTAGGACAAGTTCAGCATGTTCGGAAACTATATCGTGAGATGAATCCCCCACCTTCTAAACAAGATACTACAAAGAAGCCTATTGACATATGTACAATTGACGGATACCAGGGAGACGAAAATAAATTTGTCATTGTTTCGTTGACTAGGTCCAACGAAAATAATCAAATTGGATTTTTGAAAGAAATTGAGCGCCGTTGTGTAGCACAATCAAGAGCAAAATGTGGCATGTACTTTGTCGGAAATGCTACCATGTTCAGAAAAAGTAAAACATGGAAAATAATTATGGATACTATGGATAGTCAAAGTCTCGTTGGTGAAATGCTTCCTCTCATCTGCTACAGGCATCCTGATATCATATATCATGTTGTTCAGAGGGATGATCTGACTAAAAAGGTTGTAAGCGATAATTCCCAGTTGATGTATTATGTTCAGAATAATAACAAATGGTGTAAGGATATCTGCAATTCCTCCTTTCCCTGTGGAATTGAAGCTCATCGCTGCAAGAAACTCTGCACTCCACGACATGATGATACAAAGTGTAAAACTAAAGTCGATTTCAAATTTTTAGATTGTCATCATACTACTCAAAAGGAGTGTTACATTGAGGAAAAAGATATGAAGTGCAAAACCAAGAGACTCGTAGAGCTGCCTAATTGCAGACACCAAAAAGTGGTAGAATGTCATACTTGGATTTTCAAAGAGAATGAAATCATGTGTACTGAAACCTGCTCAAAGTCATATGACTGTAAATATCAGCATAAATGTGAAAAAATGTGCGTAAGAGCTCATGAGCATTATGCAGAGCATTGTCCAGAAAAGGTAGAGTTTGTGATTCGAGAATGTGGCCACAAAGCAAATATTAAGAAGGTGTGTGGTAAACCCGAACCAGCGATAACATGTAAATCTATCTGCAATTACTCCTTTCGCTGTGGAATTGAAGCTCATCGTTGCAAGAAACTGTGCACTCCACGACATATACATGACGATGCAAATTGTAAAACCAAAGTCGATTTCAAATGTGCAGCTTTTCGTCATACTACTCAAAAGGAATGTTACATTGAGGAAAAAGATATGAAGTGCAAAACCAAGATACTGGTAACGTTTTCTAAGACGTGCAAACACCAAAAAGAGGTAGAATGTCATACTTTTAATTTCAAAAAGAAAGAAATCATGTGTACTGAAACCTGCTCAAAGTCATATGACTGTAAATATCAACATAAATGTAAGAAAATATGCCGAAGAGCTCATGAGCATAATGCAGAGCATTGTCCAGAAAAGGTAGAGTTTGTGATTCGAGAATGTGGCCACAAAGCACATATTAAGAAGGTGTGTGGTGAACCTGAACCAGTGATGAAATGTAAATTGATCTGCAATTCCTCTTTTCCCTGTGGAATTGAAGCTCATCGTTGCAAGAAACTCTGCACTCCACGACATGACGATACAAAGTGTAAAACCAAAGTCGATTTCAAATGTGTAGCTTTTCATCATACTACTCAAAAGGAATGTTACATTGAGGAAAAAGATATGAAGTGCAAAACCAAGATATGGGTAAGGTTTCCTGAGTGTAAACACATAAAAGAGGTAGAATGCTGTGTTTTGACTTTTCAACGGGAAACTATCATTTGTATGGAGACCTGCTCAGAGTTATATAAATGTCCAAATAAGCACAAGTGTGAGAAGATTTGTGGAAGCGCTCATGAGCATAATGCAGAGCATTGTCCAGAAAAGGTAGAGTTTGTGATTCAAGAATGTGGCCACAAAGCACATATTAAGAAGGTGTGTGGTAAACCTGAACCAGCGATAACATGTAAATCTATCTGCAATTCCTCCTTTTCCTGTGGAACTGAAGCTCATCGTTGCAAGAAACTGTGCACTCCACGACATATACATGAAGATACAAATTGTAAAACCAAAGTCGATTTCAAATGTTTAGCTTGTCTTCGTACTACTCAAAAGGAATGTTACATATTGGACAAAGATATGAAGTGCAAAACCAAGAGACAGGTAAAGTTTTCTACGTGTAAACACACAAAACTGGTAGAATGCTATGTTTGGACTTTAGAACAGGAAACTATGTTTTGTATGGAGACCTGCTCAGAGTTATATAAATGTCCAAATAGACACACGTGTGGAAAGATTTGTGGAAGAGCTCATGAGCATTTTGCGGAAGATTGTCCGACACAAGTGGAATTCGAATTTCCTAAATGCACAGCTCATATTAGGAAAGTATGTGGCCAACCGAAAGTAGAATGTGAAACGAACTTCGAGTACGAGAGTACCAAATGTGGACATCTTCAAAACCGGAATTGCTCAGAGGTAGAGAAATGTATTCATGTATGCAACAAGGAAAGGCCTGACTGTGGTCACCCGTGTGCAAACCTATGTAGTAAACCATGCCTTGAAATAGACTGCAGGATTTGTTCAGAGAAGTCTAAAGAATCCCTTTTTTCTGTTCTGCTAAAAAGGTTGCGGAGGAAAAGTTGAAAATATGTAGATTTAGCAAAGCTGAACCTGACTTTTTCAAGCTTCTGCATATGTCTACCAGCACAATGGTTGACTTAACGATTTTATTTACGATTTTAACAGTGTTGAGACAATTATCAGTGTAAAAGTTTGAGAAAGAAAGCATGCTGTATTCTCTGCTCACTTATTTCATTGAGTATCAACGATAAGGCTGTTGTGTTTCTTATTATGTTAACAACATTATATATTTATAATTAACTCGATTCACTGGTTGTTTTCAGTTACTGAATAGTGATATTCACGACTTGCTATTTTTTTTTTTTGAAATGTAATAGCGATGATAATATTGCGATAAGCAATTTTTTTGTATCCGTTTAGTTCTAGATATAACTAATTTTTGAACAAGTTATAAATTTAAGAATTTGGTCACATTTTTGGACCTAACTGATTTTTTTCCCTACTCTTGCCGAAGGCAAAAAGATCGTAGGGAATAAGTAATCAGGTTTGGATATATGAGGTGGCCCGACGGTCCTACGTTGACGACAAAAGTCTGCTCCTTCGCAATATAGACCACTCTCCTATAATTATGTGTATAAAAGGAGTATATTTTGCGCGCGCGACGCCTGTTATGTGTTAATTAATTACAGGCATAGCAACCAGTTTTTGGTGCTTGACGACTGTTACACAGGTTTCCATCGGGTTACAATTCACTCTTATTCATTAATATAGCATATTAGTCATCATAGCGGATCAATCATCAATGTAAGTGTTATTTTGGTGAAACAAGCTTGATAAATTACAGAGTGATAAAATTCAGCAAGTCGAAACAAATTAAATTATGATATCAGCTGATAAACTCGTTGCTGATTACTTAATATATATTACTTATAACAGTTGATCGACACTTCATGGTAAAATTTAAAAAGCGAAAACATAGTTGACAAAAGATGTTACTTTACATTTAGATTCAAGGAGCAACTAAGATCAAGATTGCGGTATGCTTTTAAAGAATCCTATATAAAATCAAAGGCTCGATAGTCGATGGTGCTGTAGATGTAAGCATCAAAAGCATTAGTTTATGTTATGTTATTCCTCAGGAATGAATAGTACAAACCCTTTTAAGATTCCTTTATTGCATAATTGATTTTTATTTTGCCTGAGGGGCTTTCCATAAATTATTTTTTTAAATAATTGGTCCTTTTATTGATGTTTCATATTTCACGGCAGTTTCCTTTTCAGAGTTTGAGTTTATATTTAGAAACTAACCATACTATCTTTTAGATTTATGTCACTTATGATGGCTCCGGCTGAAAGTACTATGACTCATTTTATCTAGAAGATTGTAGTTTCATTGCTTCTGAAGTAGCTATCAGTTCGCCGGTCAATGTTGGGTATAATACTCTTGTTAGTTTATGTTATATACAAATAATAACTAAGATGAGACAGAATAGTTGATTACAGTCAATAAAGTTGGCATACGATGCAATAATATGACGTGACATGATACTCATCGTTAACACGAAACAAAACCGTGCAAAAATGAAATGATCTACAACCAAACCACATACAGATCGACGGCGACACTTCAGATGCGCGCAGAATTTTACAAGTTCTGCACGCCTAATATAATATAAACGATTATCGCGTGCGCCAAACACCACTGTGGGATACAATAAGGGGTCGTTCACATATTACGTAATCATTTTTTGGAACAGTTTTACCCCCCCCCCCCCCCCCCCCTCCGTAATCAGTTTTACACAAAGCTATTGTGTCGAAATTACACTAGCGTAATCATTCGGAAACCCCCCCCCCCCTCAGCTGATTACGTAATATGTGAACGACCCCTAAAGTAGAACAATTACATTGTAGGCAGTAGGGAAATTTGATCGTGCGTGGTGTTACCGCGGCGGAATTCTTGTTGTAATTTTATTCACATAGATCTTCAGTGTTTTTACAGTATAATCATGACAAATTCACAAATCGTTAATATTCTGACAAAATTTTGTTTTAATGTAAAATCTATTGTATATCTATACTGGATAATTGTGTCATTTAATTAAGAATAATTTACTTTTTATATCATATAATTATAGACAGACTATGAATTATTCTTTTACTGTTAAATTCTTATTCTGATCCATGCATTAGTGTTTTACTGTTTTATTGATTTAATAGAACTCTGCAACATAATCAAAAATACAATCAGTAAACCTTATCTCTGATTTAAATATTAAACATGTTATTGATCGCTTTCAATTTCATTAATAACGAAGCTCTAATTATGTGTATCTTAGTGCATGGTTATAATGGCATCTAGCTAAAGTGGATGGAGTCTGACCTTGACTTATTTATTGAAGACTTCTGTCCACCCAGGACAAACAGGGCATGGACATAAAACTTGCTGCTTCTCGACTCTATGATGACGAGGTGATTGTTGAGAATTCTCTAATAAACCGGGGGATTTTCCCCAAAAATTACCATTTTGTCAACTTCATTGCCTGGTTGTACCTAAATCTTTTATGGGATCACAAATTTCGGCTGTTTTAGAATATTGAGTTAGGCCTTAAAATATAAAATGCTGACATTTATAACTTTCGCAGAATTTCTGTCACAGTTGTTAAAGTAAATCAATCTAACACTTTACATCTAACATCTAGACAACATTAATTTATTAACTTAATTAAATAAACAATATTAACATTAAATTATTAATCATTTACTTCTATGGTAGAAGGCCAACAGAAACACAGAAACCTCTACTGAACTGAAAACACTGCGTGGTAACATCATGGCTATTCTCAATAAGATAACACCAGACAACTTCAAAGTGCTGAGTGTAGAGATGTTAGAACTGAATATAGATAACAAGGAGAAAGTTGGAATTGCAGTGGAGATGATATTTGAGAAAGCTGTGTTGGAGCCCATATACCATCAGACTTATGGTAACCTTTGTAAGGTAACTTTCTGTCAGACCATTAGAGATTTGACAGTATCGGTACCTTTCCTGTACCCACTAAATTGTCAGTTTACAGCGTAGATTTCCTGATAGCTTTACTTAACACTGATGCAAACTTTGCACTATTCAATGTACTTTCTGATCAGGTAATGGGCGCGATGAAGACCCCAGAGGAACAAACCACCAAATTGTCTCCCTTTAGCAAGGCACTTCTCAGAAAATGCCAAATCGAGTTTTTCAGGGTGGATAATCATGAATATAAACTTAACAAGCAGATGGGAGAACTACACTTGCAAGGTTAGTTTCTAACCCATTTTAACGAAGTTATTTTTTCCTTTTCACCCTTTTGAAAAAAGGCAATAGTGAAAGGTTACGAATGGAGGTTTTTGCAGTAAAACGTGGATTTTGGAGAACGAGATAGGTGGGTTTAAATATGTCGTGTGTCCTTCCTTCCTTCCTTCCGTTCGTTACCATGCAACGAAAAAGTTGGGCGCGCGCGAGGATTGCTTGCGGAGATGTGATGTATAGATAGCCTGTGATCTATGAATGCGCGGCGCGACTGTGTTTTAATGTATATGATGCATGTAATGTATAATATTACTATTAGGTAATACGCCCAATTTGTACGTGGCACGCGTAGTGTATTGATGTGTACACGAGTATAGTTTAAATTTGCTGATAATTTCTTGAATTACAGATACAAGTTAAGTTCTACGGCAATTGAACTGAATTTCAAGTGTTTCCCGTATTTGATGCATAATTTATCAATATTATTATCATGAAGATTGAAGTGAGCTGATTGGAGCTTATACTTAAATTTATAGTAAATGTTAAATGGAAATCTAGCGTCCGCCAAAACGAAACAACGGGCGCAATTCTTGTTATAATTGATTAGATCTAAGTAAGATTGTTATACTGATTATTATTTAAACAATTAAAATATTGCCGATATTAATTAATTATGTTAATTAATAAATTAATATTATATTAATTAATTATCATTTTCAATTGCCTCCCTCAGCTGACCTAGTAGAAAATGAAAAGCAGAATCAAGGAGAAAAAGAGGACTCATTGTACAAGCGAAGTAAATTGAAGAAAAGGATGCTGGGTACGATCCAGTTTATCGGGGTACTCTTTAATATGGACTTGCTCTCAACAAAGATCATCACCCAAGTACGTCTCTTTGTTGTGAAACTTTTCATTATATTACTGCTGCCAGGTTTGTTTTGAGCATATTTTTTTTCGATTTGATTGCTGAATCCTCTGATGTCCCCATTAATTCTAACATACAATAATCATAAACATTTCATTTAGTGTTGTTTAAGTTATCTTCTGACGAAGAAGAAAGAAGGAAAACTTGGCGACGAAGTAGTCGAATGTATCTCTAAACTGTTCTCGACTGTCGGTCTCAAGCTTGAAAATGAGTGTGATGTTGAGTTTGAGAAAGGTTTCCGCGATTTCCGCGATTTGGGATCAGGTATGTGTGTTTGTGAGGCCTCGTAAAATGAAGATTTGTAAAAGTTTCATCTTTGTATCATTAATCGAACAAGGTTTATAAGATCACAGCATTTCATATTTTTATGTTAGTCCTTATCATTATAATATATTTCGTTCCTTGCTTTCTAATATCCGCTACTTCTAGATCCAACCTACGGGTCTCGAATCCGGTTCATGATACAAGACACAGTGGAACTTCGTCACAACAACTGGATACCTCGTCGCATTGAAGCTATGCCTCAGACAATCGAGGATATTCACAATGAATATGCGAGGGAGAAGAAGGAGAAGGAGGTGGAGGCGGAGGCCGCTACCAGATGGTGGAAATCTCAGAAGAAAAGGGAGAAAAACAGATATTGATTTCGCATGAGTCAGAAGTCAGGCTGGTATACCCGAAATATTCAACCTATTGTATACTATTCATGTACGACAAACTTTGAAAGAGGTGATTTTAGAATATTCTTGTTTGAATTTAAGTTGGTATAAATTAGAGGTTCGAGATTACAGTTCACTTCAATTTGTCCACTATCAATGAGAGGAAGCTTCAATTCCAGCCGTCCAGTTTGGTGCATTATGCTTCAAGTTATGAGTTCTAAATTGTGATCTTGGTTAGCGAATGTGCTCCGTCCTAGAGCGTTATTGGGTTTTTTAACTAATAAACTTATTTTTATGTCTAACTTATTTTGGATAGATGCAGATATTTATTAATGCGATAATATTATTTAATATCATGTTGAATTACGATTTACCATTGGTTGATGATGCGTGAAGAAGTTAATAAATTGCAATTACTAGTACGTGCTAAAACAAACTGGTAGAACTTCCTCCGTGTTACCCACATAAATTAAATAGACTTAAGTTCTGGTATGGTGGGAGATGACATTACCGAAATTTACCGGGTAGTTAAAATTACATAATATTTCAAATCGCTGAACAAATCGCGGTGAATATGACATTAGTCTGTACTCTTAAAACATGTAATTTGAGGATACAATATGTGACTATCGGGAAAAGTTAATCGAATACGTACCTATACCTGTTATATCGAATCAATCGAAGACATTTATATCTTTATATCAATAGTTACTGTTGTGAAATTTTTACAGTCAATCCTAAATTTTTGGAATTTGTTAAAGGGTTTGGTTTTTCTTGTTTACGTTTTAATATTTAATTATGGAACGTAACTGTTTAAAATAACATTAGTTTGCTCCTTGTGAGTTTATCGATATAATAGCAATGATATTAGATTATTCATTGTTATTTAAATTATTCAATGCAAAGGTAAAAACAGCAGTTGGTAAACAGACTTTATAGAATTATAGCTAACAGACTACTGCACGTGCTACTAACGGACTACTGCACGTGCTACTAACGGACTACTGCACGTGCTGCTACAGGGCACGTGACCATTAGATAGAAAGTGCTTGTCAGAGTGTGTGGTGTACATAGTGACCCTGACCGTGCGGAGGGTTAGGAGCACCACGGAGTGTACTTTCTAGCATTAGTAAGTTAGTACAACAGCTCAACAGTGCAAACCAATGAAGCATGCAAACCCAAGGGATCATATCTAACGGAATTGTCCACCAGTCGGAACTGTTAGCGAACGGACTGTAAAGTCTGTCAGTAGTCCTGAATTCTTATATTTCCATGATTACGATTTTGTATTTTCTTCGTGACTCGTGAAATTCAGATCTATAAAAATTACAATAAAATATGAACCTATATCACAAAAATATGTTGGTACTTATTTATCAAAACGTAGTATTTAATTTTACCTCGCTACGTTTTGAACATTTAATCGTAATACAATGTTCCTATGATTAAAGTTTAAAAGGAGGAAAAGTTTATTTTACAAGTTATGCTTTTAGTATAGGTATTAAACATGTGGGCATTGTTATGGTAAAATAGTGTGAACTGGTAATGAATGGATCCGGACTCTGACCAAATCGAGGACTTTCGTCCGCCAAGAGTACCTCGGAATCACGGAAAAAATACAGTCAGATCTTCTTTTGATGAGGTGATTTTTAGAATTCTGTCGTCAATTCTGTTTATGGAATAATTTATATTTATATAAATACTATCAAATTTTATACTCGAAGCTATGGCAGATTCTGAGTGTTGCCATGCAACACAACCAGTTAAATTCTTATTTTGATATTAAAACACGGTATCAAAGTTTCCCACATCTCGTACCAGGATTGTTATAAACAGCTCAATTTGTTTACACAGCAAAGGAAAGACAATGACTCAAGACGTGGAACAACAGGTGGTACAAGAAGTGGTATAAGAGGTGCTACGAGTGCAGTTTCCAGGGAGACAAATGTGCCCTCGTCTAGGTTAATTGATTAGTATGGTATTGATATAGTTTAACACAGGACTAATAAGAAGGTTCATCGAATGTGCGTCTGGCCAATTCAAATTCACTTATTTTGGCCAGAAAATAATATTATATCATTCGTCCTTTATGTACAATCCCTCCTAACGGCTGATATTTCATTTTCAGTAGACTGTCGAGTGGTAAGCAGAAGCATTCGCCTGGACCTAGTAGCACATCATACGCACAGTCAAAAATGAAGGTGGAGAAGCTCTCATCTTCACTTTCAGGGCTTCGTTTAAGAGACAGAATTCCCATGGTATGTATTTCGAAACTCCTTATTTTAAAGCTGAAGGATTAGAAAATATCTATGAAGTATCGCCGTAATTGCCGCTCAGAAGGATTGCTTAATGTATAAGACATATTAGAATATATTTACAGTTACACGGGTAACCCCTCCCCCACTTCCCCCTTCAAAATTCATTCCCCAGGAGTGTTCTCCATCACGATCTTCAACAGAGATTGACACATCAGAACATAGTCTGAACTCATATTCTGGAGATAACACAGCGGATATTGTGAGTAATTTAACAGTTATAATGTCTCTTCAAATTTCATAGAAGATTCCTCAACATTTCAACTCCAATACCGAATGGTTAAGTATAATTTTATCGTCCTTCTGCAGGTGAATCGGCCAATAAAGTTAGGATCCGGTCGCGGCTCGACTTTCTATTCGAAATGCTTATCTAATATAATGTTTTGCAATTTCAGATATTTAGCTGCGATCCGCCTCCATATCTTCGAAGCAAAGTGAAACAAGGCTGGACACACGGAACTTTAAATGGGGCACGTCTTGAGATCTCTCTCTATGTGAAGCCCATCTTCCCCCTTCCCAAAATATATAACGCCAGAAAAGATGTGTATATTAAAAACGTTATTGTCCCAGGGTTCAACCACTTGTTAGAGCCCCTGGAGGGTGACAAGATAGAATTTAAACTGCATCCTCCCAAGTTCCAAAAACCCATCGAGAACAAGCCATCCGCCAAAAGTGCCTGTATTCTCTCTTACTGTGCTCCAAGATCGTTTATCGAATTACAATCATACTTTAGTGACACCTTAGAGAAAATAGAGAATTCCTCAACCAAGACAGAATTTATCACCTCCCTGATGTCATCTGAGGCTATTTGGTTTTACTTCTTCAATGTAACGTGTGATGACGATCATTACTTTGAGAGGTATATTCGAAGTTTGCTGAACTTCATTTTCTCTTTATCTGACCACATGGAAAGTTTTCCATCACGGCGAAAGGAGATTTTTGGCCTTATGCTAGAGAAAAACTTTATTGGTTCTGTAAGGGATAAGACCGTTCGGCAATCATATGAGTACATGTTTATTGAGTTGGCTGTGACCATGGAACCATTGTTTCTAAAAGATGTCATACCCTGGATTAGCAGAATTATGGAGGGTCCTCAAACTCCCTTTACGGGTATTTTATACAAGATCCTAATGAAACTTGCCGATATTGTTGACCTCAGTAATTGGAAAGAGCTTACCCAGATTCCATCCATCAAAGAGATTTTAGGTGATCCACTTGAACGAGTAAGTTATCTGAGGCCCATCCTACTTAAATCAGGATACATAGATGGAGATGATTACCTCAACGTGTATTATAGGCTCTTGAGGGCAGAATGCTTTTCTGCTGTTCAGAAAGGGATCGTTGATTTCAGAAGAGGAAAATTGGATCCTCGTGATATGGATATCTATGACAAAGTATCTGTTGTAGACATTGACATTGATCATACGACTATTTTGTTGTCACTCAAATTCACTTCTAAAAGACCTGTGAATGATTGGAGCAAGTCTAAAAAGTTGATGTTTGGAAATCTCCTCTGTCTGTCAATCAAAGGTGATTTCTCTGATCCTATCTGGCTGACGGTATCTGAAAGGGATGGAGGGATCCTCCAAAAGTTTAATGTCATCGGAACAGAACTAATTTCATTTCACTGCTCGGATATAAATAGCGCTGAGATAATTCGAAAAATGCTCTTACATTCCGGTACAATGGTGATGGCAGAGAGCCCTACGTACTTCAAATCATTCCAGCATGTGCTTTCTAGTCTGAAGGTTTGTCAGATGGAAGACTTTAACCTTTACAATGAAATAGTACACGGAGATTACACTGGTCAAAAGCTAACGGAAGTGTTCACGAATTCATTATGTGATTCAAGTGACTTAGCTGGAATTCTCAAAATAATCAATTATCATGAAATGGAAGAGCATCAGCGGAATGCATTTTGGCATGCTACGAAAAGTCGATTGGGGATTATACAAGGCCCTCCAGGAACAGGAAAGACATATGTCGGAGTCAAGCTCGTGCATTTATTTCTTGAATTGCAGAAAAATCGTATACCCCATAAAGTTGTTCATCAGAATCGATCTAAAACGGAGTCAGGCGACACTAATCCCATTGAATCTGACTCAAAACGTTCACTAACTGATAGTGACGACGAATCTGAGTTAAGCGAGAATGATTCTACGTCAAAACGTTTACTAACTGATAGTGACGACGAATCTGACTTAAGCGAGAATGATTCTACATCAAAGAGTCCACCAAATAATTCTAAGTTACAAGAATTACATAATCCGCCTATCCTTGTGTTAACTTACAAAAACCATGCACTTGATGAATTTTTGAAGCACTGTATTACATTTTGCGATGATAAAAATGACATTACTAGACTGGGAAGTCAATCTAAAGAGGAATCGTTGAAAGATTGCCAGCTTCACGTGCAAATGAAAAATGTTGACAGATTTTCTAAAATATCTACAAGAGGAATCATAGAAGAGACTGAGTCGTTGTTCGGAAAGCTTTCTATTTTATTGAGAAAACTTCAACAACAAAAAGTGTTCAACTTCACGACATTTATAACTTGCTTGTCAGCTAGCCAACTGTCGATGTTTGCTAGCAATGCTCTCAAAGTACCTTGGAGATGGAGGCCACAATGGCGTAATATACCAAATAATAACACATTGTTACGAAATTTCGCCGGATGGGAAAGAAATGATAATGAAGATCTAAAGATTCGGTTGCTCTCTCACGTCAGTGCTCTGCAAACTAGAACACCAGATCATAAACAGAAACCGTTCAATATGATGCAAAGAGTCATAAGTTGCAAGTTGCTCGATGCTTTCAGTTTTATCTGGTTACCAGATAAAGAAAATGTTAAAAAACTCACTAGACTTCAAAAAATGGGTGCTGCTTTCTTTAATGTAACATCTAAAACTGACGAATATGGACAAGATTGTTCTGCTGACGTTGCAGATATTGACATCATTGATGATCTTGACGAAGATTACGTGAATGAACAGCTAAGTCTTAGACGCTCAGCTTTTGACGAGGATGGCTACAAGCAAAATCGATCTCAAGAAAACAAATCTCAAAGACTTAACCGGCTTTCTAGAAAAATGAAAGAAAGAATGAGTTTTGTTGACAAAAAAGACTACACCTCGTCTGATTTTCCTGAAAGTTGCCAAAAAGATGAAGGCCTATTGGCCAAAGCTGATGTCTGGAATTTATCTGAGATAGAAAAGTATGCCTTCATCTATAGTACACTGCATCTTAGCTTCGATGACATCTCAGAGGAAATGAATTTTATCCTCGAACAGATTGATATTCAGCAGAGAAAAAAACAATCGACTGACGAGCAGAATAAACTCATGTTTTTGAAAAATCAAAAAATTGTTGGAGCAACGATAGTTGGAGCCTCTGTCCATCTCTCCTTAATACAGAAACTTGCTCCTAAGATTGTGATAGTGGAAGAAGCCGCCGAAGTGCTTGAACCTTGTTTAGTTGCTGTTCTTACGAAAAGTGTTGAAAAACTTATATTGATCGGAGACCACAAACAGTTAAAACCTCAAGTCGATACATACCATCTACGCAAAGAATACAATTTCCATATTTCAATGATGGAACGTCTAGTTGGTTTAGGATTTCCTTATAAAAAGCTGGTAAGGCAAGGAAGAATGCGACCAGAATTTTCTTGTATGCTGAAAGACATTTATCCTGACTACGATGACTTCGAAGGACTGTCAGATAAAAACGAAGTTATCGAATGTTTATCGTGCAGCATGTTTTTTTGGTCTCACGATTATCCTGAAGTAAAAGACAGGTCTGCTCGAAATCCAGGGGAAGCAAATATGGTGCTTGCTTTGGCTTTATTCTTTATTGCAAGTGGTATCCCTGAAGATGGTATAACTATACTCTGTGCATATCTAGGACAAGTTCAGCTGGTCAGGAAAATGTATCGTGATTTGAATCCGATATCGACTCCAAGTGGAACCTCAGACAAAAAGCAAATTAATATCAGGACTATTGATGAGTACCAAGGTGACGAAAATAGGTTTGTGATAATTTCCCTTACCAGATCGAATAACGAGCAGAACATCGGATTTCTTAAAGAAGTGGAAAGAAGATGCGTGGCTCAGTCAAGAGCCAGATGCGGTATGTACTTCATTGGCAATGTGGGTATGTTCAAACGGAACAAAACCTGGGAATTCATCACAAACAAGATGGAAGCTTTGAAATTGATAGATAGCAAACTACCGATTTGCTGTTTCAGACATCCAAGCTATACGCGAAACGTCGTTCAAAGTCAAGATATTATGGTACAGAGAAACATTACTGACAACAACCAACTGATGTATTATGTCCAGACAAAAGATAATTGGTGCAAAGCAGTTTGTGATGTATTGTTCGAATGTTTAATAGAAGACCATCGCTGTAAGAAGCTGTGTACACCTAGACATGATGACAGCAAATGTTTGACAGAAGTGAGCTTCACGTTTACTACATGTAAGCACGAAACGATGAAAAAGTGCCATATCAAAGATGAAGATATGAAATGCTCGGTTAAACTTACTAAAAAACTTGACTGTGGTCACAATAAAAGCGCATCTTGTCATCAGTGGTTGTATGAAAAAGATGATATCAAATGCTACGAGACGTGTTCAGAATCCTACCAATGCATTTCTAAACATGCGTGTAATGAGATTTGTCATAGGGATCACAGCCACTTCTCAGATAAATGCACAGCACCAGTGGAGTTCAAGTATCCTGTATGCAATCATGTTGTCCTTAACTACCAAACAGAATGTAATGACCCGAAGCCTCCTAAAGATGACCCAAAATGTAAATTTCGTCTCAAATATGAAAGCGAAAACTGTGGTCATAAACAGAGTCGCCTCTGTTCAGAATTTGAAAAATGCACTAGACAGTGTGACAGAAATCGTCCTGACTGTGGCCATCGCTGTGCGAAAAAATGTTTCGAACCATGCATTGGAGGAAATAAAAATTGTAAATTGTGTGAGCTAGAACACAAGAAAATCTTAGTTGCCGCTAAGGCAGCTGCTAAGATGCAATTACAGATATGCATAGAGGAAGCTTCAGACCCAGATCTCTTTTCTTTGACAAATATTACTGATAACACAGATGAGTTTTCAAGTGTAACAGAAAAATGTCAAGTGTTTTTCAGTTTGTATTCAAAATCGAGGGTAAAAAATATTGTGAGAGTTTGGAAAGTGAAATGTCCCTCCAACAATGTCAACTTCTGGGAATTTGCCAGTTATGCATTTGGTCCCCTTAAAGAGGAACTGTACAATCTTAAGCAAGGATACTTGGACTGCTCATCTATGTTGAATAGTGGAGACCTCTTTAAACAATTTCAACATCCTAATCCAGGATATGATCCAGGATATGAGTTTACAAAGTATGCATCCAGAAGTTTCACGTCTGATCGTAAAGAAAATAACAACCAATTTACGGTATTTATCTCAGATATCATGCTTGGAGATCGGTTAAACAAAGCAGATATAATTAAAAACGGAGCTAAAAAGAATGGGTCCACTGCTGCACAACTGAAAGACCGCAAGAAGAACTCTGTTATTGAGACTAAGCCACATGGACCAGCATCGTATTATGTTTACAATAGTGACCAAATTTTACCAACATACATTGTGCACTTGAGCTGTAAGAAGAAGATTGCCGGCAAAGGCCCATTAAAGGATTTAGCAGATGGGGAACACAAATACGATTTATCATCCTTCAATCTTAGGGATCACAGTAATCCTATGTGTGATGAAATCCAAAGAGCCACTTCCCTTTACAAGGGAGACCGTTCAAAACGACCACCATACACGCAGGCCAATATGCCACCCATCAAATCTATTGGGGTTGTTGTTAATCGTAAATGCGAAAGAGAGTATGAGCAGAAGAAGGAAGAATTTAAAGACTCTAAACAAACGATTGTCGAAGTTTTTGCCTATCATGCCACAAAGCCTGAAAATGTTGCTAGTATCATCAAAAACAACCTTGATCCTGGTAGAACACCCGTTCATGGAGCTGCATATGGTAAAGGTTGCTACTTTTCCGAACATCCCGAGTTTAGCTATGAGTATGGAAAAGAAACCATGTTTATTTTCAAACTCCTCCTTATTGAAAATCAGTACAAGACGGTTGAACCCAACGAAAAGGGCTTCTGTCGGGAACTTGTACTGAACGATACATCACTGTTTAAACCTCAGTATGTTTTGTACTTTTAGCAACATCGTGATTAAAGCCTCCTACTCTCCTGTAGGACAATGCTACGATAGACAGTGAATGTAAAACTCTGATAAAATATTGTTGTTTAAAATAAGCACAGTATGCAATAATATTTCCATGTTATTATTTAGCGTTTTTATAAATCAATAAATATTGTATGCGAATTTAAAAGATTTTCATAAGTTTTAATGATTTACCTTATTGATTACGTCATCATATTAAGATATTATTATGATGTGTTTTATGTTTCTTTTAGAAACGTGAAAATTTTCACTGTGTGATTGATTTTTTGAGTACTCTGATTGGTTTAATCGAATCTCTAAAGAGATGCTCGATATAAAATATTTGAGTAACTGACACTACACTTTGAATTTAAACATTATATATTGTGATTTCTGTAGACTGTTTTATTTTTTATCATCAAAAAATGTTTGAAATACATAATTATTTTACTCTGTTTTCATGTTCATTGTTACAATTTGATTAGTTCGTTCTGATAATGTTTCACTGCTTACCGAGTTACTTGAAATTTAAATATCAATATTACTGTGCTTTATGTTTTTAAAAATACCATATTATTATTTAAAAAGGTTTCGACTAAAAAATATTACAACAGAATCAATTAACGGTAATTAATTAATTTACCAATGAACGATAATTAATTAATTGACCAATTAACGGTAATAAATTAACCAATTATCAGTGATTAATTAATTAATTAGCGGTAATTCTCCTCAGGATGCACTGATATGTCTAAAGATGACGCAATACCACTTGGTGGAATAATTGGAATAGCTGTTGCCGGCGTTGGTCTCCTTATTGTTGCTGCTGTCATCCTCTACCTCGTCTGCAACAAGTATGCTAAAAAACAAAAAGAAAGCAGAAAGGAAGAAGTGGTTTACGCAGAAGTGGGAGATTACAGCGACAACACCGGAGCTAAGGAGTCCTCGCATTATGCAAAAGTAGAATTCAAGAAGTCGGACAAGTTCAAGAAGCAGAAAAAGAAGGCGAAAGAAGTTGAGAAAGAAAAGACGGTTCCGGTGTACGCAGAAATCAATTTCCCACCCCAGCCCCCTTCCCAACCTGATTCTCCGGAGCCGAGATACGCTAACATCAATATTCAGTCTTCCGTCTGAGGAATCATTGATATCCAAATTCAATATTTACTACTCGAAGAGACTGGCAAGGATTATAAGAATGTTCTGTTGTGATTTTTGTAATGACCACTAATATGCATCGAGAAAGTGGACCCATGTGCTTTATTTCATCGATTTTATCTTCTATATGACATTCTCTAATGTGGGAGTAAGTGGAAGGTTGCAAATGAATGAATTGGTTCGACATCGACTTAATAATTCATGGATATTATTGTTATCTTTTCTGATAGAAATTGAATATTGAGGAGGTGGTCGATTATCATAATATAACGGTTACTCACTGAGTCATATAATAGACCCTTATAGATTATCAAAAATTAACATATTTAGTGGTTGGTAAATGTTTGTAGAGTAGTTGTGAGTTTGTGTAGGGTTTTGGGTTGCAATAGATTTTTTACTTCATAATGTTGGTATAGGGTTAAAGGTGCATGATGCTTTTATTTTTTACCCACTAAAACATAAAATGTGTTTTAACATTAAGAGATTAAAGAAAATTTCTGAATCCATAGATGGTGTAGCTGGTAACTTTCCCTTTTTCTGATCCATCTTTAAAATATGAAAATGTTGGCATACTCTTGATTTTGAATGTACAATAACTTATACTTTTCGAGAAGCAAAAAGGCAAGTTGTGACTTAAGTAATTTAAGCAAGAATAATTTTGTTGGCCAATCTTTACATGCTGCAATTTCAAACAAACCTTTCTATCCAGAAATTTAAAACAAATTTGACTTACAACTTATTTCATAATTAGGCAACTTGCGGATAAAAAACTAGAGAATCGTGCGGCTTTATTAATTTTCAACTGTTTTTTATTGATTTTATTATACAAGCGGGAAGTTTTTATTTCTAAAATTTAAAATTTTATACATCAAATGCCCATACTACTATTATCCTAAATTATAGTATCAGCCTACTGTACTAAATTATCATAACATTGACATTGATGATAATTATAATAGTCTTTATAATGAGCTAATTGGTAATTAGACGAGAAGCCGGTTAAGATGGTTGTTAAATTTGTGAGTAAGAACACAAGGTTGAGGTTCCAGGTTATTTTTGACCCTGAATAAGAGTTGAGCAGTAATTGCAACAATTAGAGTTTTAATTCTTCAACAGTTTGACTCTCTTTCGCATGACCCTCTTTAACGGATAATTTCTGTTTATGAATCTACAAATATAAGATCTGTGTCTTGATTCTATGTCTTGACCTTTCTTTGGGGTTTGTAACCTAGACATGCCGATTATTATTCCTGAATGCGATAATTCATTACAATTTTATATGGATTATGGTCTGTGTTTTTCCCTAACTTTATTAATATCTTTACAAAAGAGACCTTAAAACGATATTTTGATGTTTTAAAATAGTTTTACATTATAAGTCAAATTTAGAAAACGTTTAACTTTTAAATAACAACGATATCAACCAAAACTTTAAATTAGGGGGAAATTTGGTTAATATTTATTGCGTGTCAGCATTTTCTTACACCACTAATAATTCCATATGGAAAGATGGCTGTTTATTAATTAAGGTGTAGTCACGAGTCGTGACTAACGACAGTTTTAATTTGCAATTAAACTATTAACTGCATGAGGCATGGTTGAGATTTTGATAAGTTCATATTATTATATTCTATTGTTGTTAACGTTGAATTTATTCCCTCTAAATATATCCCTTCCATTTTGTATAATTTCAATTATGTTTTTTTCTGTCTACATTCTACAAATTAAGATTCCAGAAAGAACGGCTCCCAGGCATGTAAGGGTATGAAGTTACAATTAATAACAGTTAAGCAGTAAGTTCAATGATAATTGTTCAATAAGAATTGTACTACTTACTCTAGTTGACTATCCCTAATTTAAAATGAAAAGATGACGCAGAATACCCGATCTTTCAAATTAATCTATCAGTCATAACAATAATAAATCATCTCATTTATCAATTATTGGGATGTAACTCTTATATTGTCAGCATGATTTAATTGTGTCGCTTGATCATGGAAGATGACTCAAACCAACATACTTGCTATAGCTGTACGAGTGTTTACATTATAATAGTTATATCTGCTTCACTTATAATAGGCAAGTACAATGACTCAACATGTAGGTCTATTTCACGGGTAGTTAACACCTATTGCTATTGAAAAGACTAGAAAAGACTTATTTTTCTAAAAGCATTGACTCCTAAGAATTCCCCGAATATCGAATCATGATATGAAAACATATATCGCAATATCATAATAATATTATGATAACAGTCCAGATATTTGGGTGCTAGGTTTACATTGTTAATCCTTACAACGTTTAGTCTACATATTCCACAGTCTACTCTACACCCTGTATACCTTTGTTTCGCAATTTGCCCATTCTCTGGTTTGAAGTTGAACATCTAACTATCTACGCTCTCTTTCAACCAAGTTTATGTTTCTGTAGGTATGTACACTGCGTGTATAATTAACTTAGTTCATATATCCTACCTAGTAGAGCTTGTCTTTTGTCTACTGTGTGAGTAGTTGCTGTGTGAGTAACTGTAGTTGTGTACTATTCTGGGTTGAAATAACAGTGCTTTCAGTTTTTTTACACCTATGACTTCTTCTTAGCACTTAGAGGGATTAATGATTATTGTATAAGGAAGACAGTTTATTTTTCTCAGAATCATGGGTGATAGGTATACTGTTCGGATTTATTGCAAAAGATTTCTCTTCAACCTAATTACAATGTACACAGACTAATATCATGTAATCACAGACTGGCTGACATAATGTGCTAAATGTAGACGATAGAGTCGTGAGATAATATCTGAAGAGTCAATCTTTTGGCCGATCTCTAGCCGATCTATTCTTGGAAAAAATTCAATTTCGAATTTCAAACCGAATTCGCAGAAAAATGTTGAAATATAAATAAGTAACAAACTTATTCGTCATTCACGCGGCTAAGTAAGGTTTGAAATCTTACAGCGGTGAGCGCTGCATTTGCAACATCACCTTGTTTAGGGGGGGGGGGGGGGGGGGGGGGGCACCTTGTTAGTTATTTAGATAATTACATGTTAACGTACTCGACTCATAACTTGTCAGAAAATAAAACACATTAAGATATTTTATAATACTATCTAATGTCCAGCAGAGTTTTCAAAAACTCATATATTAATAAGCCCTTATAAGTATTTTCTGAATCATACCCACTTTTGATCCGTCTTTAAAAACATTTGCAGGATGAAGATAAAATGAAAAGATAACTATAGTTAGCGGGTCCCGTACACTGTTCTAGTTCTGGCTCGCTGCCAACTGATCACGTGCCTAAAACTGATCACGTGTCTGAAACCACCGAAGCGTTCCTTTGTCCTGGGCTAGCAGTGAGTCATGAAATGTATGTCAATTTGCAGTGCAGTAGCTGTCCGTCAGCCGTCAGGTATTTATCAAGCCGCCAGCCAGCACCTGCAATTCTATTGTTCGTTACAATTCCGCGAGCCTAGCTAATTACGTGTACACACTTTAGACGGCTGAGTACTCAGAGGTGTGTAATATGATTATGTGTATTCTCTACGCGTCCTCTTATTCGTGTCTATTATACATGGTTAATCGCAGCTCTCGAGTGTCAATATTATATTATGCTTTGTGTAATTGTGTTGTAGGTTTGCTTAGTTGCTTAGTTGCTGTAATAGCAAACGTACAATGTGACGAGCGTTTTATTAGCACTTTGTTGTTACTAGCATAATGTTAGAATGTTTTGTTTCATCCAAACAATAAGTTTATAATTGAATAAAGCGATTAAAATTTATCTAAGCCTTTGACTAAGTTATTGACATTCTTAAAGGTCGGATTTCATGTTTTCTGCTGAACTCAATTATTTCGCTCCACCACGTCCTTATTGTTTTGGGTCGAGAAACTTTATACATCTGGTACAGGTGCTATCATATTTCTAATGCGCCCTTTCTATTTTGATACAGCACCGCTTTCTCATGTCGTACTGTTGAAGTTCGAATCAATGAAAGTGTACAATGTACGTGCATTTAGTTGCTACTAGTTCTGAGATTGTTGCCCTGTTAACTAGCTATTCGTGTAAACATTATTCAATGATGTCAAACACACATTACACTGGAGCACTAAACAACGCTGTACACGCACAGTAACTTTGTTTTTTTCGCACGTAAGGGGTCGTTCACATATTACGTACCTTATCAGCAGAGGGGGGTTCCAAATGCTTACGGTTGATTACGGGGGTGGGGGGTAGTTTGGTTGTTGATTTCGTAATCAAAATTTTATTTTTTACCCTCTAGAATAATAACAATTTGACAATATTTTAATTCAAATTCCACTCAATTTCACTCTGATAGTGATAAAATTTAGAAATTGATCGGATATCCGACTATAACTTAAATAGTTTGAAAGGTGCTTGGCCGGATAAAAGAACAATGATTTCGGCTCATTATTATCAGGGTAGCATCAAACGTAAAGAAAAGTGTTTCCAGGGACAAAATTCAAAAGGGGGGGGGGGGGGGGGGTCAGGCCATGATTACGTAATATTACTGTCAGGGGGGGGGGGGGGTTGGGTCTTGATTACGGTTGATTACGGAGGGGGGAGGGGGGTAAAAATTGCTAAAATATTGATTACGTAATAATATGTGAACGACCCCTAACAGAAGTGTTTGTGGACTTTGACCTAATTTGACCTTTTAGAAGGTGTACAGAAATAGAATAAAGCGACAAAGGCTCCAGCACAGCTCTTATTTTACAATAATGAACTTTATTTCGTGGGCTCGTGTCTTCGCCTGCAATGATTCACGTACTGTAGTGCGTCACGTACTGTAGTGCAACAAACCTCAAAGATCGACACTGTCGCACTTCAGTGGGCTACAGTGCGTGTCGCACTACAGTTCCTTTACCGAGTGCAATCACTTTTTAAACATGTTAAACTCAATAATAACTCTTTAAAATTTCCCGTTCTAAATAAATTAGATTAATCGAAATCGATAATTTGTTAAGTTGCTGTTTTTTGTTGTTGTTGCATGGTAGCTAGCTTGTTTGCCAACAATCTTAAACCTTTTTAGTGAGGAAAGTATACCATGTTAATTACATGATAACACGCCACCACAATGTATTGATAGCACTACTACTACTACTCCTGACGACCACCCATGTCATGGCAACATCACTGAAGGTGCATATTGTTACCTACAATACCGGTAATACCCGACCCAGAGAGAGTATAGCGCCCCTCCTTGGTCTGGGACTCGATCCTGATATCATATCTCTTGGGTGAGTTGGGGGGTTGGTGTGATTTGGGTATTGGGTATTTGATAAGCTAAACATATTTTTTATTAGGTTCCCAGCTGCCGGACTCACCACGACTTAATTGCACTTACAACAATTAATATAATATAATTGTTCAATTCGAATGTACTGCGCAGTGCAACCCAGTAGTTCAACATATTACAAGCAATTGTTAACAAATCTATTACCATGGCCCGCGCTCAGCCTGTCATTCCGCCGAATCTCTGTTTATGAACATAATAACCTGAGGTCCCCAGGTAACAAATCTATCGCGTACCGTCGACAATTTGAATTTGTTAATATATTGAGTAAGTATTGTTTATAGTTTAACCATTTATATGCAGGCCGCATTTCTTGTTCATTAGGTTCCCAGCTGCTGCCGAATCTAAGACAACATTTCACTGAAAACCTAATACACTAAACTCCATTTTGCTGGTACTTGATCTGAAAATCAACACAATGACACCAATTCTTTAATAAGTTTTAAATACGTAAACCTGTAACCTGTCAACCGTCAATAACAGCAACTCTTGAAGTTGAAAGTAAGTTTCCCTAACACGACGACATGATAGAGGAATAATGTATTAAAATGTTCTAAACTTCAGATTCCAAGAGCTAGGTGACACAGATGATTGGGAGAATGAAGCAGACAGGATTCTCAGCAAGCAGGGATACTACAGGGTTAGTAGATAATTCAGTATCTTTAACTTCACATAATATGTAATTATTATATAAGTATTATAACACACTAAGTTAGATTATATTCTGTTAACTATCAAAGTATTGATTTGAAACATTGATTAACATTGTACATGTAATTAATCATTCTAGATACAATTTCATACTCGTGATTTCACTACATCGCAATGATATTCAAAAGACCCTAGTTTTTGAATGTCATTGGATTTCGTGCATATTTCGAATACAATATAATTTATAAACATACCGGCTTTTTTCTTTAAACTTTCCAAGACATGTGATCGCAATTATAGTCATCACTTTATAAGTATAATGGGGGGGGGGGGGGGGGGGGTGTCACGTCCGTCTATGTCCGCTTGTCTCATAGAATCCAAAAAGGACAGGACATAGGCGGACGTAGGCGGACATAGACGGACATAGGCGGACATAGGCGGACATAAGCGGACATAGACGGACATAGGCGGACATAGGCGGACATAGGCGGACATTAATGGACACCTAAATTGCTAAATAAAATGTTCAATTTTTGCTGTTATAGGGGGATCATGTTTTTTGTCCGTTCGGTACCCTATATTTTCAAAACGGATAAAAAATAGAGCGGACAAAAACGGACAAAAATGGACAAAAACGGACAAATATGGAAATAACATTTAGATGCTTCCTCCTCCTACTCTTCCTCCTCCTCCCCATGGGTCTTCCTGATCTTCCTCAGTCCTCTTCCTCCTCCCCTCCTCAGTCCTCCTCCTACTCCTCCTCCTCGTCCTCAGTCCTCCTCATCAGTCCTCAACAGTCCTCCTCCTCCCCAGTCCTCCTCCTTCTCCTGGGTCCTCCTCCTGGGTCCTCCTCCTGGGTCCTCCTCCTGGGTCCTCCTCCTCCTCTTCATCCTCCTCCTCTTCCTCCTTAGTCCTCAGTCCTCCTGAGTCCTCCTCATCATCCTTCTCCTCAGTCCTCCATCCTCCTCCTCAGTTTTCCCCCAGTCCCCCTCCTCCTCCTCCTATTCAGTCCTCCTCCTCCTCCTCCTCCTCAGTCCTCCTCAGTCCTCCTCAGTCCTCCTCCTCCTCCTCCTGAGTCCTCCTCCTCCTCCTCCTCCTCTTCCCTCTCAGTCATCCTCCTCAGCCATCCTCCTCAGTCCTCCTCAGTCCTCCTCATCAGTCCTCCTCCTCCTGGGTCCTCCTCCTCCTCTTCATCCTCCTCCTCTTCCTCCTCGGTCCTCAGTCCTCCTCCTCCTGGGTCCTCCTCCTCATCCTTCTCATCAGTCCTCCTCCTCCCCAGTCCTCTCCCAGTCCCCCTCCTTCTCCCTCCTCCTATTCAGTCCTCCTCCTCCTCCTCCTCCTCAGTTCTCCTCAGTCCTCCTTCTCATTTCTCCTAAGTCCTCCTCCTGAGTCCTCCTCCTCTTCCTCCTGAGTCCTCCTCCTCCCTCTCAGTCATCCTCCTCAGTCATCCTCCTCAGCCATCCTCCCCAGCCATCCTCCTCAGCCATCCTCAGTACTCCTCAGTCTTCCTCCTTCTCAGTCATCGTCAGTCCTCCTCCTCAGTCCTCCTCAGTCCTCCTCCTCCTCCTGGGTCCTCCTGGGTCTTCCTGATCCTCCCCAGTCCTCTTCCTCCTCCCCTCCTCAGTCCTCCTCCTACTCCTCAGTCCTCCTCCTACTCATCCTCCTCGTCCTCAGTCCTCCTCATCAGTCCTCAACAGTTCTCCTCCTCCCCAGTCCTCCTCCTCCTTCTTGGGCCTTTTCCTGGGTCCTCCTACTGGGTCCTCCTCCTCCTGGGTCCTCCTCCTCCTGGGTCCTCCTTCTCCTCCTCAGTCCTTCTCCTCCTCCTCAGTCCTCTTCCTCCTCTTCCTCCTCCTCCTCCCTCTCAGTCATCCTCCTCAGTCCTCCTCCTTCTCAGTCCTCCTCCTTCTCAGTCCTCCTGAGTCCTCCTCCTGAGTCCTCCTCCTCCTCAGTCATCCTCCTCAGTTCTCCTCCTTCTCCTCCTAGGTCCTCCTTCTGGGTCCTCCTCCTCCTCCTCCTGGGTCTTCCTGATCCTTCTCCTCCCTCTCAGTCATCCTCCTCAGTCATCCTCCTCAGTCATCCTCCTCAGTCATCCTCCTCAGTCATCCTCCTCAGCCATCCTCCTCGGCCATCCTCCTCAGTACTCTTCAGTCCTCAAAATGTTTGTCCGCTAATGTCCACCAATGTCCGCTAATGTCCACCAATGTCCGTCCAAGTCCGCCAATGTCCGTCCGGGTCCGCCAATGTCCGTCCGAGTCCGCCAATGTCCGTCCGAGTCCGCCAATGTCCGTCCGAGTCCGCCAATGTCCGTCCGTGTCCGCCAATGTCCCAAAAACACGTCCGTTGTCTCATAGAATCCAAAAAGGACAGGACATAGGCGGACATAGACGGACATGACACCCCCCCCCCCCTATAATATATCAAGTTTACACCGAAATATCTGGTAACATGAGCTCACCTGGAGGATGTGTACAGAGAAGAGAACTGGAGAAGACAGTTCCACCTTCACATCTAGCCTCAAGTTCGCCTCGTTGTCTTATCCCAGGTGGTCTACACTTGACGGGGACTATTGAACCGTAGTTGATAGGATAGTGTAGTTTACTGTCAGGGACCATGTCGGTGAGGGAGGTGCCAAAACCTGTGCAGTCTGAGAAATACAATGGGTTAATGAAGCGGCCTGTCTTACATAATGAGATCAGTTATATCAGAAGTTATGTTCCGCTGATAACCTTACGTCTTGTATCATATTAATATAGTGCTAGCTTGGCAATTTATAAGATGATTTATGGTATCGACGGGAAATTGTAAAAATGCAGCTGCATTATATATATAATATCTCTCTATATAACTGATGTTTCAGTATACAATTAACAAACCAATCGAAGTGCCACCTTCACAAAAATTCTCTGTTATCTCCGGGTTGAAAGTGTTGCCACTCAGGCACTCAAAGAGTTTCTCAGACTCAGACTCAGACTCAGACTCAGACTCAGACACAGACTCAGACACAGACTCAGACGGAGACTCAGACGCAGACTCAGACTCAGACTCAGACTCAGACTCAGACTCAGACACAGACACAGACACAGACTCAGACACAGACTCAGACTCAGACACAGACACAGACTCAGACACAGACGCAGACTCAGGCCCAGACAGGCATGTTAGAGTCAGTGTTCCTCCAACAACTGTGTAGGGTGGGGAGGAGTGTTTTAGTTGGGGGTGAAACTTGTCCAGTCTGCAACCTTCCTGCACTGAGACAATAATAGTTAGCTCTGGTATTAGTTTTTAGACTATCTAGACTCAATAATAAGCGATTTTTCTGTAGATAGAGTGCATTCAATGATCATTGTCTTAATGTTGATGGATTATCTAAGCTTAAAATTGTACCTGTAATCACATCTTCGCCCCAGTTAGTGCAGCTCAAGACATCATCCTCACACGTATACCATTTAGTCCAATAAAACCCCCAACCTGCACTGCATTCAGTGACTGTATTCCATTTTTTGGGTGTCAGACACCAGCGCCCTGTCACGTAGTACAGTAAACTTCCTGAGGTCTCGTGAAGATAGGCTCGCTTTCCTGGGTATTGAAAAGCGGTTCAGAATATTTAATTTACATTTCAAATACGGCAGCAATAGTTGCTAAACTATGATTCATTACATTATTTACTAACTCTTCAATTAACTTAAATTGAAAGCAATCTCATTAAGCATTTAAAAAACTGATACTTTCTCACCACAACAGTTTTCTTTCCTCGGAACGTAGAGTCCATTAAAACCTTCATTTAACGAACTTCCTTCTACTATCAATAATTCGTAATCTGGTAACGGAAATATTAACAGCACTGAAACTCTAAATATTTCATTAACAACTTTATATTTGTTCAATTTTTAATCATTAACTTCATTGGGACTTTGGGACCTAGTTCAAACTTCAAAGCATCTTACCATAGAGTCCACTTGCTTCACTGGGAGCTGGACTAGGTGTTTTACTGGGAGCTGGACTGACTATTCCACTGACTTGTCCGCGGTGCAGGTACCAAAAGATAAATAACGACAACGGTAATTTGAACATCGGACGATATCTAAAAAGTTTAACTTAATTAATTTTGTATAAAGAAAAGTGAAAAATTAAGATTGTTTCCTCCTGCCACTATGATCAGTTAATTAGATACGTTTAAGCATATTTTAAGGTCCATGCTCCAAATTCAAGGGGTAAAGATTTGGAATGAGGGTTGGTTGATGGACGTCATAATGTGTCAACATACGTTTTAGACTAGAATATAGAGAAAGGAAAATACTGCGGAACTGTATGAGAACTGAGATGTTTTACACAGATTCACAGAATATGGTTTTTAATTTTGCGAAGATGGTAAATTCTCTATACAAGGGTTACAGGTTTACAAGGTTTACAAAGATAGATCTATATATTCAGTATAATAACCTTAGATCGGCGTTGCTAAAAAATAAATCGAAAGTCCGAAATCCAAATAGGAGAGAAAACCATTACCAAAATGTCGTGGTGTCACTCTAAAGCCAGAGGCGAGTGCAAATCATGTATATGGATATATATCATGTTTATGGATCCGTGCTATTTTACTGACACCACGGCATCAACTTTAACGCGACGTTCCGCAAAAACCGTAAAAGATTTACAACGGAAACTTTTTTGACTGGGTCAAATGCTTTAATGCTTTAAAAATCAGCATGAAAAAATAAACAATTGGCCAAGGAATAAGAATTTTAGTGCCCAAAATTTTGACTCCCAAGTGGTTTCAAAAACGCGAATTAGATAGGTAATAATTATTTAAGTCTCTCGAGTCTTGACACCATTTTAGGGTTAGACGGGTTCCTCGGTTCCTGCTAGTCATGTCTAAACGCTACCTACCCTAATTAGTAATGAATAATGATTGGTTCGTTACTAGACCCACGTACTATTTATGAGCTCTCGATGTTACAATTGGTTCTCCTGCGACTGCTTTCAATGATAATAATAAATAAGTTACAATTAATGCTTCATCGGCTATCAGTTCGATGAATAATTTTATGATAGGTCTCAAACAAGAATTTCGCTGCGATAACACCACGCACGATCAATTTTCCCTACAATGTATTACCAGTAATCATTTCAAGTGAAACATGTGGCGCACCGGATAATCATATTTTATTTTAGGCGAGCAGATTAACTTGATAAAAAGTGCAAAATATTTACATACTATAATATTTTCCATAAATGAGTAGGATCCGTGCATGGTAAAAATTGACGATTTATTTGATCAATGTAGTACCGCGCACCACAAATAAATCAATCCAGAGAATCGTGGAAAATAACTTTGCAAAAACTGAACAGTATCGAACGTTATATAAAATAAAATGTTTTTGAGACTTATTTAGACTAAAAATATGCTTTCCAGGATTTTAGAAAAACATTTTGAAAAGAAATGTTCGGTTAAATATTCGGCCAATTTCGTCGAAACCTAACCAGAACTGGAACCGGATACTAAATCCAGATATCCGACCGGGACGGGATTCAGCCGGATATCTGGTCGGTTCCTAATAGAGATCACAATTCACCCCAGAAAAATGTTGCCCAAATAACTGCGTTCTTACAGCTTTACAGGGGGTGGAATACTGTACTATTTTCTGTCATGAGCCTCGCGCACTGCCAACTCCTCTCGGTGGTTTACAAATCCACAACTGATCCACTGGATGTCATTCTGGGTGTTATATAAATCCCTACTGCTGACACCTCGCCTTTGTTATAGTCTAGCTCCTAGTATAGCCTTTGTTATCTCCACTCCAGGTCTTTGTTGTAGTCTAGTTTACTACTTACTTACTTATGACTGGGTTATGGGACGCTCTCAGCTCTGGTGAAGGTTGAAGATTCTAATATTAAATATCTAAGTGTAATTCTATTTTCATAGGGAATACTGTACTATTATCTGTCATGAGCCTTAACAGATGCTCACGTTGTTTTAGTCTAGTTCATTAATTATTTAGGAGTTAGGAGTCCACACGCACGTCGCACAACTGAGGCCTTATCTCCTATTTGCACTGAGTTCTCCCTATATAATATTGTGTTTATAATAATAGCACGCTGGTACAGCTTACAATGCTATTGTTGGGAGAGTGAGACTACTATAATAGGAGCTTATAGGGCTCTTTCCTCTTGCTCAATCACTTACTCAGGTTAATCACTTGATCGGATTAAACACTTAATGCCTCAACTTGACATAGGTGTGATATTCCATAGATGATTCATAAAATGAATAAAAATGATTAAATTGTTGAAAACCAACTTCCTCATAATAATATAGGGAATTTATATTTTCTCCTCTTTTACATTATAATGATTAAATAAGAATTACAAGTATAATAAAACTGAGATCTTGTTTCAGATAAATTAGGTATATGGACACAGTGAAGATATTACAAAATATATTATCAAAATAAGTGCTTCAACAATCAACCTACTACATTTTGTAATGGGTATCCTGAAAGAAAAACTTTTGTTGAAGAGAATATAAGAAATTATTATTATTTAACCCTCACAGTCCATTGATATTTCAGTTGTAAAATATCAAAACCACCCATCATACAGGCCAATTTCGTTCAAGTTTTTTATTGAAATGCCTCGTTCAAGTTTTCACTGAGCAACATAATCCAGATGTGATGATGGGTCCGGGACTCTACGGCGTAAGACTCTAACCCTAACCCTAACCCTAACCCGCCGTAGAGTCTTACGCCGTAGAGTCCGAACCCCGTGATGATCCGTTATCACTTCTCCATAAACCGTATGATCGGATCCTTTTATTGCATATTTCTGTGATACATCCGCCGTGTATCTGTGTATCTTGATTCACGATGTTGTTTTTTATCATAGTTATCATGTTTGTATGATCATTATGGTATAAAGAAAGGGAAAGGAAGCAGTTCTAACGAGCTCTTCTCAAACACAAGAATATATCTTGTGAACTTGGCTAGTATATATGAAACATTTGATATGGAGTTGTAGAGGGAGTTATGTGCCTCGCCGGGCTAAAGTAGTGGATGACCTTGCTGTACGGCAAGTTAAACAAGGATCTGAAACTACTAGGCTCCGTACAGACTCAACTCTGCACCCGTGTCAATATGTTCATTATATGCAAGCCTCTTGATTTATAAGAGCTTGTTTCTACTTATCTAATGTTTTATTTGATATCTGAGTTAGGTAAACGAACTTTCTCGTCTCATTTCATGCTCTTTATTGATTGACGATCTATCATCCAGAATCATGTCATGCAATCACTGTGGTAAGTGCTGATGAAGAAATATGGCAACGGGGGAGGCGTTATGTGAGTTGTGAGGCCCGGGGTGGGGGTGGGAGGGGTAAGATCTATGGGTTAATCCCGATTTACCGCACCCATATTTTCCAAATTTGAGCCACCTGATGACTCAACGTACTCAGTGACAAATGTTATGAGATTATGTTACTGAGAATGGTGAGTTTTGTATGAACCAGCTGGAAAGGTGTAGCTCAGCAGTACTTTTGTAATAACCTGAGTCTCACAATACAACACCTGTAATTTCCATTTAACTTGTGTGTGACGTGTCTTACCTAAACAAGCACCTGCCACGTCAGGTGGCTCCCACGTGTTCCCTGTCTGACAAAGGAACTTTCTGTCCCCAAGATCAGACACGAAACTGTTATCTCTTCTCCCACTTTCGCTCCGTTAGTAACAGAGGTCCTCACTTCGGTGGCTTTGTGCACATCCGGAACAAAACACCCTTCATAAACTGTTGAAAAGGGGTTAGATGGTTTGGTGGAAGGAATTTCGATAGAAATGAGAAAAAGAGAAAAACAGTTACAGCTACAGATCCGCCATATTTTCAAACTTTAAGATGAATAGGAAACGATTAATACACTTACTATTGATAGGCGTATTGAATGTAGATTTCAGGGGGTCGTTCTTGAAAGAATTGGTGTAGAAGAATCCCAAACCATTTGAGCACCCTTTGATGGTGTTATAGTAAGCACTGGTGAAGCACCAGTGGGTTGGTGTGTAATAGAACAGTGTCTTGGTGGTGTAGTGAAGATAGGCTCGTGTATCTGATGGTAGGAGGGGTTAGTTTGTTAAATGTGTACACAGCTAAGTTGTGGTATTCAGAATAGACTATCTGACCACAAGTTACAAATGTGGGATCTGATTATAAACGTTTACAAAGATCATCGGGAAATGAGTTCGTGCGTGGTGCAGGGATGGTCCTTTCGAAAGAAACTTCAACTGGGCTGTATTCTTAAAGAATGAAGCCTTTTCGTCAGAGCATAATGTTGGAAACTGTTTGAAGAACTCGGAAATACTTACTGCATACGACTGTGTCTCTTGGGACGAACATCCCGACATATTCACTTCCTAAACTGGAACCAGTACCTTTCTCCACTATTAGTATCTCGTATTCTGAAAGTGATAACTAATAATATTTCGGTCATAGAACAGACAAGGCAGGTCGGTCGGGCGCCGGTCAGTCAGGTTCTATTTGAAAGAAATCTTAGATAATTAAATTATTATCTATTTATAAACTTAATTATTAAATAAATCGTGTTCTTTTTTTTTATTTTAGATATTTCGTACTCACCAACAAAGGCAGATTTTATCTGAGTTATCGTTGAGAACAAGAACAGCACAGCCAAAATCATTGATCTAGATCAGAGCGTCATTACAATGTACAATCTTTCAATATTACATTATTTTAACAGAAAATCAGATTTAAATATAATGGTTTAATTGAGAAATCTCAATTCACGGATTCAGTGATTGTATAATAAAGCTTTTATTTTTAAATCGAGATATTAGTGCCTATATTTCCTTTTCATGAGTCGATATTTAGTCACTAGTTAGGACAATAAATACGATTCATTAGTAAGCAATTTAAAGCACCAACACTACATGACAATGATTTAATTTACAGTACAAACTCTAATTTACACAAAGCCCAAAATATGAAAATAAAAATCCGTTATATTTCTTATCTCGCCTATTATTCAATGTATACTGCACTTACCTTAATTAAAGTGTCAAGATCTAATAAAAACGAGGCGGCGAATAGCAACCAATCCAGTTCATTAATAATAAAATATTCTCTAATAGAAATCTAGTTTAATTTATAATTATGTGCCGGAGAAAAGTACCTGTCGCTCAAACGACATTAATAAGTGTACTTAAAAGTATATCAGTAGTCAATTCCAAACACAAGTTTTAAAAACTAAACTATAAAATGGTTTCAGATAAAGCTGGTGACGATGTCGATAATGCAGATAGCCGTGTTCGCCAAGAAACAGCACCTTCCCTTCATTTCTCATATTCAAACAGAGTACACAAAAACTGGCTTCGGAGGAACCTACGGCAATAAGGTTACTATTTTACATTATAAAGAAATAAAATTGAGGGCGAAATATTTACATCTATCGAGTAAAACTGAGTCATTTAGACTTTGCTGTTGAGATTGCGGTATAAGGAGTGAAAGAAGTTTCTGAGCAGAAACTCAGAACCTACAACTTTCCAAGTCTGACAAAGTTTGCGGATCTTTAATCCAACAAGTTACAGCACCACTTTGATCACGATTCACGTATTTAATATTTATGATCTGACCTAGCCAACTGTCCGTCAAATTGTTGTATTCGTTACTAGGTAACTGCCAAATTAAATTAATACGATAACTTTGTAATAGCTTAATTAAGCTTGATAGGCCCTCCTTTCTTCTCTGAACCGTTTGGAATCTGACGTATTTAACTCAGCACAATAGTTAACAGAGTTAATAATAATATCAATAAGCACATGGAGAAACAGCACTGACATGATTCCCTTACAATGCAGTCCTAACTTTAATATAATACTTTTAATTATAGCAGGCTTCTGGAGAACTTGATAGTAATTGTAACGAGACGAAGGAGTTATATATTATATAAGTATACTAATTTATTAGGCCTCCACGGCACCAGCAGTATCTCTAAGAAGGCTTACAATTATTATATAGATCATGGAATAAACAGTAAACCTCATAGAGCTTATTAAAAATAGAGCTTATTAAAAATCGTGGCCAGCTGTTGCATGTTTTACATATCCTCCATAGTTTAACGGAACCATAACGGCATGATATCCAGTAATTAGCCAGATGGCCAGTGCAGTAACCGTGGTTGACTGATCGCCCCACCCCTGCCCGCAGAATTGGCCCTGGTGATCAGTGATCACGTACATCAACAGTTCTTATTTTATGCTGAATTATCAATAGCAGGTGGTTTGACACACCAAATGGAATGAAAATAAAGGTCAGAATGACCATTGATCCCACAAAAACTTGTATGTTCAAACGTCAATGTGTGAGGGTAACTACGAGATTCGAGAACCATGTTCGCGTTGTTATGTAATAACTTTATAACAATGGCTTTACTCGAGCAAGTTCAGAAACAAAACCATTGGACTGCCAATTGCCATGATTGGAGAGTTTTCGGTACTAGACATCAACATCAACGTCACATCCTATTTGTACAAAGCCGCTTGTTGTAGAGCTTTTATAGAAGTTGGATGTTCGTTCGAGTACAAAGCTAATTCCAGCGCAACAATAGTCAGAGTTTAGCGAGGCAATAACAACGTCGCTGGGGAAATAACAAGGAACAACGTATGCTGGACAGCTGTCTAAGCTACAAGTGTGGCATAACTTATTCAGGGTTGATTAGACAAACGACAGTCTGAAATCTTAATGAATATATAGCGTCTTCTGTATATAGTTGTTAAGAGTATTATCATATAGGCGTTATAATATATAATTATAACAGAGCTAAAATAAATAAAAGAAAGCCATCTATTTACTGCGACTTTGTCCTGAGACCTGAGTCTGTCCATTAATATAAAAATATAGTCATTAAGTTCGTTAGTCTAAACCACAGCTGAAGTCTAGTAAACAACGAGGGATCCAGCCTGTTCGTCCATCATAACCCAGTTATAAGCTTCATGTAACTGCACAAAAACGTATATTTAAATTCGAATGATTGGAACATATTGTTTACAAAATATTTCCTTTTTTCAGGGAGGGACAAGCGTGAGGTTCAGATTGTACGACAAGACGGTTGCCATGGTAAACACCCACCTCTCAGCACACATGGACCAGGTTCACATCAGAGATGAGGAATACTGGAACATCATGAGTGAACAGGTAAAATAAACACGTGGTGCAAACATAACCACGTGGTGCAAACATAAACACGTGGTGCAAACATAAACACGTGGTGCAAACATAAACACGTGGTTTGATAAAAACACGTGGTGCAAACATAAATGCAATTAAAAATCAGCTCATTTTTTTCATAACTGACGGCGTACGAATTTAAAAAAGATAAAGACTTCAAAATGTTCTTCACTGAGAACCAACAGGCTTGGCGACGGAACATTTTACTGATTATAAATCATCAAGCGTGCCCATCACTTTAACGTGACCCACTTTTACTGCTAAATAGCTAAAAATAGAACATTTTAAATGCCACCTGGTCAGTTGTCAAGAAAAAAAACAAATGGTTTTACCTGCTTCAACAGCTCAGATAATTATGACAAAACATTTGTTGTTTTTTTATAGAACCCGTCCCCAATCTCGTATTGAAAAAAAAAACACTTTAAAAGACCAAATATATTTAAATTGAACAACTGCTAAAACGCGCCTCATGGAAAACTGAAATGTAACGTTCTCCGCTCACCGCTGCCTAGAGCAACACCTAGTAATAAGCTAATGACATGTTACTAATTACTATACTTCTGACAAAAGTACTCTCATTAAAGCTACATACGTATTAGGCTGACCAGGAAATCTCTATATTGTGGCAACTATCACATTATTTTGGTTTTGGTTTGTAGAGCTGTACACGCCACGTATGTCCAGATTCATTATAATAGATAATAGATATAATGGAAGACTTCAATGTTATATTATGCTACGGAAACACAGGTCGGTCTAAAAATCTCCAAAGAAGACAAAGATAAGACAGTAATATATAAATTTAAGATCTTCAACCTGTAGAAATCTATTGAAAAACAAAGCTGTGAATTTCAGGCTACAAAACAAGTCAAATTACAGTTTTAGAAGGTTTTCTATGAGACTTAGCAGAAAATATGTTCTTTTGGTTTTGGTTTTGGTTTTGGTTTTGGTTTTTGGAGCTGTACACGCCACGTATGCCCAGATTCATTATAATAAATAGTAGGACTTCTAGGCAATGAGCTTGGTTGTGGGACACACTCAACTAGGGAAGCTGAGAGGCCTCAAAACAAATCTCATTATATAGAGATATCAACAGAGTGTGAGCCACTGCCTGACCAACCTGTGGTTAGAGTTTGCCAGGCTCTATGAGAGTGGCAGAGAGTGTCTTCTGAGTTGATGAGATTCAGAGTATCCTTTGTCCGTGATGCTGGTAACAAACTCTTGTTGTGATTTAGTCACGTGTTAAAGATGCCACATGGGGAAAAAAATGGAACAAAGATGTGGATAAATAATTATCTTTGCACTGCAGTTGTTCCGAGTAATATGCACTGTTAATCATTTAATCATCATGAGAGTCATGAGGGTCTAAAATGGAAACTATCACATTAAACTAAGCAAGGCTTGATGACTGATGTTGTGAGCACTAATAAGTATACGGAGATATATTTGATGTTGTTACATGGAACATAATAGAACGCAATATTTTAATAAAGCGCTCAACCAGGATTACCCAGGTGGTTTTTGTTGGATTAACCACCTAACCATTGACCAGGTGGTTTTTGTTGGCGTATTAATCACATTTAACGTCTTGTCAGGCTTGTAAATCATGGAGGAACAACAAAATGACATACATGTCCATTTAGCACTGACTGGTTTCATTAGAGTCTAAAGTAACTTCATAAACTCTAGTATTTATATATAAATATTATATTGTATATAACAAGAAATAAACACCAAATAAATTACTGGCCCTGTTACACCGAACAAGTTATTAACTAAAGTCTAAAACAGCATTCTGGATTAGCAAACGTGTCGTTTGCTTATTCCCCCTCTCAGTATTACACTAATTGCATACGTTGCTCTTTTCTTACTCTCTTATCTTAGTGCTTATCTCTGTTGATTGTAACGTGCAGCTACAGTGGTTTGTGTATCACCGTGTTACACGACCATGACCATCCCGCCCAGCGAGTATGGTGAAAAGGAGATCAACATGTTAAGGGGTGACTCAGTTGAACTTCTCAGCAAGGCTATGTACGAGATGGAGATCACAGCAATGAAGCAACTATCCCCTTCGTGCGTGAAGAAGATGACTAAGAACACTGCGTGTGACTTGTTGCACGATGCGTTAAGATATTTGGAGGAGTTCACTGGTGTCGTATCCACGGACTACAAGATGGCCTCAAACTCAGTTAAACATCTTATGTTCGAGACACAGGAGACCATCATTAAGCTGCAGTCAGAACTACTAGCCTGCAAAAATGAACAGTTGGAATCGTTGCAGACGTCAGTTAAATCGTCAGTCGGAGAGTCTGTCAAGGCTGAATTCCAATCCTTCAGCTCGGTATTACAGGCGAATTGTCCAGAATCTCAGAAGCCTGTCAGTTCTGAAATGATCAAGAAAGCTGTGAAAACTGTGGTACAGGAGGAAGACCGAAACAAAAATCTGATGATTTTTGGTTTATCGGAGCAGGACAATGAGGAGCTCAGCACCGTGGTCAGTGAAGTGTTCTCAGCAATCGGAGAGAAACCCAGAATCGAAGCTAGTAGAGTCGGAAAGCTCAAACCTGGCAAGGCTGTGAGACCAGTTAAAGTGACTGCGGCAAGTGCAACAATTGTTAATCAGATTCTCGCTAAATCGAGAAACCTGCGAGCAACGGAAAAGTTTAAAACTGTTTTTATCAGCCCAGATCGATCTCCAGAACAGAGAGCCAAGCAAAGAGAACTCGTCAGGGACATGAAAAAACTGGTAACTGAGCAGCCTGATAAGCTACACTTTATCAGAAACGGTGCTATAAAGAGTACTGATAAGACTAATAAGACTGCAGAATGAGCTTGTGTGTTTTTAATAATTGATTATTATTAGTGTATTCAAGTTTTTGTTGTGTGGAGGATGTTTTAACTCACTCTTGTGTGCCCAGTCTTGCACTGTCAGTATTTCTCGACACTTTGAGCACACAAAACTGTCAGTTTTCGCGACATTTGTCAGATTTCGTTTTCAGTTCTGTCAATTTCAAGCGCTACTAGCTCTACTACTAGTAGTCTACTTCAGCTCACATTAAAGGGAGTTTTCGTCGTGCGTGTAGCGCCTTTCAAGTTTAACTTGGACGGATAGGATTTATAAAACTTCTGATTATAATATTTATACTATATTGTATTTTGTATCTATGTATTTTAGTAAATGGTCATTAGAACCACCGGCACCGTCCGGGCCCAAACAAACAAACAGAGACAAAGCGGGATAAAGCCACCCCTTTCCGTGCTTCTTAATTGTACAAGCTTTGTTTAATAATGTCAGAATACACAGACTAATACATTATTATACGAGGCAGACCTCCTGATCCTGTCAGGACAGATCATGTGATCACCCAATCAGTGACGATTGATTACAATCTGATTGAGTTAGGAATGGGCTCCGGCTATACCTAGAGATCTAGAGTTCAGCAATACATAAAGTACATAATACATTACCCACTGAAGCACTGTACTAAACACTAAAGGGATATTGCGTGAAACGACTATATGGTAAACCACGCATCTTCATAGCTGACTTTCAGCCTTGGTAAAATGTGTATTTGTTGGCTGACTTACCTATGTGGTCAGATGAATCTAATATCATTGATCACACAGTCTTCTAGTGGTAAGATAATAACCAAAACTCCAAGCTTTCCCATTTTCTAAATCCAGGGTGCATATCATACGGTACACCTACTTTAGTTTAACACGCACTCTAGTTCGATACGTACTGTAGTTCGACAAACCCTAAAGTTCGACTTTGTCAAACTACAGTGCGCTACCTGGACTTTAGTTCGACACGTTCTCAAGTTCGACAAAAGAACTTCGACTGGATGAGAAAGATATTCATAAAGAAAAATTTAGTAATTCAAAATATCTTTCGATTTAGTTTTTTATCGAACAATTTTGAGTCGCATATCAAATTTGATAACGTTCCGTGAGCCAGAAGTTACGGTAATATTATAAAGGACATGAATATTCTCTGAATTATAGTAGAGATATATTTATTATATATAATATATAATAAGATTGTTATATAGCACAAGACCAGGTCTGTTTGAGGGATGTCTGTTAGTAGTTTTTATTGAGTCAGGGTATATTCTCAAAAAAAACTTGTGCCCTTCTTTGCCTAATACTCTAATAGAGCCAGAAATACAAACAAACAAGTTTTAGTGAGCAGTCATCAACAACGCTCGAATAAAAGACGTGCATTAAACGATATAATAGTCTATGCTTTGATATTGGACGAAGTGGCTCCGCAATATGATATCAGGTCAACTAAACATATGAGGCTAGACTCAATAAAATTATTCGTATTACATGATACCATATCCCTTACAAACGCTCGATAAAAGACCTGATGGATATCATGCTTTGTTTAGAAAATATTATTTAAAATTTTACTCGTCACCACCGTAGTCACTAGTAGTGGAATATCAATGATCTCATGATCTGTTAGAGTTTAGACTGAGCAAAGAGAACGGTCCTGAGACTTGATATAAGAGATTTTCTAGAAATGAGCTCATTAAAAATCAGCCATTTCAAAACCAACCGTAGCCACCGTACTACGTTATCACTTATGAGCACATAGACTGTAAAGTGTAATATATGTTAAAATGCTAATTATGTCTAAAAGCTACTTACCCTAATGAGTAATGAATAATTATTGGTTGGTTACTAGACCCACGTTGTTGTTACAATTGGTTCTCCTGCAACTGCTTTCAATGATAATAAGTTTAAAATGCTTCATCGGCTCAAATTTATGGTAGGACCCAAAAAATGAGTAACTATGAGACAGTAACAGTAATGACGTATGTTGTTTTACGGAGATAAGAAAAATTTAATTTTATGAAATTAAATTTTATGAAATCAAACTTCAGTGCTGCACGCCGCCGGTTTTTTTTTTCAAAACGGCGGCGGTGTGGTTAAAATCTGCGGCGGCGTAATCGGCGTGAGGTCACGTGATTTTGCAGATTACATTTTCCTCTAGAATAATGCCAATAATTAACAGTTTTAAATTTTGACACGAGGCTCGTAATATCTAGTACCTTACAAGACATATTTATAACGTACGAAATGTGGCGGTTTTCCGAAAATTTCGCCATATTTTCGGACCGCCAAAATTTCGGTCGTCGTAATAGAATCCGTCGCATTATCTTTTAGCTTATTTCAATGACTGTGCCTTCACTGCTTTATTTTGTTTTTAAAAAGTAATATCAAGTAAAATAAATAAATAAATTCTGGCATCTTGGGACAAATTATTACCACACCAATGACGAATTGAATGTCAAGCAATACAGTTTAAATTTGCATTAAAATACATGTATGTGCTAACATGAAAGTCTTACAGTCTTAATACAGACTAAGTTTGAACATGATTTTACCGAATTTCAGAAATTTCCTTACTGCTTACTGTCACAAAAAATGATGAAAAATACCCTTATTTTCTGTGACGTCCGAAATTTGACGGTTTTTGTTCAATTTCGCCATATTTTCGGACCGCCAAAATTTCGGTCGTCGCAAATTAAGCCGCCATAAATATGTCTTGTAAGGTAGTATATAGTATAAACAGGTTCACGCCGTGTACGCCATTTGAAAACGGCGGCGTGGCCGGAAAATCATCGGCGGCGGCGTGCAGCACTGTGAAATACACAACGAGGATCACGACAGCACCAAATTGTAACAAACAACTTGTTACAGGATTTCGACGACCCTCTGTCAGAGCATTTGTACGACCACGACTACCTCTTCTGGTCTGGAGATCTCAATTACAGAATACAGCTCGGAAATGACGAGGTTAGTACAGAGAAGGTCTCTATATTTAACAATTAGGGCTATTGTCTAGTATTTAGCCACACAATCATCTTGATTACCCTAATCACCACAAAACGGTTTTGAACCATCAAGTAATCAAGGTCCTAGTCATCATGGCTATGTAACAACTTGGATCATTTGCATTGAGATTAAATTCATCTCCATAACACTAAGTACCATATTGTGTCACAAATGAGCAGCTTGTTACATCAATCTACCAAGCACTTGTTTTCTTTCTTTCTTCTTGAGAGGGGTTTTTGTTTACCACACTCTTTGCTTGCAATGCTCATGAATAAAGAATTAGTTTGTCATTAGTCCCACCATCCCCCCCCCCCCCCCCCCATTTGCATGACGTTTAGCTAGTAGCTAGTAGCTCGTAGTCACCATTCTGTATATCCTCACTCCTTGTCTGAATAAATCTTGTGATCGAAGACATAAATGTGGAGGTACTGAGCCTGATGAGTCTTATATACAGTAGCTATGGGCAAAGTGGGGATCTAAACTTTTTAAGTGGCTTACGTAATATGTGAACAATCCCAAAGTAACGAGTTTAATCTTTATGAACTTAATTCCAGGTTCGTGCAGCAATAACAAACGGCAAACATTTAGACTTGATGGAACACGATCAGTTGCGTCAAGAGAAGCTTGCTGGTCATGCTTTTATTGGATTTCATGAAGCTGACATCACCTTCAAACCTACTTACAAATTTGACCCAGGTTTGTTCCTAAAAATATATGGAACGTAAATTCATGATGTTTATCGAAAGCAATAGCTCAATGTTTCATCTCATTTTCTGATTATAAGATAACTGCCGAAGTAAGCGAGTAGCACTAAACAACTAACGATATTATAATAGTAAGCACTGATTCCTCCCAGAAACCGATATATACGACACCAGTGAGAAGAATCGAGTGCCGGCATGGTGTGACCGTGTGCTGTGGAGAATCAAAGCAGAGCGCGCGGAAATAGCGCATGCGCTAAACTGGGACGGTGAGGGGGACTCCAGTGATTCTAGCTTATCTAGCTGGACTTTTTCTGGTACGTAAAATCGGGTTTAATTGAACGAAGAATTTAGATGTTTATAATCTTTGTCTTAAATTTGATCCTTCGAACAGCTGTTGAGCAATGAAACGCAAACATAATCTTAGCAAAATGAATATATTTCTTTTATCTTCAGCATTTAATCAGTCACATAATCTGAGAATATCAATGGTTAGTTTGAAAATGTCAAAAATTCTCATCAAAAATGTAGTAAAGTCTCAAAAAATTAATTAATTAATTTAGCATCTCGTCAAAATGGAATAGTTTAAAATCGGAACAAAATTAATGGCATATACTATAATAATGTGGAGTCTGCAGTAGTTCATTAAATCAAAAAGACGCAATTCAAAAATTGATAGACTGCATATATAAACAAAAAATGGACGATATAAAAATAAAATTCGGGACACCATGAAAAATTAGCTTCCAGAAACGGAATTCACATTGTTCAGGCCAAACGGATAAAGTGTCTTCAATTTGTTAATATAAAACTGTTCTGACTTTCTAATATTATCTGGGGATGTAGAACACAAAATATCAAAATGGAAACTTTCATTGAAATCAGATCTCTCCCTCAAATTATGAACTGAAAAAAGATGTGCCCCTAAAACATTCTCGTCATCAAAATCTCTGTGGCTCTCAACATTCCCCTTACTACTCGCCTCTAAAATCTCATAATATTTACTGCGATGACCATTCACACGTTGGCTGAGGCTGGTGACTGTTTTTCCCACGTATACGTTATTAACAGTACAAAGTTTGCACGTCGCGCCGTACACAATGTTGCGTGTCTTACAGTTACCACCTTGAGTTCTGACTGAGTGTCCATTATTGGAGACCATGGAATTGCCACTATAATCTTTGTCGTATTCTGAAGTAGTATTATAAAGTTATAACTTATTATGTTTGCTAGCTGAATTTTGTTATAAGAACTTATGAAATGAAATAAAATGAAATAATGTGCATATATCCCGCCCATATGGATAGCAGCAGGCACAAGTGCTAGCTACTAACCATGTCAGAGCGGCTCTAAAGGGTGAGTGAAAAAGACTAGCATTAAAAATGAATGTGACAATATCGAAAATAATTTAAATTACCCTAAGATCTTGTGCTCAAAACAATTAATACCGCTTCTGATATAATGACGGTTTTTAATGTTATATCCTACACTCTGTTCTAAATCCGGATAGAACTAATTTCGTCCTCTCCGTAGATTTCTCAGGCTTATCAGATGCTAGCGGAGCGAGTGGGAGCGATTTGTCTGATCACTGTGAAGTTGACGGCGGATGTACCTCGAAACAGTATCTCGAGGTAACTAAGCCTGAAAAGAAGAAGAAGAAGAAAAAGAAGAAGAAGAAACAGTCGGGAACGAGAGATGATAATGCGCATTCTGATCGATCCAATTGGGAGGCGATGCGAAAAAGAACAATAAGTCTCATGAAGAAAACAGCCGTATATGCGGCTTCAACAGGTTTGACATTTTACAATGCTATATGACATCATGACAACTGCAGTATAAGTAGCTGTATCAACAGCAACAAAATGTGTATCAGATTTCATTATCACGTTAAATATTAGTTTTAAAACCTCTCATACATGAAGTTAACATGTTACTTACCTCTGTTTTCTAGGGAGTGCTATGTTACGCACGGCTACCGGCACGGCTCCTATCAAGATACATAAAGCTGATGTCGCTGACCCGGAGAGATTCAAGGACTTGATGAACACACTCGAGCGAGAAAAGGTAGATATCACGTTGTTCTTTGATGTTTTCGGTCGCTGACAGCTATTTTGCCAGCAAACTGTATTCTACACAGCCTTTGTTTTGGCCAGCCTTCCGGCCTGGAGATTATAAAGCAATGAAAGGCATTAGTTTGGTCAAATCAAACGGAACATATGCTATCAGACTTTCAACTGACTATGGCAGGGTTAAAACAGTTTTAACGCTAGCAACGATCCCCTTTTACATAGTTCCACTAAAATGATAATTTAAGATTAAATATGTATACTGTATAGTGATAGGTAGATAAAGTAAAAAATGTAATAAAACGGTACTAAGTAAACGTAATCGACACGTCATACAACGAACTGCCCCAAACTACAATTACTCCCGCGTAATTTCCCGCGTAATTCTAAGACTCCGATTTGCGCCGCCGCAAAGTTATTATAAAACTAAATTCAACACGTGCGACAAATATCTCGCAACATAAGAAAAGGATGCCATAGGTCAAGCTATGTCATTAATATATTTCCACACCCAATACCAAACTTATTCTTTAGCCCATGCCTCTTTACCACTGATAAGTATATTTTACTAAGACGATCCCGTCTAAAACCCAACTCAATTAAATCATCAGTAAACTTTAAAACCCTATCAGAAAAAGCAACAAGATTATTACAGATCCTAGAATATCTCACAACCTGTGAGATAAACATAGTTGTTTATGCCGCGCGCACGACCATTTTAATGATGAAAGTGCAGCTTCCTGCATCGTTGAAGTATGTGATCGATAGCGCGCTTTTAAAAACTTCAACTTCTTCCGAGTTGTCACGTGAGTACCACGTGGGACAAAAGTTCGTAATTTGATAACCACGTTTAAGTACATATGCTGATGTAAACATGGGCATCACCTGATCGCCTAAATTTTGCATCCCCTGCTAAATTATAGACACAGAGCGAGCTTCGGTGCGACTCACAATTCGTCATTTGATAGAAGCGCACTAGTAAGTATTCTGATCAGACTTACTTAGTTATCATGAATAAGCTAGTATTTAAACCACAGGAAGTCCAATCGCTATTATAACAACAATGTTGAGCAAAGCTAATGAATTGTAAATTTGAAATATCATCCCAGGTAGCTGAAGTTAAAGAAAAGTATGAGAACTGCGTGAGACCGCTTGTTTACAAATCCTACCCTGAATACAAACAATCGGACCATAAACCAGTATCTGCTCTTCTTGAGGTCAGTAGTTTCCAACAATGGTAACTCTTGTATTCAAAACTAAGATAAAATGATAAACGAGAGATTCGTATGTTCTTATTGTTAGAAGACACTTGAATTATGCATTTTTCAGGTGGGCGTTAATACGAATATGAAACCGTTGATCAGCTTTGGACAAGATAAATATGTATGGAAAAAAGGAGATAAGCTCGATGTTTTAATAGATGTTCGTTCAAGAGTGGTGAGTATTATGTAGTAGAAAGATTTTTTGTTGTTCAAAATGTCTGGGAACTTGGGAAGAAAGTTAATTTCTGTAAACTGATTTAACAAACAATAGCAAGTAATGACTATGTTTATCTCTTTTTCAGTGGAGTTTATCCTCCTGGGATTGGGTAGCGATAGTGGATCCTAACTGGACCGATCCTCACAAGCATTACATCACCTACCAATACATTACCAAGGACACTGCCAAGTTCGGCTGGGAGACCCACCCTGGGGTTGCTAAAACTCTAAACCTCGTCCTTAACTCATCTAAAATGAGTGCTCCGATAGCAATCGCTGTTTTGGAATGCCTATGAGGAGGATTGCAGCGTAGACCATGATTTATTGATTTGGTTAAATTATTGGGGCTTCAATGTCAGAAGAATGACTTGGTATGAGAAGATTTACGGGACTTTTTCAGTGTTTACACTTTTTTGTTGTGCAATGATTGACATCCTCTATCAAACGCTTCGTACAAGTAAAAATTAAATGAACACCTGGGGGACCTTCTATAAAGTTAACAAAAACACTTGGGTTATTAATTTCAACTTCCGGGAGCTTTATTTATCAACTGTTTATTTGAGTGCATATTTCTCTCATCGGCCATTCGAAATTTCGAAAGTCAGGACGATTTAAGATTTCAAAACTATATTGTGAGGATCAGCTCAAGTCGCTATTTCGATAAAGTAAGCACCCTGTACTATATTCTGCAGGAGATTCGAATACTGTGAATTAAGTTCCGAGATCCGATACATCCATAGATATATTAGCTTTTCTGTGTATCTAAAAACTGCTTATATATTTTTTTGGTGCAACTTTTAACACTGTTTAATTCTATGACAATGATGACTAAGGCTTTACAAAATTTTGGCTTCAATTTCATTCATTTATTTTTTAATTCCTTAGGGAAAGTTACCACTAGAACGATCGCTATACAATATCATTGTTGTGGCAACGTTCGGAGAATATTTTATGCGCTTCTTTAAATTTTGAATTTTGCGAGCATTTTACTAACTGAAATGAGTAATTTGGGGATTTATTTTTCTATATATTTCCCAGGTTTCATAATAGATAACGATGAATTGTTTTGCTGTATTCGTTCAGATATTTCGTTTTAAGGGAGTGCTGAACTTAAGTCTTCTTTTTTTATTGAATTATAAATGTATCAATCTGCATATTTAGGAATTCGTAGGTTTGTGCAAATTTTTCCCTTTTCCTCAATACTCTAGTAGCAGAGAGGTGTTGTTGAGTGTGTGCTTTGCTTTATCGAGTTTTTGCTACTGAATCGAGTTAAATAGTTCCAGCTGTGGAAAATAGTTTCATATTAGGCGCATAAAAAAGAAAGTTTTTAAAGGGTTAGAGACTTAGATTTGGGCTTGAAATGACCGCAATAATTATATGTTTATATAGGCACTATGAAGGTTTTGTAGGCTCAAAATTCTTACTTTTTGGAGAAAATTCAGAACAAATGATTTTCACAGGGTGCAAGTTAAATATACTTCAGAAGCTAATATAACTAAAATCGAGTGTGCAGTTCGATTTCTACAATCTGTACAGACACAGAGTCCTTTGAAATGCTCTGGATGCTACCTTACCAAAGTATGGCACGTCTTATGACGACAATATCGACTGGCTAACAACGTACTCTCAACCAGATCTACGCGCTAGTGTTCTGTATAAAGGTCCTATATTAGCTATTACCGACCACAACATTAGTCGCATAACTTGCCCATCTAGCATTTTCTCAATAAGCATTTATAAGAAATCAGCAAAGCGTGTAATGATAGAACTACAAAGCTCAGGAAACGATGAAGAATGGCCAACTTTTCTGTTACATAATTTACCCGGGCTACGTAAATCAGCAAGATCAGGCACTCAACAAGTCAACTACCGAGAATAACCTAAGGAATAAGTAAAACTAGACGGTTAGCACACTAGTCACTATCAACCATATAATGCCACATTTTTCACTGTCTTCTCACTGTCAAGATAGCACAAGCAGGTGCTGATAAGACATGGGCTCAATTACTTTAATTATTTTAACTTCAAACAAAAAGTTTCCACTCCATAACTTACCAGGATTTCGTAAATCAAAAAGAACAGCCGACACGTAATAGCAACCTAACATATGCAGCTCAACTTTCACTATTATATCAGTGTCCCATCTAAATCACTTATCGTGCCATCCTGACAACACATATTTCACTGCCAACTAGCGCAAACCTATACTGATAAAACACCTACGACAGTATTATCAAGTAAAGAATTTGATATAAACGTTTAAGCTTTCAAATGTGTTTGCAGATCAGGGTCATCAGAATCAACTGATAAAATATAGACGAAATAACTATGACTATGAGTTCGATGACATGTAATTTGCGTGCCCTTCGGGGATCAATATTGATTATTACAATTATTATATATTTTGAGTAAACATTGACTGGTGTAAAAGCCAGCCCCCAAACCTTCATCTCTATCCAACTTTCACCAACACCCACTAATTGTTGTGCGGCTACCATCAGCACCGGAAGATTCTAGCTCTATCCGGCAGCCTTTGACTACCTTGTGCGCTATCCAGCTAAGACCAGCACCCTCAAATTCTAGCCGTAGCCTAAAGTACCTAATTAATTCTGATCCAGAATGACCTTACAAAGGACCCTGTGTCTATACAAATTGTAGACATCGAACTGCATACTTCATTTCAACTTGAACCGGCCAGTGAAAATCAGTTTTTCTGAATTTTCTCCAAAAGTAAGTATTTTGAACCCTCATACTTCATAGTGCCAATATGAACATATTTATTGTGGTTATTTCAAGCCCAAGTTTAAGTCCTTAAGCCATTTAGAAACTGAGATGCAAATTTCTCCCATACTCGGCCTAATATGAAATATTGGTGTGGTCCCCCATGGCTGGGACTATTTAACTCGATTCAGTAGCAAAAAACTCTATACAGCAAAGTGCACACTTAACATCTCTCTGCCACCAAGGAGTCCAAATAATGTATTTAGAGGACAATTTAATATTCCATCTCAAACCAGTCCACTGAACCGAATTTAGATTCAATTATAAACAATTCAATAAGCCCAGCTAACTGATCTAGAATAAGAATACTGATCACAATCCTTTATTTAAAAACCGCAACGCTTGCTATTGTAAGTGATTACTTGTTCATTCTGCTGTAGAGCTGTATTGTTAATTTAAAGCTCATACGATGAACCTTTGCTAGTTCTGTATCTTTATTTTATTTGAAATGTTTAATGATGTTTTGTTTGACGGAGTGAAATTTTAAAGGTTTGAATATAGTCGCTGATTTGTTCTGAATTTTTATTGAACATCGAGATTTTTAATTCTCCTACCATTACATAACATTTTATTTTAATCATTCGTCTTCACCAAGAGTGTCTTGACACCGATCTAGTAACACAATGGCGCTGACATGAATTAATCAACCCAAAATATATTAGTGGCGAGAATCCTAAAACTTCGACCTCCATGAATTTGTGCAGCCCTGGGGAGCAAACAAGGGACGGGCCTCGCTGTGGTGGTGTGACTATCAGCTGATATAATATAACATGGTCTCACAATCTCCTCATCCCACCAAACCAAATCCAGTTTGAGTTAGCAACCCATGAAATCGACTTAGAGAAATGAGGCGCATACAATTTTACTAGTTAATGACGCGGCCCGCCAAATTGCCTTAATCGCTGTGCAGATGGGATGAGCTGATTTTGTCAACTGGAGGTGCTCACGTTAACCTTTGGGTCGCACAGATTCTTCTACAATTCTCTTGGATTCATTTCGCCTTCGGTGTGTTTCAATGACAACAAAATGGGATTACTTCAGTTTCGATAGGACTAAATCTATCAACAATGAATTGTGCAGTGAAGTGCAAAAGGTAGTAATCTTGTTACGGTGTGATTCAAATTAATTTTTGCCATGTTTTGATACGTTTGATATTGATCCAAAAATGGTGCGAGAAGATTGAAAATGGCACCAGGAGAATTTCGTTTAGAAGTTCTTATCATCATTGAAGCATGAAGTTGTAAAGAATCGTATTGATATAGACTCCGTTACATTGTTAAATTTTAAGTTTAACAATGGTTACAGGGCTTATCACTTATTTGAGATTTTATAAACTTAAAATCTCAAATTAGACTTTTTCAGATGACATATGGCAAACTGAGTTTGCCATAGGCCATCTTTGATTTTTAAACTGTGCCGCAGACTCATTTTAATATTACTATTAGTGATTAATGACCTTGTTATTTTGAGAACTGTAGAACCAGGCGCCACTGGACTGTCAGATGTTTTAGTTTTTACACAATCGATATTAAAATTCCGATGGTCTCAGTCTCTTCAACCAACAATAGAAAGTGGCACTATTCTCTGAGTCTGTATGAGTATCAAATATTGAGTGGTTGCAACATTTCTGATTCTCAAAAATCGTTTGTTGATGAACACCTGTTACATAATAACACGTTAGCGTTGTTGAAAAATTAGTGATTCGTTTTTGTTGCTATTGTTCACTGCCATTTGTGTGTGCCGTTTTCGGTGGAGAGCAAACTGCCAGTGCCTTTTTTGTTCAGTAGTGAGTTTTAAATACTATTGCAGTCGGAGCCATTTAATTGGTTTTCATGAAAAAATTTTAATGATGGTTTAAATTCTTGAAATGAGTTCTGTTCAGTGGCGTAACGAAGGGCCCTGCTGACCCCGCTGTGCAGGGGGGCGCCGTCTTAGGGGGGCGCCAAATCGTCGTTTGAATGTGGGACAATTTCGAAAACTTAACTAAAGTACTAGCAAAACTGCGCGTTTTGCTCTAGATACACACTTTTTTAGAGATTTTACCGGCGTATCCTCTAAAATCACCTAATTTGTTCAATTTTAGGGAGGGGCACCAAAAGGGGAAGGGGCGCCAACAGGGGGCGCCTTTTCGGCAGGGGGGCGCCAACAGGCAACGTTACGCCACTGGTTCTGTTTATATATTTTCAACTTCATTTTTAATTTTAAATTTAGCATCACAGTCACGCTACCAAAATACAAAATCATGTTTAACCTTTTTACCCCAGCTAACCCCGATTTCGAATAAAATAAGTACAACTTGCATCTGAAGAAGGGATATGGTTGTGCTCGCAGCGCTGATCCTTCAACTAGCGATTTCAAGCTCTGCTAGTGACGCTGATCTAACACCTCTGGAAGATGACGTCATAGAGCGGGGTCCTGGTATGTGTGTAACGTATGGGCTGTGCCAGTTGAAGGATGGTTTACCTTGTGTAAATAATACTGCTGCTCAGCCAGTTCCTGAAGACGAGACGGTCAGGGAGAGGCTCCACAAACTTTGTCCTCATTTAAGGTGAGATTCGATCGCCCTAATGTTTTGAATTTTATAAAAAAAGGCCCTGCGGGTATGAAAGTAACTTCACTCGACGTATTTTTGAACACCTATTCTGAATCACATGGAATCACCGTAAAAACCTAAGTCACGTGATAGTTTTTGGGCGAGTGAAATAATATGAGCCGAGATTATGCATTATGACCGCCCAAGTAAATCATCTCCCGCTTTCTCCCAGTCCCTTTTTAAAACTACCTTGCGAGACATATTTAATTTTAAATAGTACGAAAGTCGGTTGTTTTTTGAAAAAAAAAACAGTATATTTTCGGACTACCAAAATTTAGTTCAACTTCACCGTCATTATGCATTATATTATTTTCCCCAAATTATTTTTCGCGTATTTTCCATAATTATGACTTTATCGATTTACTATCAATACAGTAAGTTATAAATATGATTTATATAACAAATGAACACTAGTATTCGATCACGAATTGCTTAAAAAATGATTTTATAAATTTACATAGAATTACAAATTCTATAAACGTCGAAAGACGAACGTCAGGTAAGTAATATTTATACTAACATATTATTAATTATGTTATAAATACGAGTAATAAACTAGTTAAATAATAGTACTTATTGATAAAACACCAGATTCCGAACTAGTTAAATAAATTAAAATGGGTCTTGCTCTGGAAACTTTATATTTAATTTTATTAATTTCCTCAAATATTAGTTTTAATTTATTTTTAAATAAAGATATGAAAAAAAAATCCCCAAATACCATGATGATGATTTAATTTGGGGTACGAAATTTGGCGGGTTTCGGAAAAATCCCCATATTTTTCATGTTCCCAAATCATTCAGGTCACCGGAATTATGTCGAACATAAATATCTCTCGTAAGGGGTCGTTCACATTTTACGTAATCAGCTGAGGGGAGGGGGGTTTCCAAATGATTACGCTAGTATAATTTTGATACAATAGCTATGTCTAAAACTGATTACGGAGGGGGAGGGGGTACATAAAATTGTCCCAAAATTGATTACGTAATAATATGTGAACGACCCCTAAGGTATACGTACTATAACTTCTTCCATTTTGCCTTTTTAGTGAATATTTTAAGCAACTATAATTTTAACAACTTCGTTCCAGTTCAGCTGATAAAGTGTGCTGCTCCGCTGACCAGATAGATTATCTAGGAAACTCTCTAAAAACGGCCGAATTATTCCTCAAATCATGTGACCATTGCTATCAGAACTTCAGATCTCTGTTTTGTGATATAGTCTGCAGTCCTAACCAGGTATTTACGTGTGATAAAGATTAAATACTAGCTAGTGTCTGTACTAATCTGCATGATTTATCGAATGTAAGGGAGGTCTTTAGAAATAATCCCAAATCAGCGAATTTATCTTGTTTTGATATAGTGAGGCCGGGTATACAATAGTTGCTACACCTTGTAATTGTAAAGTATATACAATATATACCTCTCGTACACGCGCGCGATCAAAAGGGGTTGCGGCGTGTGTCAATACAATAGTAACGTTATTAAATGCTATTGAATAGTGAATGCTAAGTCTCTTTATATCCCCTGAGAGGCTCTGAGGCAAATTCAGCTGAATTGATTCCAAATCTCCTCAGTCTGAGTTTGTAAATATAGAGGAGAGTGAGAAGATCGAGGAGAACTCTCCCCACGTGACCAGATTTAGCCACTATTTGAGTGAGCAGTACGCCACTGATTTATACGGAAGCTGTTCGAAGTACCCTTCAGTTCTTTGTGGTCCGTTTTCATGGGGTTGTGACAGGAAGAAAATGTTTGCCTTTCTTGGTGAGTTTTATCTTGAAAGCTACGAATCATCCATATTGAAGTGTTGCTTCATTACTAATTACTGACTAACATTTTTTAAATATAAGTCCCTTTAAGATTTAACAATGCAATTAATTCTGGGTCCCCAGTTCTATTCACGCTGAAGTTCGAACTTCTGGTTGCATCATTCATTACTTTACATTGTTGATAATATTGCGATATGACCAGGTGACAACAGTTACACGGTGTTAAAAACAGACTACGTTATCGGGGATGATGACGTCATGCCCTTTGTTAGAGCACCTTCTGATCATCTCATACCTTGCAACGATAACACCAACTGGGACAGGTTTGTTAATTCTCATGGTTTGTTAACTCTAACAACTGATAGATTTTTATATCATTTTCACGAGTTTTAACCAAGCCTATTATATTGGGTTATATTTTGATTATATTTGTTGAATGTCTATGTGGTTACAATCATACGATGGCAATGAAATTATATGATAAAAGTAAAACCACAAATACCCATATTATGCAGTTATCACCATATTTAAATTTTTCCTTTCTTTCAACCGTGTATAGTCAGTGTAATAAGCGCCAAGCGCGAGCACAGAACTTTTTTTTCCGATTTCGATAAATTTGGTACCAAAAGTTGTCTAAAAATGTGAATAAAACAAATCCACCGTGTAGTAATTTTCGCTAAAAATGCTACACAGCGCTTGTTCGCCTCGCGTGCTTTTTTCGCGCAAATTTTTACTTTTTGACCTATAACTTTCACATCATCGAGACGAAACTTTTAGTACTACTACTAATATTTTAAGATTTAAAGGAAAATTATTTTCAAAATTTTTTAATCTGAACACAAGGGTCCCCCCCTTGTGTGAAATTTGAAAAAAATTTTGAAAAATCTCATTACGATCCTGTAAGTGTAAGAATTATTTCAAAATATTCAATATTTTAGGAGTTATAGGCATTTTAAGCAATAAATTACCCACACTCTTGCAATGCACAGGAGGCCTACATACAGCTCGACGTTATCGTGCTACACGGTGAATTTTCATTATTCACAGTTAGAGGCAACTTTTGGTACCAAATTTATCAAAATCAGAGACAGAAAATTCTGTGCCAACTCATGACGCTTATAACATAGACTAGTATTTAGTATTCAATTTTTTGTCTTTTTTAAATTCTTATCACAAGTTTGACAGACGATAACAGTGATTCAGTTAAAAACTGTCACCAACTTAAAACAAATTAAATATTTCGAAATATAAGTTATTACCAAATTTGTTATCAACTGAAACAAGTTAAATAACTCCACTTTCAGATGCACGTGTTATTGTTGCGCGGCGTCATGTGATGACACAAGTGGTCAGGACGGGTTTCAGCACAAAACTGGAGTCAGTCTCTCAACCACCCTCGCAACTGTCAGCCCTACTGTGTACAAGGGGGCACTAGGGTTACAAGTCCCAGCTATAAGTGATATCTGCAGGTTACTGGGGGGAACTTTTATGGTTCTATATTCTTAGTTTACGTGCAGGTGCTTCTCGATTTTACAGCTTTATTGAAATAATTATTCCTCATTATCACAGACTTGGAAATAATTTAATCTAACATCTCGAAGCACTTGTAATGCTCGCATATCCTCAGGACTACAATTTCCACACACTGCCCCCACCTGATCACCGCCATCAACGAGACCAGCTGTTCTGACATCACTCTCGACATGGCCCCTATTTTCTCCAATCTGAAAACCATGTTTGGTTCCTGTGGCAACTGTCATGACAACGTACGGGTACTGCTCTGTGAGTACCTCTTCTCCCCTGACCAGTCGAGGTTTACTAATGTGGAGAGTAAGGAGGAGAAGGGAGAGGAGACACTCATTACAGGTCTGACTTATGAGTTTCTTAGCTGTGATTTTATTAATCCTCCTCTTCTTGCTGAAAGGGGTTGTAGGTTTAGGTTAGAATTGTTCTACCTTAGATTTTTATCGGTATATTTTAAGTTTTAACGTTGTTGATTTCATATTCTCTAGAAATTTCTGTACACCAATTTATTGTAACGGTATAATATGAGAAGTGAGAACTATACAGATAATGACTTTAATATGTCATTAGTTCTCTTAGTAGCAGTGCCATTGGTGTACAGAAAATTCTAGAGAATATGAAATCAACAACGTCAAAAACGTTCCTCGAGAGTGTGCCTCCACACCATATTCAATAATGGTATATTTTAAACATAAACTGACGATTGAACCTACAATTACCACAGGAATTCAGTTGGTTCTGTCTGAAGAACTAATTAACAAGACATACAATTCTTGCCGGGATGTAAGGACCTTTGTTGAGCACTGTAAAGGGAAGAGCTGCTCCCTTCAAAGCATACTGAATCATGTTCTTGATGGAACTGGTATGATATACTGTTAATAATACTATCACCTGTTTTCACCCAGTTACGGTTATATCCTGGTTCATCTACTCGAGATTTGATCTAAAAACAGAACACACTAACAGAAACAGAAACAGAAACAGAACACACTAACAGAAACCTTCAGGTGTACTGGTGCCCACTATCAAGGAACACGAAGCTTATCCTTATGAGAGTCCGAGTATTGATATATTCAAGAAGTGTAATGTAGGCACTGGTGAGTTCCCCCATATACATTATACACCCCTATACTGTATACCACTTACTTCTTTCTAGGCCTTGTCTTTCTCTTAGTGTATTAAATGATTGTATTCACATTACTTGCAATAGTTTGAATATGATTCTATGATACATTTGGAAAGGGATCTCAGATTTTACCATATGTTTGATCGATTCCTAATCTTATCCTTGATCAACACCCCTCTGTTTATTTTCAGAGAGTGAAGGAAGGTGTAGCTGTGAGGACTGTTCAGCGGCCTGCAAAGTTGACGACGGTCACGAGCACAAACCTGGACACTGTATTATTGTGGATAACTGTGAAATGGAGTATTTCATGGTGGACGAGAAGGATGCTTTCAAACAGGTCGATATTGAGTTTTATTTCTTGAATGCTTACTTCTAGTGGTGCAGTTTTATTTTCATGGAAGTTTGGCGTTTTTAATAGCTATAAAATGTGGTGTTTGTACGAATTGCAAGATTGAGGCCAGTGGCGAAATACTGTAAAGTGTAGATGCGACACGTAGATCAGTAGCTCTTTTTAACACGATTAATTTCCCAACTAACAGGACCTCAATTCCACTCTACTACAAGAATTGTGTCCTCTTTACAGCTCCACTGAGATGGGCTGCTGTACTGACGATTCTTTACAGTTCTTAAAATCTCTGATGGATCCCATAAAAGAGGTAATTCTGCGATTTAAGCTCGACATAATATGATGAGGGATAATTTATTTTTCATTGGGTTTTTTAAAGATGCAACTCTTAGACTGTGCACATCACAAGGTTTGACAGTGTTAGGAATTTAAAAACTGTAGTTCCTAACCCCTGTCTCTACTTGCAGGCAGCCTCCTGTGCGGTGTGTAAGGAGAACATTGCTGCACTGTTGTGTTCTTTGACTTGCTCAGGTGATCAGTCTGTATCCTTGGAGATTGCTGCTGAATCTGATCCCAACTGGTGTGATCAGGTCGACTCTTTAAGGTGGGTTTACTTGTAATACTGAGAGGAATATTCCGAACTATCCTGTAGTTTTTTAATCGAATCTTTTTTATTGCTTAAATTACTTAAAAATAGATCCTTTCAAAACCAATCGTGATTCGTGCTCGTTGGAGTCGTTCTGCTCCACTATTAAAATCCAATGAAATAATGAAGTTAACAATAACTGTAATTCGTAATACTTGAAATAATCAACTTTAATCAGGTTTTATGCCGAAAGAGACTCGATGCAGAAGATTCTCAGTTCTTGTCGGGACGATGAAAGCTTCTTGGGATCACTTTGTGGTGATAATACCGACCAATGTCATCATTTAGAGACTTTTACTCAAAAGCTTTCGGAAAAGGTAAGTTTAGATTTCACGACACAAAACATTATCGACAACCTAAAAATTCGAAATCCATACAAATAAAGCATTCGCAAACACTGAACAATCTCCCCCCAGTTATCAACGTCAGATCGTACAATGACACTGCAAATGGAGAAAGTGTACAATGACCTAGAATCCCTCTCACTCTCCCCTCTCCCCTGTAACTCACCCTCGGTTCTTGGGGACCAGGGATGCTCGTGTGAAACATGCACTGATTCCTGTCAAGTAAACGCAGCTGATGGGTACTATCATAGTGCTGGCGTGTGTGCCATGTACAGGTATTTTACAAATACAACTTAAGGGGGGGGGGGGGGCTGACCATATTTGATATTAGCAGTGAGCCCCCCCCCCCCCCTCCCCCTTCCAATATAAGCTGCCAAATTATCAGACTTTGTCCCCAGTATAATGTATATCTTGATGAGCATGGCATGGCTGTTAATACGCACTCCAGCACGTACTTTGTCCCCAGTATAATGTATATCTTGCACTCCAGCACGTGTAATCTAACCCCTGTTCAGCACGTGCAAGAACAAGGAAGGAAAGGAGGCACCTTGTGTGGGGAACACACGAGCTAAGTACCTGACTGACGAAGTGAGGAGTAGTTTGGAGGAGCTGTGCCCCTCTTTCCAGCCTGGACTGTTGGGGTGCTGTGATGGGAAATCTGTGGAGGTTATGAAGTCTCTTCTGGGGCTAGCTGGAACGGTAATTTGGTACAATTGTCGTGTTACCTTGACATGGTTTATTTCATGTTGATCATGAGAGACTTGAAATTGTACAATGTACTCTTAACATGAATGATCTAATTTAAGTTACTACGGTTTATACTCAACTATTGTTTTAACTTTCAGTTGATAAAGTGTCACAACTGTTACAACAACCTTGCTAAGTTGTTCTGTAACGTCTTTTGTCACGCAGATCAGTCAACTTATCTCAGCATTCTGGAGAAAGTTGCTGATGGTGATTCAGACTTTTCTGTCTCCAAATTCAGGTGATGATAATTCCTGAGGTGAAAGTTACTCTTGTTTGATTCATGAATGCTACCATTATTCACCTGTTATATTTAAAAAGTAAATAATACCAGGCATTTTCTCAGTAGCTTTAGATCTGTGTTTTTATCAAATCTGTTATCGAATATCACACAGATGATAAGATTCTGTCTGCAACGGCCGCTACACAAAGTAATTTCTATAAACTCATTAAAGCTATACATTGATAAAATTAACGCTGCATATTTCATCCCAATATTTACGTCATATTGCCACATGTTGAAAGACGTTATTTCGTAAATCATCTGACTGTGAACCAAAAACTGTGACGTTGTTTCGTTTGTGGACGGGTAAAAGTTAAAGTCATTGCCATTAATAGAACCACGAGAAGACAAAGTTGACGTATCAAAAATTTGCAGACTAGTTTCATATTATAATCATTATAATATTCTTTCAACACACCTATTAACTAATTTCATTGTAATTCCAGCTACCACGTGAAGGAAAGCACAGGGAAGGAACTGTACGAGTCATGCCTGAATGATAGAGGTGGTATCACTGACCTCATCTGTATCACCAAGTTTGGGAAGGGCTGCACCAGCTACCTTGACTTTATCCACGCTATAGGCGACAATGGAGTCACTACATTTGATATCCAGTTCAAATTTGAAGTGGAAGATCCGTTCGTGCTAGATGATCCCAAGTTGCTTTCTTGTAATGAAGAGTTTAATGGTAGCTATACAGTACTGCCCATTCAAATTTTTGGTTATTTTCTAATGTCCATGTTAGTCCAAGTAGAATAAAAATGCAACTTATTTCAAACTGTTAGGCCAGAAATTTAACTGCTGTTTTCTATAACTGTTTAAAAAATGTATGATTGTCCAGTATTATCATGCTAATCAAAACAAAATTCCATTCCATTTGTTGTTATCTTGTAACCTCTAGGTTACTCGTGCATGTGTGAGGACTGTCCAGCCGCATGTGTTAACGACTTCGACGACCACTTCGTCCACCAGCAAGGAGTATGTCTGATAAACAGTGAAAATATTTCTAATGGAACAAAGTCGTTCAGCGTTCAGAGCTCTGAACTCATGGAACAAGTCTGTCCCGGTAGGAAACCTTTTATTTAACTTATTTTATTTATTTGTTTTTTATTCAACTTTTGTCGAGGTCTCGTAAGGTTTCTGTCTCCCGGTTTGAACGATCTGTCACACTCTTTTAATGCAATTTTACCTTGTTATTATCAAATAATGAACGCTAAATTCTTCCAGACTTACGTAATTTGAAAGAGGTGTGTTGTACCAGCAAAGATCTTGAGTTGATCCAGAAAGTGCACGAAGATCATCAGAGCACACTCGGTAACTGTGGAGCATGCTACAATAACATCAAGCGGTATGTGAACTTTTGTTTTATATTATGAATCATTACCAAGAATTTAAGTTCGATCGAAAGCTTAGTATAGCTTAGTATAGCTTAGTATAGCTTAGTATAGCTTAGTATAGCTTTAGAAGTTTATTTTAAATTTGGTTAAAATGAAAGTAATATTTGTATAGTTTTTTCATATTTTCTATTCTAGGTACATGTGTCACGTAGCTTGTAGTCCAGATCAGTCAACTTTCACTACCATTGCCATGGATACGAATACAAATAAAAAACAGATTAACCATTTCTTGAATGACAAGTCTACGCTCGCTGATTCATGCGCTTTTCACAACGAGCCGAAAGAACCCATTAATGATTCTCGGTTCTATTCTGAAATCCTGGGATTGTAAGTTTCAAAGTTTTATTAAGTGTCAACATATCATGATCAAGTCATAAGAAAAATTGCATTTTGTATGCATCAAAATGCTTAATTGTTTTAATCAATACGGTTTAATTTCAACAAAGTGGTCTCCCAAAACGATATCAGCATACCTGTTATATATTAAATAAATTGTTAATAATTAACTTATATTAAGGGGGGGGGGGGGGGGGGTTCACCCTGATTATTTTGTGAAACTTGGTTTCGAGATAGCAGTTGACCAACAAACTAAGGCCGGTGACCGCACTTTTGAGGGGGTCCCGGACCCCAACCGTCAAACGGTGCCCGCGGGGCAGCCACACCCATATTTGGTCCAAATTAGGCCCAATTTAGCCAAATACCCTGAACATGCCCAAAACCCAGATTTTAGGTGCTCTACTTGTAGCTAGTAGTCCCCTAAACTCGTATATGAATTTTCATCAAGATTAGACAAAAAATGACTGAGTTATGAGCCAAAAACCATATGCCCATATTTGGGTATACGCACCAAATTTGATCGATTTTGGCCCATAAATTGGTCAAATATCAATATTTTTGAATGAAACCAACTTTATATGGAAGGTAAGCCTATACAACACATTTTCTATGATTATCAGCTCAGTATCTACCTAACTGTGGATTCTATGTTCAAATAATCGCAAAAAATGAACAAAATTGCTCATATCTCAGTTCGCGATATTTGCGAAACTGATTTCGCTCAAAACAATAGAACTCAATAGGGTTTCAATATTTTGACATGAAATTTTCAGAATCAACGTAGAATCGCATTTCGACCTAAAGTTTTAATATGGAATTTTGAGTTAGGCCTTTAAAAAAATTTGGCGGCCAAATTCTGAAAAATACCCGGCAAATTTCAGAATTTGGCCGCCAAATATATTGAGTTCTATTGTTTTGAGCGAAATCAGTTTCGCAAATATCGCGAACTGAGATATGGGCAATTTTGTTCATTTTTTGCGATTATTTGAACATAGAATCCACAGTTAGGTAGATACTGAGCTGATAATCATAGAAAATGTGTTGTATAGGCTTACCTTCCATATAAAGTTGGTTTCATTCAAAAATATTGATATTTGACCAATTTATGGGCCAAAATCGATCAAATTTGGTGCGTATACCCAAATATGGGCATATGGTTTTTGGCTCATAACTCAGTCATTTTTTGTCTAATCTTGATGAAAATTCATATACGAGTTCAGGGGACTACTAGCTACAAGTAGAGCACCTAAAATCTGGGTTTTGGGCATGTTCAGGGTATTTGGCTAAATTGGGCCTAATTTGGACCAAATATGGGCGTGGCTGCCCCGCGGGCACCGTTTGACGGTTGGGGTCCGGGACCCCCTCAAAAGTTCGGTCACCGGCCCTAGTTTTTTGGTCAAATGCTATCTCGAAACCAAGTTTCACAAAAAAATCAGGGTGAACCCCCCCCCTCCCCCCCCCCCCCCCCCCCCCCCTTAACTAAATTTTACCCCTGCACTTTCCTAAAAGTAACTAAACCCCTCAGTCTGATATCCGAGCTGTACTCCGGCTTCTCATACTCCGTGAACGACAAGAACTTTAGGACAGACGGAATCAAAGCAACGAAGCCAAAGAACTTGAGGAATTGTTATGATGATGGGGAGGAAAAGTATGCTTTTGTTATCATGATTATAATTATTGTAATTAAGATCACAGTCTTATAGGTAGTCGAGCATAAAACTTGTATTTTAAAAGTCGGGAAAGAATTGAGGGGCATTCATAAAAGTAACCCGGTGCAATACGGTGAGTATATACTCACATTGTATGAATGACCATTGACCCCTAAAAATTCTTTCTGATTATCTTTTTGCACGAAAATTGAAATATTTTCTTTCTATGAATTTAGCTTATTTCGCCATTAATTTACATAATCGAAATCTAGGTGCGATTGCGGTCACTGCGAAGAAACGTGCACTAACGATAACTACCAACACTCTGAAAACCTTTGTCTTTTCTACGATACTTGCGAAGGTTTTTGGGATATATCTATATTTACAAATAACTTGATCTTATCTACCTGGGTTCTGAATACTTACATATTTTCAACGTACATTAATACCTCACCTATTCTACCTGGGTAAATAATGATCCCATCACAATATCTTAAAGAAACATCTCTCCTCTTCAGGTGACTTTCCGTGTGTTAACATCTCTCCTCCTCAGGTGACTTCCCGTGTGTTAACAGCACAGCGCCCCGCCCAGTTTCCCCATCAGACGAGAAGTTCTACAACGACCTCCTCTCCACTTGCCCCCAGTACACCAATAGTTCCGTGTGCTGCACCCACAGTCAGCTAGAGAGCTTTTCTAATAGGGTCTCCGCAGCCAAGGCTATCATTGGGGGTTGTCCCGCCTGCTATGCTAACTTTGTTAATATTTTCTGTCATCTGATGTGCGATCCGAATCAGAGTGCGTTTCAACAGGTGGTTTCTGAAAGTAATTTGTATATTGAGGGGGAGATAAAGGTGGCCGATAAAATAAGATATCATGTGTCTGATAAATTTGCTGTGAGTAAAGTTTCTTATTGTATATATTAACTTGAAATGAAAGCTCGATTTTCGGACTATTTTAATCGAAAGTAGTGCTAAAATTGAACAAATTAAAAATTGTCGCGAGTTTTGTGGTTTGATTTTAAAGAGGCCGTGAATTTTCGGACACGCGGCTGTAAACTCATAAACTGTGTCTTGAAAAGATCATGAATTATATTTTCAGCAAGCTACTTACGACTCTTGCAAGAACGTAAGATCAGGCAACACAAAAGCCATTAACCTGATCTGCGACTCTTTAGACTGTGATCTGGATAATTTCTACGTTAGTTTGGGAATCAACAAATACACTGATCTCAAGGTCTTCTATGAGATATACAGTCCTGATAGTAAGTCCTGATAGTAACCTGGTTACTTAGTAACTAACCTAATAACCTGGTTATTTAGTAACTAGCTGAGTAACCTGGTTACTTAGTAACTAGCTTAGTGTCTTAGTGTTCAGTCCTGATAGTAAGTGACAGATACTCTCCGATCTGGACGATTAAAGAAAATGTCTACATAAATACGATAAATAACGGCAAATAACGACAAATTCCCTATCTTAAATTATTAAGTATGTAATAGAAAACAAAATCATTAATGGTCAAAATATCACATCTCTTTCTTATATCTGATTATCCAGTAATTCAACTTATCTGATTTTATTTCAGGTGAAAAGGGACAAATGTACAGCGAGATGAACATCAGCCCATTGGAAGGAGTCAGAATTCACCGCTGTAATGATACTGTAGATGGTAGGTGTACACTATACAGCCCACTACTATAAACGAGGAATTTAGTGTTAAGAGAGGCAGAAGATTGGATATTACTGTCCCCTCACCCCTAGTCAGCTCTTCGCCGTTAATTTCATACCCAGATATCAAAACCGATTATTTCCAACTGTTTCTCCACTTCTCGAATTTTCAGGAGAAGCCTGCAACTGTGACGACTGTCCTGCATCCTGCGAGAAAGATGACGACGACGACAACAACAACGACAACAACGACAAACAAAGAAACTACGACAAATACACCCTCCCAGCAGCTGGGATTGCGGGGTTACTCCTCACTGTTGGGCTACTCTTTATGGCACACATTTCCTCTGAAAGAGAGGGGACCAGTACAGATTTGGTCCTGACTAATCTGTCTGCCAAGAGTTCGGCTCCGTTAGCTGAGAGCGACAATCTGTACAACAAGATGTACCCCACTAAGTACTCTGACAAGGCCAATAAAGATGGTGGTGACGCAGAAGAGGTCCCCATCAAGGTCGTCCCCGAGAGCCCTCCAGTTAATAGAATTCAACTTTTCATCAGGTTTGGATTCACTTGGTTCTACTTCATCTACATCTATAATTATGATTCAATCTGCTCAGAAGTCTCATACGTGCTGCATATTTACCATAAGAATTATTTATAGTCTGTAAGACACAAAACTCTCTCAGGACCGTTTTCAAGTGCTGGGCTAACCTGGTGTACGAGCAGCCCCTTCTAGTCCTAGCAGGATTTGGGGTGTTTGTAATGGGCTGCAGTGTCGGACTCATCTTCTTCAGGATTACTTACGATCCTGTGGAGCTGTGGACTACTCCTACTAGTCAGAGCAGGATTAATAAGGTTACTTAGGTGACACATCGTTTTTAAGTACGGGCTGATAGCAATCTGCCGTCTGCGTGCACTGTAGTTTGAGCCTTTGAGGGTCCTAATCAGCTCAAATAATCAAATATATAAAGGAGATGAACTATTAATTGGACCTGCAAAACTGCACGGGACGTCAAAGATATGTAAAAGTGTTGATCTATAATCTGGAGAACTGGCTCGTTAAGTTTTATCGTAAAACGAGTAAATCTAATCTTATTTCAGGAGTATTTTGAATCAACGTTCGGAACGCCATACAGGGTGGCTCAGTTGATATTCTCCGAGAAAGTGCCTGGAACTTCGTTTGACGAGAATGGAAAGACATACAGCTCTATCCTGAGGTTTTGGGCGAGTCTTTGATTATTCTAAAATTGAGATTTAAGATAACTCAATAAGCTGCTATACCGTATTAACCTGAAGGCATGTTAATTGTAATCGCCAGTTCACCTCGTATTGTCTGAATTTTTTAAACGATTCAGTAAAAGCGTTGAACCATTTCTGCCATGATACATGTGAAAATTACCGTAATGAATCCAATTAAAATTATCCACTTTTTAAGGGAGGAAAATATGAAACAGGTTTACCATGTACAAAAGCAACTCCTCGAAACGGTATCAGCAAGATCACAGATGAACAAAACAATCAAATTGTCTGATGTTTGTCATAAACCTCTTGGTTAGTCTTAAATATAAGCTATGATATCTGCTCGATTTTTAACATCAATTCTTATCCCCCAAGAATACATGATAACTTATAGTTATGATAAGGCAGTTTTTCAAAAGGACCATTTTTAGAATTTCACAAATCTTTACAGAAACAAACTCCAGGAATCCACAGTAATAATGCTACATTCTTCAGGATCTCACGACTTGAAAGAGCCCGTTAACAACTGCATCATCCTGTCCCCCTTCCAATGGAGGTTCAGTGAGTACAGTGGAGCATTCTTTGAGGACCAGACTACCCCCGACCTGCCCACTTATCTGGACTTGTTCGAGCGTTGCGGTCAGCTGGACTTGTCACCTGACTGTTTCGGCTCCTACCGGGGGCCAATTATGACTGATACGGTGTTTGGTAAGTAAATATTGTAATTTGTGGGTTCGTTTTATACCATTATTCATCATATTAAGTGAGTCCGGTGATGCAAATTTGTGTTCTTCTTTGGAAGGTGAATTTTGAAAATTCGGCTTTCCTCAGAATTTTGAATTTGGGGGATTTCCGTTTATGCTCGAGGTAAGGTTTATAGAACTAGTAGGCGGATCAATATTTAATTCTACTCTAGGAGGGTATGACAATATTTAATTCTACTCTAGGAGGGTACGACAGTAACTCCGACTCAAATCTGGAATATCTCACCAACAGTCGGGCAATAATCCTAACCTTTGTGATAAGCGGGGAGGCGGTCCACAGGGACCAGGTTCTTGCGTGGGAGAAAGAGTTTGGGATCTTCATGAAGGAGATCAAGATGGACAATCTCACTGTCAGCTACAACTGTGATCGTGCTTTAGAGGTAAGCTATCTGTGTCATTTCAGATGCTATGTTGGTTCTATCACGATCAATAGCTTTACAGCCGGGTTTTGAGGACTTTTTTACTGTGCATAACACTATACAGTGTGTATACGGATGAGCAGTCTTTTTACAATGTTAAACTCCAGATCCACTCACTAGCTGAAGTAGCTCTGATACATCGGTTTATAACCTGTAAGACTGGCCAGTGGCCTTTTACTATTGAAATTCTTATATTGTGCCGTAACAATTAATAATTATCCAGCGCTGGATAGCGACAACTAGCGCTGGATGGCGACAACTAGCGCTGGATAGCGCTAGTTGTCGCCATTCAGCGCTAGTTGTCGCGTTTTGACTATCGCAAAAGAACCAAAATTAGTAATTGTTTTATTAACAACAAATTAAAACTTAGTAATTGTTTTATTAACAACAAATTAAAACTTAGTAATTGTTTTATTAACAACAAATTAAAAATTAGTAATTGTTTTATTAACAACAGGACGAACTGGATAGAGCATCACACGCTGATATCATGACTATAGTTATCAGTTATATTCTCATGTTTGTGTATGTCAGTACTACTCTGGGAAGACTGGCTTACTCGCCTGCCGCTTGCTTCATTCAGTCCAAGGTACATTTCAGGGGCTCTTTCATGTTGGTTTATGTACAAAGTGGCTTATTGTAAAGATCAAGAAATTGGCTTAACTCATTTCTCATAGTATGATTATTTTATGCAAGCAAACCTTCAATTCGGCTTTACGTCAAGTATCAACAGATGTCCGTTCTTAAGTTAGATTAAAAGTCTTCACTCTTCCTCGCTTGATGTAAAAAGAAGAGTTATCGGATTGTGCGCCCTTAATTACCCCCTATTATTACAGGTATCTATAGGCCTGGTTGGAGTTACTCTTGTCCTCATCAGTGTTAACTGCGCTCTCGGTATGTCCACTGGACCATTCAATAGGGACTCTTTGATAGATTTTAAACTTGAATATGAAACTGTTGTGTAAATCATACTGTGAAGAAGTTGATTCTCACGGAATATTTCTCCTGCAGGTATAACATCCTACTTTCAACTTCCTGCCACACTGATTGTTATTGAAGTGGTTCCTTTCCTAGTCCTTGCTGTTGGGGTTGACAACGTATACATCTTAGTTCAGGTATATCTTATTAGCTAGTTTATATATAATATATACAGGGTGTCCCAAAAAAGACTACCCAATAAAAAACCTTTGATGGGCAAAAATTTAGGTAGATCTTTCAGCGCAGAATTACTTTAGAGACTTTTAAAATGAGAGAAAATCGAAATGTCTTAAAATACAACTTAAAATTAGCAACTTATTATACATACAAGTCCGTCCTCGATTTATATAGACATTTATATATTTATTTATATATCTTTATATTAAGACTAAAGTAACCCGTGCCTACAGCCGGGACTTCGCTGTCGCAGTTGAAATGCAAAAATATAAACCCGCCTATTATATTCGAAAACACACATTACATTTTCGTAGTTAAAACGGTGCGAAAGTATATATATCCACCAGCGTGCGCTTTTTCGCATAGCGGGCTCTCACCAGCCCGCTGTCAAAGGGCCCGATATCTCTACAGCCCGCTCATGATATAGCCCGCTAACAAGTGACATTTAATTTGACCAGTAGCAATATAGCCCGGAGTTCTCTAAAATATTTTCAGTTTCTGTATCGTCTCCATGTGAAATTCCTTATTACACTGACTATATTATATACATTTTATTTTTGTCTCCGGTAGGGCTGCTCATGCAGCTCGTGAGCAGATGACATGATACTTTGATTTATATCAAAGTTATTATAACACACTACATAATACACATCAGCACTATAATCCCCCTATATTATTGATATTCATCGTCACTGACATTACATTCATTATTCCCACGGCCCAGGAATGCAGTGCATCTCCAGCCCCTATATACGACACAGCCCTTTATGATTGGCTTACATTGAACACGTGACGTGTTACCATGGTTACAACAATTAGTGGCGACCTTTTCTATAGTTGACTTTTATACAAGCTCCATTGTTTATTTATAAAATTATATATTAACTGTAATACGCCCGCTGGTGGATATAATCCACATCACCTCGACCCGCGGGCGGAAAAATCGTATAGCACTCGGGCCCGATGGGCCCTCCGTGCTATACGAAAATATGTCCTCCTCGGGCTAGCGCCCTCGGGGACATATGAAATATTGCACGCGCGTGCGCGTGCAATATTTTGTTCCGCCCGCGAGTCTCCGGTGATATGTATATATATACATATCACCGGAGACTCGCGGGCGGAACAAAATATTGCACGCGCACGCGCGTGCAATATTTCATATGTCCCCGAGGGCGCTAGCCCGAGGAGGACATATTTTCGTATAGCACGGAGGGCCCATCGGGCCCGAGTGCTATACGATTTTTCCGCCCGCGGGTCGAGGTGATGTGGATTATATCCACCAGCGTGCGCTTTTTTACATAGCGGGCTCTCACCAGCCCGCTGTCAAAGGGCCCGATATCTCTACAGCCCGCTCATGATATATCCCGCTAACAAGTGACATTTAATTTGACCAGTAGCAATATAGCCCGGAGTTCTCTAAAATATTTTCAGTTTCTGTATCGTCTCCATGTGAAATTCCATAAGACAACAACTTACAAGTTACTTAGAACTATAGTTGAAACCGGTTTAATTCAATTTCATTAACGATGAATTCAATTGCAATAATCGTACTGTGAGCTAATTAGTGTAGTTTCTGTTTATTGTAGTTTTCTGTTTAGTGTAGTTTCAGCCCCTATATACGATACAGCCCTTTATGATTGGCTTACATTTAACACGTGACGTGTTACCATGGTTACAACAATTAGTGGCGACCTTTTCCAGAGTTGACTTTTATACAAGCTCCATTGTTTATTTATAAAATTATATATTAACTGTAATACGCCCGCTGGTGGATATAATCCACATCACCTCGACCCGCGGGCGGAAAAATCGTATAGCACTCGGGCCCGATGGGCCCTCCGTGCTATACGAAAATATGTCCTCCTCGGGCTAGCGCCCTCGGGGACATATGAAATATTGCACGCGCGTGCGCGTGCAATATTTTGTTCCGCCCGCGAGTCTCCGGTGATATGTATATATATCCACCAGCGTGCGCTTTTTCGCATAGCGGGCTCTCACCAGCCCGCTGTCAAAAGGCCCGATATCTCTACAGCCCGCTCATGATATAGCCCGCTAACAAGTGACATTTAATTTGACCAGTAGCAATATAGCCCGGAGTTCTCTAAAATATTTTCAGTTTCTGTATCGTCTCCATGTGAAATTCCTTATTACACTGACTATATAATACATTTTATTTTTGTGTCCGGTAGGGCTGCTCATGCAGCTCGTGAGCAGATGACATGATACTTTGATTTATATCAAAGTTATTATAACACACTACATAATACACATCAGCACTATAATCCCCCTATATTATTGATATTCATCGTCACTGACATTACATTCATTATTGATATTCCCACGGCCCAGGAATGCAGTGCATCTCCAGCCCCTATATACGACACAGCCCTTTATGATTGGCTTACATTGAACACGTGACGTGTTACCATGGTTACAACAATTAGTGGCGACCTTTTCTAGAGTTAACTTTTATACAAGCTCCATTGTTTATTTATAAAATTATATATTAACTGTAATACGCCCGCTGGTGGATATAATCCACATCACCTCGACCCGCGGGCGTAAAAATCGTATAGCACTCGGGCCCGATGGGCCCTCCGTGCTATACGAAAATATGTCCTCCTCGGGCTAGCGCCCTCGGGGACATATGAAATATTGCACGCGCGTGCGCGTGCAATATTTTGTTCCGCCCGCGAGTCTCCGGTGATATGTATATATATCCACCAGCGGGCGTATTACAGTTAATATATAATTTTATAAATAAACAATGGAGCTTGTATAAAAGTCAACTCTGGAAAAGGTCGCCACTAATTGTTGTAACCATGGTAACACGTCACGTGTTAAATGTAAGCCAATCATAAAGGGCTGTGTCGTATATAGGGGCTGAAACTACACTAAACAGAAAACTACAATAAACAGAAACTACACTAATTAGCTCACAGTACGATTATTGCAATTGAATTCATCGTTAATGAAATTGAATTAAACCGGTTTCAACTATAGTTCTAAGTAACTTGTAAGTTGTTGTCTTATGGAATTTCACATGGAGACGATACAGAAACTGAAAATATTTTAGAGAACTCCGGGCTATATTGCTACTGGTCAAATTAAATGTCACTTGTTAGCGGGATATATCATGAGCGGGCTGTAGAGATATCGGGCCCTTTGACAGCGGGCTGGTGAGAGCCCGCTATGTAAAAAAGCGCACGCTGGTGGATATATTAGCGAAAGTATATATGAGCAACTAATTGATATTTCATGCACCCGGGTGTGAGCCAGTGCTCCCCATCGCACATCGGGGCATGTAATATCAATTCTGCTTTCCTGCCAAATTTGGCTCGAAAGTGTGATAATATATTATATCATGGGCACTGGGGCAAACAGGTCCGATGATTAATGTGCTGCCATTCTTTAGACCAATTCAATATTGGTAACAGTACGGGTGAACTACCTGGCCATGACCAGGGTGGTTATAGGCTGGTGGAGTACTGCGTTCTAAAATGTTGAAGAGATACATTTGAATATTACAAATATTCTGATCATTTCCAGTTCAGATAATTTCTAGCTCGAAGCAGATAATGGCAAATTAAATGGCAAGGAAGATGAATACTGACTAAGAACTATAAAGCAGACTATTAACTATACTCGATAAAATTCTAAGTCAACGATTACAAGTTGCATTGATTAAATCATTCTGAAATAACAGACAGTCAAGAATCAAAACGGACGATAACATTTTTGATGTGAATTAGGGCGTGTGGTGTATAATGTGGACTGATAGATTATAGACACTAATTATAGCTCCACAACTCTATTTAAATACAAGAACTAGGAAATACTTTCACCTTATCGCAGATACACATTTATGATAAGGACTCTGATGTATTTAATCAACACTTGAACGGATGTTCTATACATTGTATATTTTCGGTAGTAATGATCAAGTATAAAATTACCTCACACCGATTAATATGCAGGATGTAATAATTACGTATCAAACGCGCTCGTGGCGGAATATTCTAGACGCCAATAATTACAAGTCCCATTCTCGATAAATATATTAATATTCAATGCACTACGTATCACTTATGAGTAGAAAGCAAATTGCGCGGCATACAGCATTCACTGTGTCATAAATGTGATGAGCACGTGAGATCTTAATTGTACGTATTGTATCTTCGATATCTGAAATACTAACTCATCGAGAGCTATATATAGCGTGAACATTATAAACATAAATAAGTTCGACATGTCTAGTTTGCTTTGGTGACATTTATAACTAACGTTTGATCAAATTCTGCTTTCCCGGCCAAATTTGGCTCCAAAGAAAGTGTGATAAAACATTAATCACATGTCTTCTCATGCGATATCAACATTTTCAAAACTCGGCAAGCCTCGTGATTGAAAATGTCGATATAACCCTCGGCAAGCCTCGGGAAATATCGAAACTTTCGCTAACTCGGCAAGCCTCGTGGGCGAAAGTTTTGATATCGCATGAGAAGGCATGTGATAAATGTATAATATAACATAATATAATGTATCGTATAGTAATACGATACGCGGCATATTTCAAAGTGTAGGGTACTTTTTATACATATTTCCTTGCTCTGTAGTCTGCTATTACTTGTTTTTACACAGAAGAACTAAGAATAAATCATACAACCCTCCCTAGGGGCTTCGTGACTATTTCACGACCTACTTTGTAGAATCCCTCCCATTCCTCACAGAATGAGTCTTACACTCACGATCGAGTTCTTCAGTTGTCTTATGTGACTTTTGTTACCTGAGTAGTCTCCCTTGACGATTGGTCACATTTCAGTTTGCAAGATGAAAAATGTATATTTTCGTTAAGTCATAGCTACTCTGTTGACCGATTTTAGAGTGCTGTTAATAATGAAAATTTTATAAGATAAAGTATTTGATAAAAAGAATTTTAATAATAATCATAATAATCTGTTAC